TATAAGCACTAATAATAGTGCAGAGGGTAAGCATAGACACATTAACGAACTTGCAAAAAAAGCAAGAAACTTTTCTACTTTCATCAAATTCATTCTGAATGATACTATCATTAGGATTAATGAATCAATTGATCCCATTAATAAGCAAAAACGCGAGAAGAATGACTTGTTAAACGAAAAATGCATACATTGCGGATTCTCCTATAATGATATTAATACTGATAAGAATCCTTGTAAATATTGCAAGGATTTCTTTATGAATAAGAGTCATGTTCCCTCTGCAGGCATACATGTTATGAAAATAGGAGAAAACGTAGGTGAAATCATAGAATTCCCAATCGATAAAAATGTAGGTGATCAGGATGAACTCGTGGATCACAAAGAAAAGAGTTTGCCGATCGAAATATCAAAATACGCAGAATTTATTGATATTGACGATAAAAATAAAGCAGTTTTAGTCGTAAAACTGCTTTATAATCTTGAAACGCTCCAAGATGCCAAAGATTTAATCAATTCTCTGGAAAAACAATCAAAAAATTATGAATCTGCATTACAAAATAAACCAGAAATTTGGTTGGAAAAATACTTGCCTGAATTAATGAAGGAAGTAAAAGATGCGAGATAATAAAGAAGTAGAGATGATGAGTGAATAAAAACTTTGTATTAAATTTGTATATAAAAGAATTGTAAAATATAAAAATAAAGAAGTGGTTGATAGGAATTTGAAAATTCGTTGGGTGCATATAAGTTTGATAAATATAGGGTGTCCAAAGGTGCGTTTAGCACAGCGCTCTATATGAGACTATTAAAGGAGATATATGCTGATTATAAATATATAATAAAAAATATGAATATATGTATATGATGAGTATGTTGTATTTTGGCGCCATGCCGGGATATAAAATGAATTTTGAGACAAGAGGCGGTTTCGCGGGAAATTTTGGCGGGATTTTTTTCATTTTTTTAATGAATCATAAAGAAAACATCCTCGCTCTTGCAAAAAAATGCAAAGACTGTAAAAAATCTACGAGACATTGGTAAAATGCTTCGGTATGGATGCTCCTAGCTATTCCACTGTAATGTATCATGTTAGGATGTATCACTTCATGAACAAAAAGGCGCCCATCATAAAAATTGACAAAAAATCGCCGGATCAAAGAAAAATCAAAGCAATTCTTCAAGCGCTAGATGAAGACCCAAGAGCATCACTCAGAAGGATAGAGGAGATGACAAAGATACCACGTACAACAGTCAGTTATTATCTGCACAATTATTTGAACTACAAACTAGCGTATACACGTTGGGTTCCGCACAACCTTAATTCAGTTCAAAAAAAATCTAGAGTCCAATCTTCGAAAGAGCTCCTCTCTATATTGGGTGCGTATCAATCCAAGAAGTTTCGCTTTTTAGTAACAGGGGACGAGTCTTGGTTTCAATATGCAACAGAAGCCAAAATCATGTGGATCCCGAAGGATGAAAATCCGCAAACATTCCCGAAGAAAAAAATTGGCACACCAATGATGATGTTGTCGGTTTTTTGGGGCGTGAATGGCATCATCGCAATTGATATTCTTCAAAAACCTAATACGATGAATGCTCAGTATCTAATTGACAATGTTCTTACTCAAATTATCAATTCTGATGAGTTTGAGAAATCCAAACAACAAAAACAAAAGTTTGCAATTCATTTTGATAATTCAAGAGTTCACAAAAGTCATAAGGTAATGAATTACTTGGTGGAAAACAATGTCAAAGTTGTTCCAAACCCAATTTATTCACCTGATATTGCACCTTCTGACTTTTATTTATTCGGCACGCTAAAAAAGAGAGCTGAAGGACGCGAATTCGCGAGTCCAGATGATCTTGAAAATTTTGTAAGAGAGCATTTTGAGCAATTTTCTCATGATGATTTAAAGCGTGTCTTTCAAGCCTGGATCGATCGCTGCGAACGCGTGATTGAATCCAATAGTGATTATATTTAAATAAACTTTATATATATGTAACTTGTTTATTTCTATTCGCAGTATTCAGGTTTGTGCTAAACACACCTTTGGACACCCTATATATTTATGAATATTAATGTCAAATTGGGTGGTTGCATATAGTAATGAAAAATATATTAATAAAAATTAATGTCAAATTGGTTGGTTGCATATAGTAATGAAAATAAGATTAATAAAAATTAATGTCAAATTGGGTGGATTCGTGATAGAATGCTTCTGTGTATGTGTGGCGTGAGTTAGCATCGGGTGGTTGCGTGATAGAATGCTTCTGTCTATGTGTGGCGTGAGTTAGCATCTGGTGGTTTCATCACAAATTTTAACCCATCCAAATCTTATTAATTATTAAAATTCTTTTACAATTTCTGATGTATTTTTTGAAAACATTTCATATGCAATATTTCTCCTTTTCTTTCCTCAAATCTTCAAATATTAATAACTTTGGATATGAAATTATTTGGATCTTTTATGAATTTTAAATGTCTTTCTTAATATCAAATCGATTAAATTATTAATATTTTCTAAATTATGCCTTAAAAATCCAAATATAAAAAATCGTAAATAAAAAATATATTTTTTATTTTTATTTTGTAAATAATCCGTTTACTAAATGGGACTGTAAAATCATTATTTAACAAGATTCAAAACTGGTGCAACGAAATGCACATTGATTTTGTAGTGTAACAAAGAGAGATTTATTGTAAAAAGTACAAAATAGTATATTTATTATCGTGATTAGCGTAGAAATGTATGAGTTTGGGACGGATTTCTGGTGCATTCATAACTAAAGTGATACATTGTCTGGAGCAAGTTCAGATCTTTAACTTATGGCTTGTTTGGTGCTAACTCACCCAATTTAAGTGCACTAGAGGGGATTTTGTCTGTAATGAGCATGCACCTTGAGTTGTTGCTTGGTCCGTGTACGAAAGATAGTAATTTAATACTATACTCGATTAAATGTGAATTTCTAATTTTGAATTTGCGTTTTTTCCTGAAAATAGTTACAATATATGAAAGAGTTGGCAAAACTAGAGGACACGTCTTTAAGGGTTTGGCTCGTGCTTCATGTTAATATGCCGAAACTAAAATAAACGTATATTGGGGGTCGAAAATTGAGAGCTCATATCTTTAAGTGAATGTCTGAAACATTATTAATTTGCAACGAATCAAACAAAAGAATCAAAATTGGAAGATTTAGTAAAATATTTAGATAATAATTATTTATTAAGTTTTTATTACAATATTAAGAAAATCAAAGATAGACTATAAAAAACTTCATTCTTTTTTTCAGATAGATCAATTAATTCAAAAGATCCATTTCTTTCTTTTAGAAGTTGATTTAAAGAGTTTGAGTATGTGTATAGTGTTCAATAACACTTTCCTATACATGATTGGATTCTTTGCTTCGCAAGTATATGATGAAAATAACGGAAGATTATGAACAGAATATGAATTCTGTACATTTGTAAATACAACATTTCCTGCTCCTACTTGTTTGTCACAAAATGAATTAATAACTATTATTGAGCCAGATCCGGATTGGAAAAATTCTATAACACTTCCTGAGTTATCAAGAAATGAACAGTTTTCAATAATAATAATAGAATCAGGTGCAAAGTATGTTCCATGAGATGGAATATTACGATGATTACTCAATACATTACAATGAGTAAAATTATATTTACATCGATCGGAATAAATGATTGAATAAGTAGCTGTTATGTTACTAAATGATGAAAAAGCTACAGATTTAATACTTTGAGCTTTATATAGAACAATTCCTGCACCATATTGTGATTTGCAGAAACTTGTATTGATTGATTTAATATCAATTATCCCACAATGCATGTAGTTCACGTCATCTTTTTCGATATTTCCGCATTCATAAAAAGAACTTTCATAAACATAATTGATGTTATTAGTTGTGTATAATAAGTCAATATATGAATGATGTCCTTTATCAGAAGTTGTTTGTGATTTGTAAGCGCACGTTCTGTATTGAACAATGGAGCTATCACATACAAAGTGTATAGCACCACCATATGAATTACTACTACTATATTCAGTAAATGAGCAATCAGATATAAGAAATTTAATATTACTAGTAGTGAAAGTAATAGCACTATTAAAAGTGGTTTTAATAAATACACTTTCGTAAAGGAAGCATTCTCCTTGACTTGTTTTTGCTGCAATGTTCTTTCCTTTGATAGGAGTTGATTTGGGTGGATTTTGATAAAATAGTTGCCAAACATCATTTGGATAAAAAGATTGGTGCAAATGCTTCATTTCTATCGATGATTTTTGGAATAATTACTAAATATTTTATGAATTTCTTTTTTGCGAAGATCAGATTTGTGTATTTAAAGGTTTCAAGATAAATTTGTAGTGGTATTTTACTTAAAACGATGAAAATGGATTAAATTATAACTATATTAGTTAAAAAGTTTTTGTTTTCATTCAAGTGGACTTTGAGCATTTTGAGCATTTCGTATCCAAGTTCAAGAGTAATTTTATTCGACGAATCTTTGTACTTCTGACCGAAGAATACTCGGATTTACTTTATTTATAGTAGTCTCATGATCTGAAATCACGATGAATCAACACTAATTCATTAAAAATGGATTCGTGTTGGAAGTGCTAAAATCGTCCTGTAATGAATTAATTAATGTGATTTGAAAGCCGATACAGACCGTTTGGTCGGAGATATTCAATTTTATCTTGTCGGATCAATACATTCTTCTAAACAATTACAATGAACTGAGTAGTGTGTATAAATCTATTCATATAGTTCACTATATCAGTTAAAAACGTAGAATGAAGAAGAATTGAACTTAATTTACAAAATGGTTAAAACATAATTGATTGATTGAAAGAAATATCCACGAAAAAAGATTATGTAAGTTATTCTAAATATCATTCCGTACAATTATCGCTACACAAAGTCATATTTATTTCTTGCCAAATTCATATTTGGTGAATTTGATGTTAAATAGCTCAACAATGTTCCTAGGTTCCTGTTTTATAAATTATGCAGCACGTAAGAATAGTAAAGAAGCGGCCGAACTTCTTATTTCACGTGGTGCAAAAATCAATGAAAAAAAAATAATGATGGAGAAACAGCTCTTCATTTTGCAGCATTTTATAATTATAAAGCAATCGTTGAACATCTTCGTTCACATGATGCAATTACCAATGATAAAGATCTATATGGACGAACTGCTATTCATTAAATCCAATATGATTTTGCTTGTTTAAACCATATCATATCCAAATTGCATAAAAGGAAAGATGCAATTGGAATTTTATGAAGTATTAAGTATTACCAAATATAAAAAAAGCGATATGAGCGCAAAATTAGTGAATATTAAAGATGGATAAGAATTGATATGGAAAAATATGTTGTAATGTAGTTGTGTTGCATTGTATAATAAAAAGAACTCAGATTATAAAATGCAACATCAGATTTAATTGAAATTTGTTTTCATAAATAATTTTTTTTTCTTTTTGTAGAATTTTTTTGTAATAAGGAAGTAATTTTCGAGGAATTATTTTTTACAGTTCATTATTATTAGATTAAAAGAACACAAACGGATTTATAAATCATCAGGGGGAGAATTAGGGATCATCGAGCCTGTACGGCTTGTTCTACCTAGTTGGGCGCCCTTCATTGCAGGGTTTAGTGTTGATGTTCTACCGAGAATTGGTGCGGGGGACTTTCCGCCAAATGAAAGTGGTCCGCTACAAAGAGAAGCTCCGGCGACCCTTGTTACTGGTCTACGGCTCATCATCTGTTGTAATTGGCTTCTCGGGCTTTGGGCAGGGGCCGTTCTATCTGTACTCATAATTTTCTGGAAAGTATTCATTGAAAGTACGGACTGTAGCTTATTTCCTTGTCCCCAAGAAACCAGAACGCCATCGAACCATGGGTGGCCTAAGCATTCACCAGCTGTAAGACGAAGATTTGGTTCCGGTACAAGAAGCTTACGGATTAAGTCCTGTCCGAAGGTAGAAACGCCAGGAGGAATTTCGAACTGTGCATTTTTGATTTGATTGAAAACATGAATTTGATTGGAGCCCTTCCATGGAAGCTCACCTGTAATTAAGCCGAATAGCATAACACCCATTGACCACATATCTGCCATTTTGCCATCATAGTGCTCGCCTGCAATAACTTCAGGGGCAGCGTATGCGGGAGAGCCACATGGAGTTTGGAACATCTGCCCTGTTTCAGCAAAACAAGAAAATCCAAAATCAACAATTTTTACGTGGCCGAATTCATCAAGTAAAACGTTTTCTAATTTCAAATCACGGTGGGCAATTCCTTGATCATGAATATAACTCACTGTCTCAAGGATCTGTTTGAAAATAGGTTTTGCGCGATCTTCGTTAATATCTTTGCCGCTAATTTGGGAAAGCAATGTTCCACCACCGCAAAAGTCCATGATAAGATAGAAGAAATTGTCGTCAATAAGAAAATCATGGATTTTGATAATACCGGGATGATTCATTTTAATAATAACTTGAATTTCTCTTTCGAATCGTTCCATATCAGCGGGTGTATTCATATTTGATTTTGGAATGATTTTTACTGCGTATTTATTTCTTGTTTCAGTGTGTTGAGCCATCTTTACAAGGCTGAAGGAGCCTTTTCCAATGGTTTGACCGAAGTTATACTTCCCCATAAACGCGGGGAGAGAAGCCCAGGCCGACATTCTGAAATTTACAAAGAATTAACACGGGGTGAAACCGCCAGTGATATTTCAATTTTTGTTGGTTGTATAAGCGGTTTGTGAAATTTTGACCTTATTAGGGACTATTAATATAGTAGATGCGGAATCACTCACTTTCTAATTGATAATAAAAAATACGTTGTAAACTCTTGAAAAAAAAATGTATAAGCAAGTGAAAAAAAAAATTCTTCTGAAAGACCAATGACATTGAACAATTTGGATGTTTCCATTCTTTTACAATTCTTTCACTAAAACTATGAGCTAGGTTGTTTGGGCGATATTCCTTATTCGTATTCATCGAAATTCATTTTCAAAAGTATCCAGCCATTTCATGCAAATAAATTTTATTCCATAAATTGTTTTGAAATAATGATTCCAATATGAAATACTTGAACTCATAGGGGTTCTGATAGATAAATTTTTAAAATCTGTAAATTTTAGTGATTGATGATTCGAAACTGCAACGATTGAAGATGGCAATGTTAAATATTAGTATTAAACAAGATTTGTCAAAAATAATTTTCGTATTTCAGATTTATCAAATTTAAGTCTTTTTAAAGTGAGCATCACTAAAAGATCGTAAATTGTAGCATAGTTGACAAAGAAATATTGAGCACGACGATGAAAATTTATCAAAATTAATAAAATGTTCAGATTAATAAGTCATTTGCAATAATTCATACTGTGCTAGTTCATCTCATTTAATTTAGATCTATAATATTCTAAGGCGTTTGCATCAGAAATCGCAATCTTGAAAGTTAAACAAATCATAAAATGAGAGTTCATATGTGTGCGAATAGCCTTAATGTTAAATGGTAAACTAAATAATATATTGCTTTATACAGAATATAATATCTAACTCTGATGCGTTAACGTAAGCAAGTTATAGAGGAAAAGTGACGCAGATTTTAACGCTTTTAGAAATGTCTGAAGTCTCATCCAAAGCGCCTCCGTACCTTATTCAGTACGGTTCCAAGCAGATTATTGTTGATAATCCCAACAATTTTGCACAAACATCTCAGCAATTCAAAATTTACTACAGCCAGAATCCATCAAAATTAGTTCTCCCTGAATCTGAAGAATATTCGTTCAAAACACTTCAACTTTTAGTCAACGCTTGCCAGGGAAGACCATTCTCATGCACTCTCGATAATGTCTTTGAATTCAGAAAACTCGCTGTTGATTGGAAGGTTGACACACTCGTCCAATACTGCGATAACTATATTCAGAAGACAAAGATTAGCGAGCTTACAGTGGATGAAGTCTTCGAGAAATTAGATGAAGCAATTGCATCAAATGATAAAGATCAGCGTAAAATCGCTATCAGAAATGCTGTTGCTCAATTCAAGAAAGTCATAACAGATCCACAACAGCGCCTTCGTAATTACGATACCGATGTCATTACAGAGATTTATCGTGATGTAAATCCAAATGGCAGGAACAGCGATCTCTTTGCCAACTTTGTTATTGAGTTCTTCAGAGCAAACCCAGCAAAGGCAACAACACTCTTCCCACGTTTGAACTTCGATCGCCTTTCTGGTTCTCAATATGGAGTAATCTTCCAACCAGACGCAATTGAAGTCTCGATGAACTACTACAACGCATACGCACTCAGTGATGCACACAAGGAGCTCAGAACTGCTCTCAATACTGTCGATGCCACTGCAAAACAAGCTGTTAAACAAAATCGCCAGAAATACGAAAAGAAGTTTGCTACAATATTCGAGCAAACTAAGGCTAATAGACGTAGCGACCTTAATAAGCTTCGTCTCCGCCTTGTCCAGCAGAATGAAGATCTTAATGATCTTGCTGAGGTCTTAGAGAACCAGAAAGCCCTTCTTGTTGATTGCGTTAAGATTGCACATAGAGCACCATCATCCGCTGAATATCTTAAGAAGTCCCAGGAAGATATCTTGAATATGATCGTCGAAAGCAAAGAAAAACTGCTCGATCAGATCAAACAAGATGCAGAAGACTCCGCTAAGACACTCCAGGCACTTCTCGATGACAGCCAGAAGGAAATTGAGAAGCAAACAGCTGGAAAATCAATTGTTGCTCCAGATGTTTACTCCGGTATCGAAAATTACCAGGGTAGAATTGGAGATATTAATCATGGACTCGCAAGCTGTGCAAGACAACTTAGAGAAGTCCAGGCAACGATGATGGCTAAGATTATTAGAGATAATTACAAAGGAAACGAATACCTTCGCGTTGTTCGTGACAATAATAATAACTTACTCGCATATAAGATATTCGATGAATATCCAGACTTAGTTTGGAACTTATCAAAGAAGGAAGTTAGCGATGCTGAGAAGAGAATTATTGTACCTATTGAAACTAAGGTTGATAAGCTGTGCCAAATCCGGAAATAAAGAATTGAAGTTTCTTTTCTTTGAATTTTAATATTTTTGATTTTATTTTTGTAATTTTCATATTTTAATCATTCGCTTTCTTATTTTCTGAATGTTTAGATCTAAATGAATGTTTCAATATCTGCAAACACAATCAATCGAGATAAAAAAAATAATAAATTTATCCTGAAACAAATTTTATGTTCAAATATCTTCTGGGTATAGGAATCTCAGAATGTTTGTTTAATCATTTAATGAAATTCGTATATTATCGATTTTGAACGAGAAAAGAGATGGAGAACTCGTTTTCTTCAATAAGGTTATAATTTCTATCATGTATTTAATGTTTTTGTCGGGTTTGCTGTAAATTCCAAATCCATTCTTCGATTTTGTAAATTTTGAACCTGAATATTGCCATCTCTTACGAAATGATCGCAATATGAAATACTTTTTCCTTGGCCACTATCAAACCTCAAAGTTAAGCCAATACGGTTCAAAAGAAAGATTTATCAGGAGAAACTCTTATATTAATTAAGTTTTAATACAAATAATATATTTTAATTGGGTAGTGTATATTGATCCTGCAATCATTAAGAGTATTTTGATAAATTTTTGTAATCAAATTCTACGGGAGCAAACAAATCGACTATCTCCCTGAGAAAACTGGATGATATTGTTTCAGAACTCATTTAACATACAGATTCATAAGGAATGAAATAACTTGGAGTTGTAAGAATCTAAATTACATACGAACATAATTTATTGGGTTAAAGTTGTTCATTTAGAGAGAACTAAGTCAAAGAAGCCAAATTGATTATTCCAATTGTTGAACTAAAAATAGGACAAAATCTCTTCAAACAATCATCATCATGTTTTTTAATTCGCAACATGATTAGAAGCAATATACTTTCGCCGAACTTGCGATAAATTTCAAATACAACAATTTATGTAAATTAATACAATTTTTCTGACCGAATATAGTTCAAAAAGTGAAAAATTGCTTCAAAATTATAAATCAAGTTGTCGTATTTACTATCATTACAGAAGTATTTTTACGATGAAACAATTAAATCTCATTGAATAATCCATTCAATTTTTCTCTCTCAATTTTTTAGAGCGGATTCGATCTGCGTGAAGTGATACCTATTGAATTTCTGAATGCATTGAAACTTCGTATTTCTCTTCTTGTATCATGAGAATTGGTATCTCTGGTATCTCCACAAGTGGTAAGACAACCCTCGCTAATGCCCTTGTCAAGCACTTCAACTGTGGCTACTGCTGCGCTGACAAGTACTACAACAGAGATCAATCATCCTTCCCAAGAATCCCATTCCTTGGCGATATGATTGCTGAATGGGACTCCCCACAATGCATCTTCTGGGACAAGTTCGAAAATCAGGTCGAATCAATGCAGGATGACCTCATCATTCTCGAATCTTTCTTGCTCTTCTATTCCAAGAAGGTTGGTGATACAATTGATGGACTCATCGCCTTAGAGTACGAAGAAATAGATCTTCCAATTGCTCTTGCAAGAAGAGTCAAGAGAGTTACAGGTGAAGAAGTTCCAAAAGACTACAAGGAGAACCCAAAGAAGTCTGAAGCTCATTGGGAATCCAACTACTTCGAGCAGATCGCTTGGCCATATGCTTTGAAGAATCCAGAATACAGAGAACCAAAGGATTACAAGAAACCAGTCCTTAGGCTCAAGGCTACAGCTCCATTAGAGGATAACATCACAGCTGCCATCAACTTCATCAACGAGTTGAGAGCTAAGACTGAGTCCTCTTAAACACCTATTCTATATCTTTCTCTGCGAAACTAAAATTCTATTGAAATTCAAAATTTGAATCATTTTAATATTTCAATACACTTTCAAAATTTTGAAAAAGTTTTGATTGATCTCAAATCATATTAAGAAGGTGTGTCTTTAAGAATATGACAATAATTTTTCCTGATAAATCTGATATTGAGCAATAACTTAGGCTTTTGTTTCGGCAAATCTTGACAATTTTTAATTTCAAATTCAATCCGTATTTATATCATGCCAAACTGAATATTTTTTGTTTGGTCATGAATGAATGATGTAGTTTTGATAAAAGAATGTAAAGATAAGAAAAATAAAATTGTCAATTTACCTAATCGTTGTTCCACAGGTATTTTAACATGCTATATTGCGAAATACAGTTTAACATAGGTAAGATTTTATAATAAAAAAAATTATATTTGAAATTCATCGTCCGCCGGAATAGCCACCTGTTCCGGCTCTACCTCTATGACTGCGGGCTGAATGAATATGGGCAAGTATATAATCTGGTATTTTATTAGTAGAAGGTCTGTGGAATGGTAATGGGTGAAATCTTGGTTTTTTATTGAAAATAACATGAGAGTTAAGAGTATTTATTGGTGTGATCTTTTCTGTTTCTTCTTCACTTAATGGCCATTGTGGTAATCTCTTCACTCTATTTGGACCTTCAATGACAAAATGGCACATATGTGTAACTGAGGAACATTTAAGTACGGGATATTTTATTGCTCTAGAAAGAATCAGTGGAAGCATTTTGATTGAATAAAAAAGACGGTTTTTGAAATTTTTACGGCAAATGACAATTTTGCCATTTATAATCGTTTATAATCGTAAATTTCTATTGGTGTGCAGCACCGATAGATCTAGATTTATCAATGATGATTATTGAGAAACTTCAAAGAAATTTCTTTAATATTTTAAGCTGACTCGGCACTTTCCTTGAGAGAATCACCTTCTAATTTAATCAACCTTATATCGTCAAGTTCAGCAAGTTTACTCTGTACTTAAGGATAAGCCAATAGTTATGATTGGTCAAAGAATTGATTTCGACTTGAAACCAGAGCTATTAAATGAATTACAATACGGATCTAAAAACTTCTTAAAAGATATTAATGACTTTGTCATGAAATGTAATTACTTTGATCATGGTCCTTATGGTGTTGATACTTTTACATTCAGAATAGATGTTTTGCCATTTGATCAGTAAAGACTCCTCCTTTCATTATGGGACGATATGGTTGGGATAACTGGTTTGTTGAATTTCTAAATAATAACGTATCAATACATACGGTCACTTTTAATTTGAGTCCTCCTATTTATCACGTGAACCACAAACGCCATAACTTTGATGTTAAAGAGGATAGAGTTACTGTGAACCACCATCTCAGGCTTGCCAATGGAGAGCATTTCGGATCAAATTACGATACTTATTGGGAAATTTTCAATGAATAAATCTGCTCTAGAGAGCTACAACTTACCAAATGTTGATGATGTCCCGTAGTCATTATTATTTTTAGAAAAAAACTTGTTTGTTTGTAAAATATTATTTTATTCTGATAACATGTATTATTTGTATAATTAGAATGCGAATATTGTTGAAAATTCCCTAATTATAATCATTCAGAGAATGTTAATGTTAAGATTAATGTTAAAAATTTTAAAATTCCAATATACCTATGTAATTATGCATATATAGAATGATCTGTTTGATGCAAAAACATCTAGCGTGATCCAATAACATACACCGAGTAACTTTGCTCTCAAAAGTTTATCAAGATTTTGGACATATCAAAATTTGAGAGAGCTCGATGAAAATTTGTAATAATGGTGGGAAATTTATCACAGGAAAACTTTCCACATTCATATAATATTTTCCCATCTACATAATTCATTTTGTTGCTTTATTTTTTATTTATCCTGTATAACTCATAATTTGTTGGAAATTTTATAAAAATGACTTGTAAAATTTTTAATGTCTGTTCAAGGCATTAATACTAATAAATACAGCGAATTGAGGAGTGATTATAAATATTATATCGATTCATATAATGCAATTTATAGGTTAAAAACAGAAAAAGAAGACGAAATCAACTCAATTTACAATTTGATCAGAACAGAATTAATTGATTCAAAGAAACATTGTGTGCAAACCATTATAAGAGATGTTTTAAATGTGATTCCGTATAATAACCGCTATGCAAAATCATACTTAAAACTCGCGAAACTCATATATGATAATAATGAAGTGAAAGAGGTTAAAGATATCGATAGTATTTCAAACTTCCTATTTTATAAAGAATATAGTATTATGCTAGAAAATACTGATGATTTCGAAGAAATAGAAGTAAATTATATAGATATTCATTCAGAAAATTCAATTTACAGAGCAATTATGAATAATGATATAAAAAACTTTATATGCTTCATAGGGGAAGAAGAATTTGATGAAGATCAAAAACTTGAAAGCGATTTATATCCACACTCTAAGAAAGAATATTCATTACTTGAATTATGTTGTTACCATGGAGCAGTTGATTGTTTCAAGTTCTTAAGAACGAAATTTGACTCAGAAATAACTCAAAAATGTCTAGAATTATCATTTTTAGGAGGAAATGCAGAGATCATGAGCGAATGTTTGAAATATCAAACACCAGATGAAGAATGCATGATATATGCAATTATTTCACACAATATTGATTTTGTTACATTCTTGATGAATGAGTACGATTTAGTGATCAAGTTACATTGTTGCGGAATATACAATAATCTTGAATCATTTTTAGTGTATTTCGATCATATTAATGATTTTAACGAATGTTTCATCTATTCAACCATTTTTAATATCCCATCATTTTCCGAATATTTTTTTTCAAGAGTTAATGACATCAATGTTAAAAGTAAAAATGGAATGACAGCTCTTCATATTGCGGCAGAATTTGATAGTAAAGAAACAGCCAAACTTCTTATTTCACATGGTGCAAATATCAATGAAAAAGATAATGATGGAAATACTGCTCTTCATATTGCAACAAAAAATAATTGTAAAGAAATATCTGAACTTCTTATTTCACATGGTGCAAATATCAATGAAAAAGATAATGATGGAAATACTGCTCTTCATATTGCAACAAAAAATAATAGAAAAGAAACAGCCCAACTTCTTATCTCACATGGTGCAAATATCAATGAAAAAGATAATGATGGAAATACTGCTCTTCATATTGCAACAGAAAATAATAGAAAAGAAACAGCCCAACTTCTTATCTCACATGGTGCAAATATCAATGAAAAAAGTAAAAATGGAATGACAGCTCTTCATTATGCAGCAAGATCTAATAGTAAAGAAACTGCTGAACTTCTTATTTCACATGGTGCAAATATCAATGAAAAAGATAAATATGGAGCAACAGTTCTTCATATTGCAGCAGAAAATAATTGTAAAGAAATATCTGAACTTCTTATTTCACATGGTGCAAATATCAATGAAAAAGATAAATTTGAAAATACAGCTCTTCATTATGCAGCAAGATCTAATATTGCAGCAAATGATAATAAAAAAGAATATATCGAATTTCTTATTTCACATGGTGCAAATGTCAATGAAAAGGATGATTATGGAGAAACAGTTCTTCATTATGCAACAAAATTTAAAAGTAAAGAAACAGTTGAACTTCTTATTTCACATGGTGCAAATGTCAATGAAAAAGATAAATATGGAATAACCGCTCTTCATTTTACAGCATTCCATAATAGCAAAGAAACAACTGAACTTCTTATTTCACATGGAGCAAATATCAATGAAAAAGATAAATATGGAAAAACCGCTCTTCATGATGCAGCATATAAAAATAGTAAAGAAACTGCTGAACTTCTTATTTCACATGGTGCAAATATCAATGAAAAAGATAATGATGGAAATACTGCTCTTCATATTGCAACAAAAAATAATAGAAAAGAAACAGCCCAACTTCTTATCTCACATGGTGCAAATATCAATGAAAAAGATAATGATGGAAAAACCGCTCTTCATTATGCAACAAGATTTAATAGTAAAGAAACAGTTGAACTTCTTATTTCACATGGTATAAATATCAATGAAAAAGATAAATATGGAGAAATCGCTCCTCATTTTGCAGCATACTAATAGATTTGTTACAAAATTAAACAGAATGTTTTTTGTGCTAATCTATATTTTTTGCTCTTAATAGCAATAAAAACTATCAATTTCAATGTGAATTTGTTATAATGTCATGAAATACAATAATTTGATATCAATTGAATAAAATATCTATTTTTAAAGGCGCAACTATCATTAATATAGGGTGTCCAAAGGTGTGTTTAGCACAAACCTGAATACTGCGAATAGAAATAAACAAGTTACATATATATAAAGTTTATTTAAATATAATCACCATTGGATTCAATCACGCGTTCGCAGCGATCGATCCAGGCTTGAAAGACACGCTTTAAATCATCATGAGAAAATTGCTCAAATTGCTCTCTTACAAAATTTTCGAGATCATCTGGACTCGCGAATTCGCGTCCTTCAGCTCTCTTTTTTAGCGTGCCGAATAAATAAAAGTCAGAGGGTGCAATATCAGGTGAATAAATTGGGTTTGGAACAACTTTGACATTGTTTTCCACCAAGTAATTCATTACCTTATGACTTTTGTGAACTCTTGAATTATCAAAATGAATTGCAAACTTTTGTTTTTGTTGTTTGGATTTCTCAAACTCATCAGAATTGATAATTTGAGTAAGAACATTGTCAATTAGATACTGAGCATTCATCGTATTAGGTTTTTGAAGAATATCAATTGCGATGATGCCATTCACGCCCCAAAAAACCGACAACATCATCATTGGTGTGTCAATTTTTTTCTTCGGGAATGTTTGCGGATTTTCATCCTTCGGGATCCACATGATTTTGGCTTCTGTTGCATATTGAAACCAAGACTCGTCCCCTGTTACTAAAAAGCGAAACTTCTTGGATTGATACGCACCCAATATAGAGAGGAGCTCTTTCGAAGATTGGACTCTAGATTTTTTTTGAACTGAATTAAGGTTGTGCGGAACCCAACGTGTATACGCTAGTTTGTAGTTCAAATAATTGTGCAGATAATAACTGACTGTTGTACGTGGTATCTTTGTCATCTCCTCTATCCTTCTGAGTGATGCTCTTGGGTCTTCATCTAGCGCTTGAAGAATTACTTTGATTTTTCTTTGATCCGGCGATTTTTTGTCAATTTTTATGATGGGCGCCTTTTTGTTCATGAAGTGATACATCCTAACATGATACGTTACAGTGGAATAGCTAGGAGCATCCATACCGAAGCATTTTACCAATGTCTCGTAGATTTTTTACAGTCTTTGCATTTTTTTGCAAGAGCGAGGATGTTTTCTTTATGATTCATTAAAAAAATGAAAAAAATCCCGCCAAAATTTCCCGCGAAACCGCCTCTTGTCTCAAAATTCATTTTATATCCCGGCATGGCGCCAAAATACAACATACTCATCATATACATATATTCATATTTTTTATTATATATTTATAATCAGCATATATCTCCTTTAATAGTCTCATATAGAGCGCTGTGCTAAACGCACCTTTGGACACCCTATACGATGTGTAATATCAATATGGCGCAACTATTTATTGATATTTATATGCCATATTTACATAAGATTAAAAATTTGTACAGTCTGAGAGTTTCTCACGTGTTAAGAACTGGCTGACATGTTAATTTTTTTCTTCAAAAAATTTAAAAAGATGAAAAATACGCTCTGCAATACAAATTAATACAAGTCTATCATTTTCTAAAAAATCACGTTATGACTCATGTTAGTGGAAGAAGGCATTTTTTAGGTGGGTCAACAAAAATTATAAATAATGATAATTATAGTATTGATATACATCATAGAATTAAGGGACTTTAATTCTTGTCATGCTAATGAAGCCTTCATACATATTCAATCAAAAAAAATAAAAATTAAAGTGTTTTGATGACTTTTTATTACCGCAAATTGTTACTTTTAATGTTTTAAAATTATTATATATCCTATATGCATATAAGATATAAATTAAGATCAAAATATCAAAATCGATTTTTGAAAGAATCAAATTTATCACATCTCATCGTTGTTCCGAATTAATATTTTATCAGCAATGTATAATCACAATATTTATATATACGTTGATATAGGGTGTCCAAAGGTGCGTTTAGCACAGCGCTCTATATGAGACTATTAAAGGAGATATATGCTGATTATAAATATATAATAAAAAATATGAATATATGTATATGATGAGTATGTTGTATTTTGGCGCCATGCCGGGATATAAAATGAATTTTGAGACAAGAGGCGGTTTCGCGGGAAATTTTGGCGGGATTTTTTTCATTTTTTTAATGAATCATAAAGAAAACATCCTCGCTCTTGCAAAAAAATGCAAAGACTGTAAAAAAATCTACGAGACATTGGTAAAATGCTTCGGTATGGATGCTCCTAGCTATTCCACTGTAACGTATCATGTTAGGATGTATCACTTCATGAACAAAAAGGCGCCCATCATAAAAATTGACAAAAAATCGCCGGATCAAAGAAAAATCAAAGTAATTCTTCAAGCGCTAGATGAAGACCCAAGAGCATCACTCAGAAGGATAGAGGAGATGACAAAGATACCACGTACAACAGTCAGTTATTATCTGCACAATTATTTGAACTACAAACTAGCGTATACACGTTGGGTTCCGCACAACCTTAATTCAGTTCAAAAAAAATCTAGAGTCCAATCTTCGAAAGAGCTCCTCTCTATATTGGGTGCGTATCAATCCAAGAAGTTTCGCTTTTTAGTAACAGGGGACGAGTCTTGGTTTCAATATGCAACAGAAGCCAAAATCATGTGGATCCCGAAGGATGAAAATCCGCAAACATTCCCGAAGAAAAAAATTGACACACCAATGATGATGTTGTCGGTTTTTTTGGGGCGTGAATGGCATCATCGCAATTGATATTCTTCAAAAACCTAATACGATGAATGCTCAGTATCTAATTGACAATGTTCTTACTCAAATTATCAATTCTGATGAGTTTGAGAAATCCAAACAACAAAAACAAAAGTTTGCAATTCATTTTGATAATTCAAGAGTTCACAAAAGTCATAAGGTAATGAATTACTTGGTGGAAAACAATGTCAAAGTTGTTCCAAACCCAATTTATTCACCTGATATTGCACCCTCTGACTTTTATTTATTCGGCACGCTAAAAAAGAGAGCTGAAGGACGCGAATTCGCGAGTCCAGATGATCTTGAAAATTTTGTAAGAGAGCAATTTGAGCAATTTTCTCATGATGATTTAAAGCGTGTCTTTCAAGCCTGGATCGATCGCTGCGAACGCGTGATTGAATCCAATAGTGATTATATTTAAATAAACTTTATATATATGTAACTTGTTTATTTCTATTCGCAGTATTCAGGTTTGTGCTAAACACACCTTTGGACACCCTATATTTACATGATTGAAAATACTTTTGAAAATTACCAGCCACCAGAAGAGCCGCCGCCACCGCTTCTACCTCCATGACTGCGGGCTGAATGAATATGGGCAAGTATATAATCTGGTATTTTATTAGTAGAAGGTCTGTGGAATGGTAATGGGTGAAATCTTGTTTTTTTATTGAAAATAACATGAGAGTTAAGAGTGTTTATTGGTGTGATCTTTTCTGTTTCTTCTTCACTTAATGGCCATTGTGGTAATCTCTTCACTCTATTTGGACCTTCAATGACAAAATGGCACATATGTGTAACTGAGGAACATTTAAGTACGGGATATTTTATTGCTCTAGAAAGAATCAGTGGAAGCATTTTGATTGAATAAAAAAGACGGTTTTTGAAATTTTTACGGCAAATGACAATTTTGCCATTTATAATCGTTTATAATCGTAAATTTCTATTGGTGTGCAGCACCGATAGATCTAGATTTATCAATGATGATTATTGAGAAACTTCAAAGAAATTTCTTTAATATTTTAAGCTGACTCGGCACTTTCCTTGAGAGAATCACCTTCTAAAAAAACAGCCTTGAAGAATATTTCGTCGAAAATCTCTAAATTTTACTATTCAAATTATAAAATACATGTATAACCGTATGGAATTTGAAGACTTTTTATGCCTGAATGCTACATATTGGATAACATTCGAACATCTTTCAATTGGGAGATTCTAAAATATGAATCAGAATCCCAGAATAATAAAATGTCAAAAGTATTAGCTTTAATTTGCATTTATGCCCTGTAAATCTATTGATAGTGATTAATATCACGAATTCATATATTAAATTTGATATAAAGCACATATTTTCTCATTTGAAATGGTGTCTTATCTTAAATCATGTGATAATTGTGCATATTGAATAGTTAATGCACCCGTAATCGATTTTTAGAATTTCATTCAAATGTTACTTGAAGGATTTCCAGAAGAAAGAGAGCAGAATTTAACTCCATTATGGATATTTCTTCTTTTAGTAACAGTTTTTGGTGGATATGCAGTCACTGATATGTTCCTATTTCTATTCGATCTCCAATCAAAAGATTTTGAATTATATCGAAGACTCATCTATCACACATTTCTTATGATTTCTGCTATAATACTCTCTATCTTCAACCGTGATGGTATCAAAAATAGCCTAGCTCTCAGAAAATTTAGAAATTATAAATGGATATTACCTATTATTGGAAGTGCACTATTTTCTTTTTCATTAGCATCAGGGCAAAAGTGTGAGGTCGTTGCTAATGATCCTTCAATTCTTGAAAAACTTGCTGTAACTGTATTTCCTGCAATCTCAGAAGAATTAATCTTTCGTGGTTGGTTTTTATATGCTGTTTACTTCGACTTAGGAAAAGTATTCAGTGTTATACTTACATCTACAATTTTTGCAGCTTTACATTATTCTGGCAATAATATCATCGGTCTTTTCTTAATTTTCTGTTTTTCATTATTATGGTGCAAAGTCAGACTCTTATCCAAAACAATTTTCCCTACAATTATTTGTCACATCTTGCAAAACTACTTCAACGTTTTAAGCAAGGGTGTTCATCCATTTTTATGCGAATTACCTACTATCATTTCTTTCTGTTGTTGGATTTTAGGCGCAGTATTTTGCGTTTTATTCGAATTAACAGAAGATGACGACGAATGACTTTAACGTTCTCCAAATCAAAGACTCATACTTTCTGACCTGATATGTTATGTTTGTAAGGTCAATTTTGAATTTTTTGCTTCAAATTAATTATTTTAGTTCTTTGTTTTGATAATGCTTATATATTGTTTTGTTTTGAACTCTAAATGTTTGTTTTCATGCGTAACATTTAATGTTTTTACATAATTTTAATTGCGCAAAAAATATCAAGCGAATCGATGCTATTTTTAATGGAAATTTATCGTTCCTATGGAAGAAAAATCGACACATATAGATATTTTTCAATTTTGAAATCAAATTTTTTTAAATCATTTTTTAAATTTCTCACGATGTGGACTTTTCAGATTCTCGCAATAGCATGGTTTGGCTACGAAGTCGTCACCAATATTACGAGAAGATCTTTTGATGCTTTACATCGTCTTTTCTTCGGATTATTACTTGGATTATTAGCATATCATTGGGTAGCTTTCATATTATCAGGATTTACTTATATGTCTAGATGGTTAGGCTATTTGCTCCTTATATTTTTTGGTTCTCTATCATATTTATTACATAAAACAAATTCAAACTTAAAACTCGGCTTCGTCTTTTTTCTAAATCCAAAACAGAAAATCGCATACATAGTATTTGCGTTTATCGCATTTATGACCGTTTTTGTTTCTTCTTATTACGGATTTCAAACTACAACCTTCCCAATCAACGAATACTCAGTATTTTTAAGCATGGTCTCTTCTTTTTCAATAGGTGCTAATTCGCCTCGTCAAAAGATATTTAAAATCACTACAGCGCCAGATATTGATATTCCTCCGATTTATCCATTCATGCCATCCTTTGTTGTCGCATCATTAACTACAACAGGGAGAACCGATCCTCGTACAATAATTGTATTTATTCATACATTTTTACTCTTATCAATTTTTATTTTCCATTATGGTATATCATATGTATACTCAAAATCCCATGTTACATCCATCATAAGTGTCTTTATATTTATGCTTATGGGAGGCATCGGATGGACCTATTTCCACTCAAAAAATCAAGATTCGAATAATTTAGTATCAAGATATTACACTACATCTACATTTTGGAAGCATACCATATTCGAATTTTTGATTGCCAATCCAAATCATCTCTGGGGAACCGCGCTTTCATACGCAACAATTTTAATTCTTATTACAGCCACAAACTCGACCATTGACTCATTATTTGTATTAGCAAGCTTCTTCTGTGCAGCTCTTGCCCAATCTACGCCATCAATGCTCTATGGTTTAATTGTTCTTTCAATATTAATTGCAAAAGACGATTATCTTGTCAAACGGTTGACGAAATCGAAATTATTTGCCGAAAACTGGAGTGTCTACTTCATTATTTCCATTTTCCTTGCTATTGTCATTTCATCTCATAATATTTTCTTCTCAAACTACCCTACTTGTCATTTCCAAGCATTATGGAATGCTTTTGGACAAGGTGATTCATGTTTTTCCTTCTGGTTCAAAGCTCTTGGCATATTTATCCTTTCATATCTTATTTTTGGCATTGTTTTTGTAAGAAAGGACCGAGTTCATTTATATATTAACTCAGTCATTATATTTGTTATATTTAATTATGTGATTATCAATAAGAAAGAGAATAATCTTGAAATATTATATGCAACATGGGTTCCTTTTGCATGTGCGGCTGTTGCAACCTTTTATTCCCAGCTTCTTGTAACCAAAGGATGGATTTCCCAATGGATTGGAGGCATTGTTTTTGCTGGAATTATGTTTTCGACCTGTGCATCAGGTTTTATCGGTACAGCTTATCATTTGTCGACATCTAATGTATTAACTACTGCTGAAGAGTATAAGTATGGCCTCTGGTTGGCAGAAAATATAAATAAGAGAGTTGTTATACTTCCGGACTCAACTTTGATGGCAAATCCTGCTTCAGTTGTTGCTGGAAGAGCTGTTGCGGGTGGAAATATATGGATGGAACTTAATTATTACCATTTATCTGAAAAAAATTATTCGCGTTTGTTGAAAAATCCTTTGGATTATAACGTATTTTCTAGATACCAGATATACTATGTTCAATCAACTACGAAAAACCCGTGGATTGACTTGAATCAGGAAAATATCTTTTGGAAAGTTATTTTTAAGAGCAAAGATATTGTTTTGTATAGAAGAGTGTAAATGTTATATGTATTATAGAGAGCGTATTCTTCAAACTTTTTTTATAAAAATAATTTTTCTGATTAACGATAAAACGACCTAAAATACGCAATTCTCGATGTTTTATGCTTCAGAAGTAGTGCTTAAACTTCAATAATCACTTAAATTTCAAGATTTTATAAATCGGCATAAAAATAACTTGACGATACAGACCGTTTGGTCAAATTATTCTCCAAAAATGATGTTTGATAAAGTTATGATAAAGATGAAACAAATTCCAGAACTCTCTCCGGAACAAAGAGAAAAGTATGGAAAGGAACTCCAATACATCAAAAATTCCGTCGATAATCTCAATAATTCATTGAAAACCTCTGATCAGTTAAATTCTGAGATAGAAAAAGTTCACGCCAAATGCCTCGACTTACATAAGTCAGTTGATACAACTGCAGCCCAATATGAGCAACTCAATCAAGCAATTTTAAGATTTAAGACTTGCATTACTGATTTCAACAATTTGAACACAGACATCGAAAAGGCTTGGAATGAGCTTGGTGAAGTAGAGCAAAAGCTTAAAAGTAAACAAACAACTGATTCCAAAGCAAATTAATTGGCAATTCCCTGATTGAATTATCGATTCATTTCAGTTAATCTTCATTCCTGTTATCATCATACTTTTTATTTCGATCATACTCTTGTAAAAACCTATTTTATAGATACGAAAAATAATTTTCTCTTTAGATATATGCTATTACCTATCCTATCTAACTGTCTATTTTGTAAAATGTAGAAATTCGATAGAATATTAAGATTAAATTGAAAATAAACATAATATTTTATTTTATATCTATTTTGATGAAGCATGAAATTGCTTAAGTCCACGAGTAGCAAAGAATGGTGAATCTAGAATGTGAGGATCAGGAAGTTCAAAATCTGCAGTCATTTTATTGTTTTCAAACATCATTTTGATTGGTTTCCAATCAAAACGTGCTACAGATGGATAGCCAAATACAGGATCAAAGTTTGTTTCAAGCCAATTCGATGTTTTCGGATCTGATGGATATCCAGAGCCCCAATCATGTGAAATCTCTAATCCTGGTTCTTCAAACTTAAAATCAGCTAATAAGCGATCTCTTGTAACCTTGGCGCAGATAGATGCTGCTCCAACGACTTTATATGTTGCATCTGCCTTTGCTCTGACTGTAACTTTAATGTTCGGGAACTTATCTTGTAGCCAATCCTGATATGATTCGGCAATTCCAACTGTATCGACGTATAATGCTTTGATATTAAGACCTTTATCCAAGAAAGCTTGGACAAGATCTCTTGCTGCATGATGGCTCACTGTATTAAGCGAAATTGGTGGGTTTACTAATGCTGTTTGTTTGGCTGAAATTTCTTCTGCAGAAATTACTCTTACTGCGAAGCCAACTGGTAATTTTTTGATTTCGTCAAAGATTTCTTCACGTTGTTCTGCTGTTAATTTCTTTGAATCATCAACATCTTTTGGCCATTCATATTTATTTGGTGCAATTGCGCCTGAATAAACCATAGGACCAAGAGCAGGTCCTCTTCCAGCTTCGTCGATACCCATTTCGAGTTCTATACCTTTTAATTCATCAGGGAATTCGACCGAAACTCCTTCCCAGACGTACATAATTTCACTATGAAAGAATTTATTATACTTAATGTGCATTCAAAGGCACAATGGGTAACATATTTAAAATTATTGTTTATTTATAGTTCCTCAGATATATTTTCTAGATTGATCATTTATTAAGCCTGGAAATATATCATTAGAATATAGTACATGAATATGTTTAATTGTGTAATTGAATGATACAAATAACAGATTAATAAAATTTATATAAGAAAATTTTTATTCAATGTATTCTTTGTAGAATACTGGTAGTGTCTTAAACGGAAAGTTTTGAAAGTTTTGAATGTTAAAATGTTGATTTGATCTTAATAAGATATTGAAATTTGGTAAAATTAAATTTTTTCAAGCAAAAGATGAATCCAATGATTCTTTAGTTGAATGTATGAAGATATCTGACAGAAATCTGCTTGTTCGAAAGTATTTTCGTTCTATTAAAATATTCATTGAAAATTACCGAATAAATGATTAGAAACTTCTAAATGTATGAGTTCTTTATCTTCATTAAGTAATTTTGAATAAAAATTTTACTTTCATTAATATTTAAATGAAAATTTGATTGCAACGCTAAAGATATGAGTAATTTTTATCTATCATTCAGTGTTTAGAATATTTGTTGTATTTCATCCGCAAATACCGTCAAACTTTAAAAGGGTAGAAAAAAAAATCGATAATTATGCTCTTGCATAGAATAACAGTGATGGGAATAATGGGTTCATATCGTAAGTAGTTGAATGTTGCGACGAATAAACTAATTTCCAAATGTCAATGAATTCGATATTACGATTGCTAGAAATTCATTGAACAAAAATGATTAATGTAGGCGTCCTTTGATGTTTTATGAACAACGTATGTCATCAATAGTTATAACATTCAGGAATGTATGAAGATTTAGATGAATTTTCAATAATTTTCAATGAATCAACTTAGATGGTATCAAATTAACACAAAAACACAAATATTGAGAAATAAGCTAATTTTGGCATGATTGAAATTCCAAAAATTTTTTGAATTTCAAAAAATAAAATGAAAATTTGTTAAAAAATCTTTCAAAATTCGATTTTCAGCATTTTTTGTGAAATTTTTATCGAGATATTTATTATATTTTTATTCAAAGAAATGATTTACAACACAATTTTGAACTTCTTGCCAGAAATTTGATTCAATTTTTTTTGATATAGGCATTAAGAGATTAAATTTATAATAAAATGATTATAAACTGAAATGTACGAATCATCCCCAATAGAAATATATCATAACATTACCATATTTACTTTTTAATTCATTTTTAGGTTATGCTGTTTAGAGATTTCTTCTTTTCTTCTAGATAACACTGTCAAGATCATTTCCTTTAATAGTTTTATCATAATTTTTATTGACGTATTATGCAATCTAGCAAGTGGCCAGCGGAACCTAGCTTGCCGTCAATACAATCAAGGCAACCACAAGGACATCTTATATCATTTATTATAACTGATGGATGGGGCAATAATCAAGTTGAAATTCGCAATGCAATGATTCAAAATGCCGATGGCTCGATCTCAGAAGTTCTTCTCACTGACAAATGGTTCTTTAATGCTGAATCATTTCCGGATACTATTAGTTTTGCCTTAAAAAGCACTGAACGTCCAGGATTTATTTTATTTGGAAACGGATATGGCAAATCAGGAGTTCGATCATTAACAGTTCTTTATGACAATGAGCAAATCTGGAAAGGTGATCTACCAATGACAAACCCAAATTCAGAAAATTTCCCAATTGCTGTTCCAATTAAGTACAACGAATTTCAAAAGCCAGATATTAAGTCATTGCGTAGTGCTTCGCTGAATTTCCATCTTGATTTAGAAACTTAACCAAAATTTCTATATTTTTCATAACAACAATCTTCACCGCTTTATTATCGATTCACATCTACATACTCAGCAATATTTTCAAAAAAATCAAAAATGTTGCAGACTAATGTTTTATATCTTAATTACGACGTAGATTTAGACTACAATTGATCAATTCACTAATCACAGGGTTGACATAAGCAAGATATCAATTAGAACTGATACCAAAATGATGAAAACTTATAAATTTGTTTTAAAATAAGTTTAATTTCCAAGATAGCATCCAATCTGATTGCACATTTGATATTAAATTCGAATATGTAATACTTTCTATCTATAGCTTAACTAAAAGTTGAAATTAATTATTTTCTTTTTTGATTAGTCTTCAAAACCAAACTTTTTCACTATGAATGTTATTATTTATAGCAGAAAATTGCATTGTGATAGTTAGATTTAGTGCAATGCTTTTCACTTATCCACTTTTCGATAAAAGACTTGTGGGAATAAAAAATAACTTTATCATGAGAAATGGAAGAATTTAAAGAAGACAATCAAGACAAAAAGAGCACATCTAGTTCCAATGATCTTAATGATGTAACATTTGATGCTGATTGTTTAACTCGTTCTTTCGATTTACTTTTATCTAATAATGATTCAAAATTTAAACAAGAAATAAATCGAATTATGTATATGCTATCACATCAAAAAGTCGAACCATTCGAATTTATCGATCTAAAGACTTATGTAAATTTATTCATTAAAAATGAACAATTTTGGACCCAGAAAGATTCTTGCAAGATGTTTTACCTATTGTCATCTAACCAGTACACTTGCAATTTCTTATGCAACAACGAATTTATTGAATTTTATTTATTTTTGCTGATAGATAATCACAACAACATTACTCACATTCTCAAGACACTACGAAATATCAACGAATGCGCTGAAAATATACTTTTTGACTATATTAGTTCGATAATAGAAATTCTAAATAATATTTTAGAGTGTAATCCAGAGAAAAGAATTACTGAGGCTGTCTTCAGCCTTTTTATTTCATTTTTGAAGTTTGATGATACACATATTAATGAAATATTAATTATTCTAAGAAACTGTCTTAATTCTAACGAGAAATTATACACATTATTGACATTCAAGCTTATTGCTTCTATTATTCTTCTAAACTCTCGAAATTTAGATCAAATACTAATAGAAAACTTTCACGAAGATATATGCAATGCAATTACTTGTAAAGATCCAGATATTAGTCGAATAGCCTTACTAATACTTGATAATATTATATACTCCCAAGAAGACCTCTTTCTTCCCTTCATTTCAATTTTCCAATTAGATTTACCAAAAGATGAAGAATTCTATACTTTTATATCCATTGTTGCAAACTGTACAACTCCTGAAATATATAATTCATTCATCAATTCTCCATGTTTCATCAGTTGTTTTCAAGATTTTGATGATTTAACCTTTACTAACAAAATGAGAGTTATTTCAATGATAACAGGACTAGTAAACCTAAATAATGACAATTTTATATCATTAATGATTGAAAATGGTTGCATTAACATATTAATCGAGACGTTAGAAGAAACTACAGACGACCAAAAGCCAAAAGCTATAATTGCATTGATAACTGTTATTCGCTTTTGTAAAAGAAATAATTTCTTCATGGAAAATCTTTTTTCAGAAGATTTTCTAGATATATTAGAATCTATGGCCGAAGAAGATGATAACTTCGAAGACCTAATCGATCAACTGATAAATGAGGTAACAGAAGTTATGAATAAAGAAAATTAAATTTAAAAAATTTTATTTCTTTTCTTTGATATCGCATTTGTTTTAAATGAGAAGCATTGGAAGAAAACTGTGTCATTACACTCAATCAATTTTCTAAAGTGCCTCCAAATTTAAGAAAATTTTAACGTACACATTTTTTTGGTGAAATTTTGAGGGTTCGGTAGTGACAGAAACGTTACTTTTGAATGTAGAATCCTTATTCCGGCAGAAAAACTAATGAGAAAACACTAACATATTGATTGTAATCCAGTAGTTAGGGAAACAACATTATTCTCCATAGAGCATTATTATGTTATTGATTGAGAAAAAATGTCTTGCTTTTGAAAAGATATGCATTAATCTTATAATTCCTTTCGAAATACTGGATTACTTGCTTGATATTCCTCGCATTCAATGAAATTGAAAAAACTTTGGGGAAAAATATATATAAGTTTAACTTATAACTTTGTGTATAACTTCCAATAACAAATAACGCTTTTAAAATACGCGCATGGATAAAAATATTATTGACTTAGATATTCATGTTGTTATTGTGTTATTTCATATCTACAAACTTAATCAAAATGCATAAATGAAATCGGAAATCTTTGTGATCTGTGTTTTTCCACATATATAATGAAGCATTTATTTTCCCCAATGAATGTTAAAGATGTTTTAAATGGTAAAATTGAAATGGGTCCTTAAAAAAATTATTAATGTCCGATCAAGACACTCACCCAAATAGGTACAGTGAATTGCGAAGTATGTGTAAATACTACATCGATTTGTATAATGCGTTGTATCAGCTGAAAACTGAAAATGAAGAAGAAATACACAAGATTTTCAAAATGATCAAAACAGAATTGATTGATTCAAAGAAATTACTTCCTCATACTATTATACGTGACATTTTATGTATCATTCCGTATAATAATCGCTATACAAAGGCTTATTTATCTCTCGCCAAACTCATATATGATAATTATCAAATAAACGAAGAAATCGATGTTCCATTAACTGTTAGATACATATTTTATAAAGAATATGGAATTAAATTAAAGAAATCGGATAATTTTAAAACAATTAAAATAGAAGATCTCGATATTCATACAGAAAATACAATATACAGAGCAATTATGTATAATGACTTAGAAAGATTCATCGCTATCACTGAAATAGAAGGATTTAATGAAAATCTAAAACTTCAAAGCAAAATATACGCATTATGTGAGGGAGGATATTCATTACTTGAATTATGCTGTTACCATGGAGCAGTTGATTGTTTCAAGTTATTAAGAACGAAATATGAACCAGAAATAACTCAAACATGTCTATATTTATCATTTTTAGGAGGAAATGCAGATATCATGAGTGAATGTTTGAAACATCAAAAACCAAATCAAGAATGCATGAAATATGCAATTATTTCTCACAACATTGATTTTGTTACATTCTTGATAAGTGAATTTAATATTAAGATCAATTTAAAATATTGTGCAATATTTAATAATCTTGAAGCATTATTAGTTTATTTTGATCAAACAAATGATGTTAACACATGCTTTCTTTATTCAGCAAGGTTCAATATTCTATCCTTACTCAAATACTTCCTTTCACATGGTGCAAATATCAATGAAAAAAATGAAAACGGAGAAACTGCTCTTCATATTGCAGCATTGAATAATAGCAAAGAAACAGCCGAACTTCTTATTTCACATGGTGCAAATATCAATGAAAAAGATAATAGTAAAAGAACCCCTCTCTTTGATGCAGCAGAAAATAATAGCAAAGAAACAGCCGAACTTCTTATTTCACATGGTGCAAATATCAATGAAAAAGATAAATATGGACAAACAGCTCTTCATTATGCAGCACGTTTTAATAGTAAAGAAACAGCCGAACTTCTTATCTCACATGGTGCAGTTATCAATGAAAAAGATAAAGATGGAGAAACCACCCTTCGTTATGCAGCACGTTTTAATAGTAAAGAAATAGCCGAACTTCTTATTTCACATGGTGCAAATATCAATGAAAAAGATATTATTGGAAATACTGTTCTTCATATTGCAGCAAAGATTAAAAATAGTAAAGAAATAGCCGAACTTCTTATTTTACATGGTGCAAATATCAATGAAAAAGATAACGATGGAAAAACCGCTCTTCATATTGCAGCAAGATTTAATAGAAAAGAAACAGCAGAACTCCTTATTTCACATGGTGCAAATATAAATGAAAAAGATAATAATGGAGAAACAGCTCTTCATTATGCAGCAGTATCTAATAGTAAAGAAACTGCTGAATTTTTTATTTCACATGGTGCAAATATCAATGAAAAAGATAATAATGGAAATACTGCTCTTCATATTGCAACAAAAAATAATAGAAAAGAAACAGCCCAACTTCTTATTTCACTTGGTGCAAATATCAATGAAAAAGATATATATGGAGAAACAGCTCTTCATAAAGCAGCATTGAATAATAGAAAAGAAACAACTGAACTTCTTATTTCACATGGAGCAAATATCAATGAAAAAGATAAATATGGAAAAACCGCTCTTCGCCTTGCAGCATGGAATTATAGTAAAACAACAGCCAACCTTCTTATCTCACATGGTGCAAAGTATTAGTATTTCTTGTCAAATAGTTAAAGGATACAAATCATTTGAGAGACAGACGCAAAGAATATGATTTAAAAGTATATAAATTTCCGTTGATGCCCAAATATTCGATTGTTTTAGCTTATTCAACCGCAACTAAAATATTTACGGCAGAATTACCCATAAAAGAGGTCGAATTACCCTTGCAAATAAGAGATTTAAAGGTATTGCACGTAGATAAGTAATTTGCGAAGGATTGCATGAGTTCTTTCTCCTGCTGGATGAAGAAGTCACTCAAATAAAGGTGAATCAGCTCTTTGTTCTTCGCCAAAAAGTCAAATAATCTGCTATGAAATGGATTTGATGTCCAAACTAAAGAATGGAGGCCTGTAAACTTGGTCAGTCTGAAGTGTGAGAATAAACGGATCCATTCATCGGTCGTTGCGTCAGCATCTGACAATGATAAATGTAATCCTTGTACTTTCTTTAAGAAAAGATATGCCAATTGCTATGAGTAAAATTTTATAAATGATGCATTGAGCTTAATTTATGAAAATCTAAGATGATTTTTGAAATCTCTCAAATAAACGGACGAAAGATGAGTGTGCCGGATAACCTTCTCAACGTCACTGGGATCCGGCCTGTCAGCCGGAAAACACTCAGAAAGGCGTCCAAAGTATTGCAACGTGAAGATTATGATGCTACTTTGCCAACAACTCAAGAAGCCAGAGATATTGTAAAAACAATGAGAACAGAAATCGAAGCAAAGGAAGCACAGTTAAATAAACTCAGAGAAATGTTAGCCAGATCAGATGAAACAGATATTACTCAAGCCCAAGCTGAATTAAATCGACTTCAGGCCGCATTTGCAAAAGTTGCACAAGAATGCGAAAATAAATTGAGACCTGTTCAGGATTCATACAATAAAGAACTTTCAATTTTAGAAGGAAAGAAACAATTTTGCAATTCTTACGGTGATTCTGCTAACGAACGTAAGACTTATTTAGAAAAGCTCAAACAAAAGACTGGTACAACAGTTTTCAATCTTACAGATCCAAAAGTTACAGTTGTAACAGAAAAACCTCTTTTACCACCAATTAATACTTTAACTCAACTACAAACAGATGTTGGTGTTCTTAAGCGCACACTTACATTAGAGAAATACTCCCATGGCGAAATGTCAAAACTCAATGAGGCTCTCAAAAGATTATTAAAAGCAGCCCAAGAAGAAGAGAAAATGGCTAACATGAACTACAACTCAGCTAAACAGGATATTGATGTGAGATTAAAAGCTCCTAAAACACAATTAATCGATGATGAATGGATTGATGCTAAAAAACAACTTGATCTTAATCAGTTCTTATTAAATGAAGCTAACACAGCATTATCTCGCATCAACGATGAAGCCAAGAAGATTGAAGTTCAAAACAGACAAATTGTAGAAGATTCTAGAAAACTTCGTGAAGAATTAATCATATTAAACAGATATATGCCGAATTCAGATGGAAATGGATCCGGAAATAGAGCAGAACTTACAAAAGATCAAATTGATATTGATGCAGATAAAGCAAGAATAGAGGCTTTGAATGCCAAAATAAAGACACAAAAAGGTCGTCTAAAACCACTTAAGAATAAGCTTGAAGAACTTCCTCCAAAGATCCAAAGCGAGCAAAAGAAGCTTGAATCTCTTCAAGCCAAAAATCAACAAGTAGAACAAGACTTAGCAACAATACAGACCAAGAGGTCAGAACTAATGTCTGAGAAGATGTTTGGAGAAGACCAATACACAACAATGCTAGAAAGAGTTGACGAACAATCAAAGAGACTTGCAGAAATTACAAAACGTACTGAAATTGCAGAGGAGACACTGAGAAAGCAGATGATTATCATGAAACTTAATGATGAAATGAATAACTTGAAGACAATGGACTTCAACAGATTTACAAGTGTTGTTTCGAACTTGTTGACAATCCAAAAAGAAATCGAAGAGTAAATTATGTTATGCTTATATTAATAATACAGAATTAATTTTTTTAACATTATTTGCATATGAAATCTAAATCTATTCCGAATTTTTGAAAAAGAATTGTTTGAATATTCCGAAATTTCAAAATCCTTTTCACTTTCACTTCAAAAAGTCATAATAAACAGGTACACATTATATCAGAAATTATATATTATAGTTAAAAAAACTTTGTATTCAAAAATATGAAAAAATTTCGTAAATGTCTCAAATTACTATGATGATATTAATGGGATATTATCATTAGTAATAAATAAGATTATTTCAGTAATATTATTTAACAACGATTCACTTAAGAAGCATGTTTATTAATTAATTCCGCTTGAAATGGCAATTATAGTCATTTTAAATTTGCTAATTTGTCTAAGTTTAATTTCTAAGTGGTTTTGTAATGTTTTCACCGAAATCATCTTCGAATGGATCATCAGTTGGTTCTATCTGTTCATGTGCCCAGAAATTATGCCGTTGCCCTGCAGGCGTGGTATCATCAATAACCTTATCCCTACTCCTTTGCTCAGCATCCGACTTTTTATGGTGATGATGTGATTCCTTATCTTTTTTATCCTTGGAATCCTTATCTTTCTTTGAATGCTTAGATTCCTTATCCTTTTTATCCTTCTTATCTTTGTCTTTATCTTTATCCTTATCGTGCTTATGCTTTGAGCTCATCGATTTGTCACTTTTCATATCACTCATAATGCGTTATCAGATAATGTAATTCTTTGAATTAAAGATTTAGAAAGACAAAAGTAAACATATTATAATTTCACAAATATTTTTATCTAACTCTGAAAAATTTAATCTTTTGAAAAAAAGATATCTTATAATGAAGTTGAAATCCAATTACAAACTTTTCAATGAAATTTTTAGTTCTATGGTGTATGTATTTTTATGAAACAAAAATGAATTGTATCATGAAATAATTAATAACTTTATTCTAAAACCATTCCTTTTACATAATGTAACATAACGATGAACATTTTTCTTGCGAAGGTTCTTTATAATATAGCTTACGAAGACTTGATACTGCAGTACTCTGAGACATTAATGCATAATCATAAGCTGTTTGTTTAAAAGAGTCTTTGATATTTAAATCAGCACCATGAGATATTAGAAATTCTGTTAATTTAACATTATTATTAATTGCTGCATAATGAAGAATTGTTTTCCCATCGTAATCTTTTGCATTGAGATCTATGCCATAAGAAAAAAGAAGCTCAAAAGCGTCCAAATTTTTATTTCTTGCAGTATAATGAAGAGGCAGCTTCCCATATTGGTCTTTTGAATTTATATCAGCACCAAGTGAAATAAGAAGTTCAGCTATATCTCTACAATTTCTTATTGCAGCGTAATGCAATGCAACTAGACCAATTTGATCTTTTTCATTAAAATTTGCGCCATTAGATAAAAGAAATTTTATAATTTTCATTCGATTATGTTCTATTGCATAACAAAGAGCAGTTTTCTCATATCTATCTTTTGCATTAATATTTGCACCATTAGATATAAGGAATTCTATGATTTCAATATTATTTTTTTCTACAGCATGATGAAGTGGAGTTGCTCTATATTTATCTCCTTCATTGATATTTGCACCATTTAAAATGAGAACTCCTGCTGCTTCTCTGCAATTATTTTTTGCAGCATGATGAAGAGGAGTTAGATGATTATTGTCTGTTATATTGTTAATATTTTGATATTCCTTGATAGAACTTATTATATATTTGCATAAATCAGCATTATTATGATATGCAGCAAAATGAAGCAGAGAAAATCCATTTGATGTAGTAATAGATAAATCAAGATTTCTACTTTGGAGGATATCAATAGTTTGTGGGAATGCAGCACACCATGGAATAAGGAAATTCTTATCTTTCTCGAATATGTAAAATACTGCTTTCAAGTTTTGGGATTGAATAATATCATTATAGCCAATATAATTCGGATCGAATAAATCTCTTTGAAATATAAAATCAAGGAATTCGTCATTGTGGGATGAAATGATATCGCCCAAGAATATACTATAATTTGTATAGAATTTTAAACATTCATTGATTATATCAATATTTCCACCAATAAATGATAATCGTGTACATTTATCTGATATTTTTTTGTCGAAATTTGAAATCAAGAAATTGAAAATGTTCACAGATCCATAATAAGCACAAGCTTCAATAGGTGAAAGACCAATAAAATGTGGTGTATCTATTCGAATATCATTAATTTGGTTTTCAATAATATACTCTTTGAATTTATCAATTTGATCATACATTATAATGTTATGGATTATATTTTTTATCGGAAATGTAATTACGTTATGATCAATTTGAATAATATTATCTTTATTAACAGTGAACCTAATATCAGCATGTGCGGCATAATAATATAAATCTGATGGGCTAATTTCTGTTATTGTATATTTTGAAAATAATCGATTAAGTATCTGCAGATACTGAGGGGTTGATCGAAAGTTAAATTGAATTGCCGTGAATATACTCACAAATAGATCAGGTAAATGAATTTTATATTTGAAAATTAAAACATTTAATATTAAATCGTAGACTTCTTCAAGTTCAGTATTTTGTAAATGGTAGAGACTATAATATGTATCTATGAAATCTTTATATTTCTTTATATACACATTATCCATGAAGAAAAATTCTCTTGAAGAGTTTTTAGTTTATTGTCACTTTTCAATATTACAGGTGTGATGCACCCATAAACGAAAATTACTTATAAAAAAATCAAAAACGGAAATGAATCAAAAAGAACCTATCTTTTTCACAACAGACTTTTGTCTTAACGGATATAAAAGACAAACTACTAACTATACACATATAGATCCACCTCGTTACTATTCTTATGGAAGAGGTGTTAATCCTGATGAATTTTTCTTGGCTGAGAACCTTGCAACAAAAAGAAATCGTCCTCATACATCATTACGTTCTAGAATGGAGTTGCCAAAGACAACAGATCCATCAGAGATACAAAAACAGCAACAGAAAGCTTTACAAACAGCAAAATCTACAAGTAGCTTATCATATCGCTTTCAAATTGAAACAATACCAGAATCTCTGATGAGCAAACTAAACTTTTACGAGTCAAAGCTTCGAGCATACATTTCTTCAGGTGCTGCAACATTCGATGAAATTCGACCTCATTTTGAAGGCTATGGATTCTTTCCTTACACAGTCCAACAAAACATACCACGGAAATATTGTTTAAGTTTATCAAATATATCACTTTCCACGGAATATCTTGAATTTCCATTTGAATCTGTTGATCATACTGATATTTTCATTGATTTAGTACGCCTTGATAATGGAGCATTAAACTCTGTCAGTAATATTGTACAAATACAGCTTAAACCCACAAAAAGAGGCTTTTGGGTTCCATTAGTTTTTAATGAATACGATATCTTGGTTTATACCAAAAAAGAAGTATCCCTTTACTGTGAAGTAGTATGTACAGTTCGAGTTCCATCTCCAACTAAGCCATTTGCCTTGAAAACGACAAAAATTGCAGAAGGTCAGTTGAAATTAGTTTCATATACTCATGGAGAGTTCATTCCTATTGAAGATCAAGTCATAAATCTTCAACTAACAAGAAATAAAAAGCGTCCTCCGGATAGCGAAGCAGTTAATTTCAATTTCGAGATTATTTCAAAACCAGTTCGCTACAATGACCTTCCAAAAGACTTTATTACATCAACAGAATCAATAATGGCCTATGATATGGTCTACAAATACCTTCGCCAGGCTTTTGATCCGTTTAATTCAAGATTCAACCTTTTACCAACAGAATTATACGAAGTACTGATGTTCTGGGAGATCACAAAGAACGACAGAGCTATGCAAAGGCTTCTAAAAACTTGGGATAAAAACGATGTTATCTCATTACTGAGACTTTGCAGAGCATACTACATGTGCACAAAACTAGTACTTCCTATGGGCCCATTTCCTGCTTATTCCATCATGGAAAGCAAGGACAGCAAAACCGAGAAATGCGCAAACAGCGTTGAACACACAAAAGTATTCTCTGACTTAGGATTTAAGCCATTCCACACAGATGAACTGAGAAAAAGCTTGATTCTAGATTCAGCAGCTGTTTGGGATTAATTTTGTTATATTTGTTTATATTTACCATGTAAATTGTTCTTTTTACTTAACATTATTTCTGATGATAGAATAAATGGAAGCATGCCAAGAATGTCTAAGTGAAATCTTGCAAAATTTGATATAAATTGATGTTTAGAAAATATTTTAGTAAAACATCAAAATAACCTATTGCCTTAAAGATAAAGAACTCAAATTCTTATTCATAAATCATAAAGAAATTTCCAATTCTGATTCTAAAGATAAACGTATGTAAAAGTTCAAAATTCAGATTTCAAAACGAAGGGTAATTACTTCTAGTAGAAGAGATCAACTAATTGAAGCTTGTAAATAAAAATGACGATTTTTTAAAAATTTGTATTTGGACCAAAAGCAGAATTTACTGATCGACAACCTTTGTGGTCTGGAGGCCATTGAAGGAGGCAACATTCTTGAAGGAAGCGATGGTGATCATCTTTTCAGCATCTTCCTCATCGGCCTTGCGCTCGAATGTAACACGTACGCGGGTTGGTGGGCAGTTCTTGCCGTGGATCCAGATGCGGGAGTTAAGTTCTGGGTCGATCTTAACAACATCTGTGTGCATCATCTTCTTGGCAGCAGCTGCGATAACCTTGATGGCTCTCTCAGCACGGAATCTGCGTGTTGTTCCGTGGACAGCCTTCTGGAGGTGGATTGTTGTTTCAATCTTAGCTGGAGCGAGTTCCTTCGGCATCTCAAAGGCCGACCATTTCTAACCGCCACGTTCTCGATTCTGGATTTTATGATTGCATATGTGTAAAAAATAATAATATAACATAAATCTAAATAAAATGTCCCTTAAAAATTTAGTTTTGCTTCGATAATCAAATTATTGAATTTCAAATTTTTGAGTACAAGATCTTGCACGGAATGATTATACTAAACAACATACATTTATCAAGGATGTATCATTCAAATTACTCAAATTTCGTAATTATTGCATAATCCAAGAAATTCATAATAAAAACTTGTTGTAAATAACGATCTGAATTAAAAATCCAACATACTACATAAATTAATGCTAAAATACAAGTTTTCGATTGTTCTCATTCATCTGTTAGATTTTTTTTTCAATCACACTGATAAAAACTTGGCAAAATAATGATGCGGCGATTTTCATATGGCGATGACCTATTTTCAAAAGACATGTTTGAATCACCATTTGATCTCGTCGAGGAAGTCCAAATTAAGTCAGCATCAGAAGCTGCAAAAGAGTCAGAATTATTAGCATCATTATTAGACGAAAAATCAGAATGGGATTCAAAATTTAACGCAATTAAGCGAAGTATGTCACTAATAAAAGGAGGCGCTCTGGATTATCCAGAATTCAATTTAAATATTTTCGTTCCTAGCATAGCAAACGTTGTTACAGACCTTAGATCAACTCTTGTCAAATGGGGAGCCCTATTTGCATGCGCATTATCTAAAGTTCTCGGTGTCAAATTTTCAAATTTCACAGATTTATTCATACCAAATCTTTTCAAACAAGCTACTCACGGTACTGCAGTTATTTCACAATCATGTCACTTTGCAATTGTTGAAATTGTCTCAAATTCTCCTTCAAGAAAAACTGCGCGTTGCATATTAGATAAAGCATCCGATAAATCATCAGCACGCCGCCTTATTGTTGCCGAATCTCTCAAAATAATGACAACAAGTTGGCCGAAAAACATATATACGCCCCTCCAAACTGATATTTCTTCTGCAGTTACCAAACTACGCAAAGACGCATCGAGTGAAGTCCGTAATACATTTAGATCATCACCTGGCCAGGTCTTACAGCCTCCTTCGTCAGGAACTCCCCCTTCAATTTCAAGATTAACTCCAAAAGAGTCATTCAGGCGCTTATCGCCTCGAATACCACAGATATCCAAAACACCACGTCCATCGTTACCAGCAGTACCTTCATTCCAAGCTACAAAGCCTCATAACGAATCCGAGGCCACACAGTTCATCCATCAGATTTCGCAACAACTAGAGAGTACAGTACCTGCTTCTAAGAAGCGCAAGGTCAAAATGATCCAAGAAGCATTTCCTGCCGCAGTAGATTTGACACCTTACGATCCAACGCTTTACACGATCATTCCAAAGCTTCTGAAGCGCTACAAGGATGAAACTAAAGAAGTTATAACCGATATTTTGATATCAATGGAACTGGACGAGAAAGTTCTCAAATCATCAATTTCTACCTATACTTTTGAAGGTCTTTTAGAGCTTTTTAAGAGGGATGCTGATGCTTTAGCCTTTGTTAAACATGTATATTCAACGAACCAAGAGTTAGTTACAGAAAATTCCCTAAAAAGACTCAAAGAAATTCAAAAATCAAATCCAGATGACAAAGAATTCAATGAAATCATTGAATCATTGACCCCTCATAAAGAATACATAGATGAGCTGATAGACAAAGCCATTTCTAACCAGAACTACGATGGAATCATTACAGAAGCTTATTCTTCATCTGAATCAACGAAATTTATGAATGATATCAACAATTCTGACAAAATTCCTAACCTTTTCAAGTCAGAACATAATTTAACTGCATGCGAACTATGTGAGAACTTGATAAGAAAGATACCAACATTAACATTTGATTCATCTTTGTCTTTCTTGATCAAAAAAATCACAAATTCAAGTTTATGCGCTCCGATTTCGGAAAAAATTGTTCATGTAATAATGCAACAAGGACAAATACATAAGAGATTCTCTGAATTACTAAATGAGCCAGGTTTCTTGTCTGCACTCGCTAATTACTTACCAAAAGCTAATTCTTCAGCTTCGACAAAAATTTACCAAAATTTGTCAGAAATTTTGGTTCAACAAATGAAAAGTGACAATTTGACATCGAGGAGATGTTCAGCTATGTGCATTATATACTTGATGAAGAATACTGGAGATAAATCCATATTAGAGAAACTGAATGAAAATCAAAAACTTGTTATTAAGAAATACAGTCAAAGACTCAACTTATAAGACTATGCTTAACAATTTATTTTTGTTTGTTTGTATATTAATTAGTAAAAACACTATTATTGTGTATATTGCAAAATATTTTTTATCAAATTAATGAAATCTGCCTATTAAAACTTTATAACATTCATTCGCAACATCAACATATTCTTATACAAAATTCACAAGCATATAACTTAAAATTTTGATATTCAAATTTTATTTTTTCATGATCTTATCCTATAATATGTGTTATGAGATGGGTGTTTACCGGCAAACCCAAATTTTAGCTAAAAGTGACAGGAAAAAAAAACGTTTAGTATTAAAAAAAAGACCGATGAGAGCTTCGTTCGAAATATAGAGGGAACTGAGAATGCGCAACCATTCTCAGGGAATATTGGATGCTATTCCCGTTCCCTCTGTATGGAAAATTGAGGTTTTCAAAGGGAGTTAAAATAATATCAAATTTATACTAATTTACTTCAAAATACAAAAGTATTTGACAGCTAAAATTAGTTACTTTAGCAAGCCTATCAATACCCTTTTACGATTATTGCTACTTTTTCGAAATAAAAGTAAAAACAAATTTATACTAATTTACTTCAAAATACAAAAGTATTTGACAGCTAAAATTAGTTACTTTAGCAAGCCTATCAATACCCTTTTACGATTATTGCTACTTTTTCGAAATAAAAGTAAAAACAAATTTATACTAATTTACTTCAAAATACAAAAGTATTTGACAGCTAAAATTAGTTACTTTAGCAAGCCTATCAATACCCTTTTACGATTATTGCTACTTTTTCGAAATAAAAGTAAAAACAAATTTATACTAATTTACTTCAAAATACAAAAGTATTTGACAGCTAAAATTAGTTACTTTAGCAAGCCTATCAATACCCTTTTACGATTATTGCTACTTTTTCGAAATAAAATAAATTTATTATCAAAAACCTTTTTTTTTCTTAGTAAAAATAAACGAAATTTTTTACCTTATGAACTTTTGATGGAAATATGCAAATTTAAAATAATAAAGAAAGCCGATCGCTTCGCTCGCGGCTTAGTTCGAAGATTTTGATTCAAATCTTTGCTTATATTCCTTAAATTCTTTATGAAACTCGCAACAGTTCCATAAAAAATTTTAAATTCTAAACTGTCGAAATTACCGATCGGTAATCACACCCTTCACGGGTGTGTCACTTTTTACAGGTGTGTCACTTTTAGCTAAAATTACCCCTACTCAAAAATAATTTTTTTTATTTTACAAGTTTATGGATGAGTAAAGAGTCTAGAACCAATATCTTCTATGATCCAATTGAAGCCATTTTCAATGCCTTCTCTTGATTTTGCACTGCATTTTTGAATTGACCAATGTCTCTTGTTAATTGCGTTAAGATCAAGGAGCTGAGCTATTTCCTCTGGTTTCATGGCTCCATTAATATCTTGCTTATTAGCAAAAATAAGTAAAGATGCACCAGCAAGTCTTTCTTGCTGTAAAACAGAATCAAGTTCCTTCTTGCAATCAGGTATTCTATTTCTATCAGTTGAATCAACAACCCAAACTATTCCGTCTGTAGTTTCGAAATAATTTCTCCAATATGCGCGAATTGTTGTTTGACCTCCAACATCCCAACAATTAATACGATATCCTTGTGTTTCAATTGTTCTGATTTCAAATCCAAGTGTTGGTGATAATTCATCGATTGATTCTCCGAGAAATGCTTTAATTACTGAAGATTTTCCTGCATTATCAAGACCAAGGAAAAGAATTCTCATTTCTTTTTCCTTGAGCTTTAATTTCCTGAGCATACCAAGTAAACCCATTTTCGAGAATAATGATTTTTAAACGAGTGAAATTTTAATTCAATTTTTGAAAAATCGAATAAAATACATTTACACACTGCAAACATTCATACTATCAGAAAAACAGTGATGGATAATATTAATAATCTAATTGTTCTGGCCATTTAGCCTGGCTAAACTTACTAAGTGTTCACAACAACATATTTATCCACCGTTAAGTTGAAGTTCAATAGACAGTATCAGAATGTCAAATAATTAAAAATAAACAAAATAAAATTAAAGATTTTATTGCACAACAATTTAATAGATTACAAAGAATAATTGCAAACACTTTATTTCTTGTTTCTCTGCTTTGCCTCTTGGTAAGCGCGATAAGTAAGAAACAGATTCTTGCATTCTTCGCAAACAGTGTAATTAATGGCAGCGTTTGGTAAAATCTTGAAAAGATTAACGTGAATTCCTTTGAAGAAACCTGTTGCTCCTTCCTTCTCCCATATACTCTTGAAGCAACCAATATAAGAATTATAGATACGCTTTCCTTCGGAGTCAACAATCATCATTCTTCTTCTCATTACATCGAATGGGAATGCAATTGTCTGGCTTACTGCACCAGAGCAAGCACCAATGAAGAGATTACGCCATGTAGCAACTCTTCCTTCTTTCTGTGTGTAAAACTGTTTGAATCCACCTTGAACAACGAACTGGGATCCTTCATAAACAATCGCACCGACGATGGTTGGAAATACACCAGACCATAAACCTGTTATACCGTCTTCTAATATGATTGTTTTGGTGGCATGGAAGAGGTTATGATATCTGTCTGGGTTAACAGTTGTTCTTGTCAAAATTAAGTCAAATGGATAACAAACTCCTTGAGAAATAACGCCAGCAACTGCTCCTACTAAGGCTCTCTCTGCAGGTGTCGAGTTATATTCACGCTTCAAATAGATTTGGAGGTGATCAATAACTGTATACTTTATAGCTTGAAGAGGAGCAGCATTAATTACGCCAACAAGATTTCCTCTCCAGAACCCTTTGATGCCATCCTTGGCAATAATTTCTCTGCAGGTTTCTAAAATAGACGTTTTGTGTGAATTTGTCTGCATTAACATCTTGACCGTGTCTAAAGGACAAGAAGCAGTACGCGCGGCTATGCCAGCAATGAAACCAGCTATGAAGGAGTCGCTTGGTTTGAGTTTTGCGTCTGATGGCGAAGTAGCAATAAGAATTTTGTCTGCTGGTTTCATGAATAATTAAAAAAAATTTTGTACTGATTGAATCTCTCAATTTTTGAATGGCATTTTGTGAAACCAGTATTGAATTTTTTTGTTAGATATCCACAAATGTTTTTCTACACATTATGAAGATTCCAATTAAATCGACCCAATATGAAAAACAAAAAGTGCCATCGGCACCAACAAACCATCGACCTTCTTTGGCATTTCAAATAAAATTTTTGCTCTTAAGTATTGTAACATGATAATGAATATTAAAATCTAATAGATTCTCATTTTTAAGTCATTTTATTTCGATAATTTTCTCCATCAGATTATTGGTCTTACATCCCGAAGGACGTAGCTCAGCGGGAATATCATCAATTGTAATGTGAAATAAAAAGTTCAAAATCAATGAAATCATCATCAATTACAATTTAATCCCAATTTTAAATGCAACAACAGTAATAGATGATTATGATCCTGAACAAGATCCAACAAGACACAAGATTGCATTACCTTCATTCAGAGTTGTAGAAATGCTATTTTACAAGAAAAAATACGGATTTATTCTCTATTTCAATCATTTGCTAAAATTCGACTCATCTTGATCCAGAAATGTTGACAATGGCTCTTGAAGCCTTAAATTTAATGATTTGCAACTATCCTTTTTATATATCCGAAATTTTGAAGAATGATGCAATACCAATACTAGTTGATTTAGTAGTTACAGCACATGATGATACTTCTATGATGCTAATATTGTGGCTTTTATTCAATTGTACGATAGAAGGAGCTGGTTCTCATTTATCTGAATTTATTAGCGCTTTAGAACACTTGACTTCACTTCAGATGCCACAAATTACACAATTCTTGTTTTATATCGCATCAAATATATGTATTTCAAGGCCAGTTGCAGTTGCATTTGCAAATTTACCTTATTTTAATAAACTCATCAACAAAGCGATGACATGTGATAATATTGACCTTAGATCAGCATCATACATGCTCATTACTCATATTTTAACATGGTATTACGCAGTTTAAGTTAAATCATTCGTAACTCTCAAATTTGAGAACTTTACGTGTTGTAAAGAGTTTACATACGTAATCAATTTACATTTTTTTTAAGGGTGCACTTACCACTTTCTGACATTCTCTCAATTATTTGACACGCTCTAATTTGTGAAATAGATTTCACCACAATATAAGCAGATTTTTTCTTTTCAGATTTATTTTTTATATGAACATTCAATAATAGGTCCTAATATTATATCAGATCTTCATGATAACAACAATTTGAACCTCTTTTGTCAAAAAATTTGAGAGAATGTCAAAAAGTGCACCCTTAATTGACAAAATTCATTGGCGCTCCAGCATGTTTGGGGTTCATTACGAAAAAGTTTGATATATGAAAACTTAGCTTGTACAAAATATATTTGAGCTAATAGTATTTAAAATGGAGATATTTGTTAAATTCACAAAATATGAGAGTAAAAAATTGGATTTTTAATAATTTTTATTGATGTTATGAATTGTAGGTATTAATATAGGACATTTATTAGCATAAATTCATTATATTTACTAAAAAATTCCTATATTGAAGATCTGAAGTGTCTGTACGGATATTGTACCCACAAATACTGATAAACGAATGAGTTTTAACAAAAAAAAGGCATTTAGTTTACTTGTCGTTACATCAATCCATTAATTTCGAAATATATTGAAAAAGGATTATTGATTCCATGAAATATGTAATCATCTTTAAATTCGTGTATATTAAGGCAATGAATTAACATCAAATTATTATGAGATGTTTATTCTTATATAATTGCAACAATTATTCTTATCGGAAGAAGAGTTATTGCAACAATTATTCTTATCGGAAGAAGAGTTATTGCAACAATTATTCTTATCGGAAGAAGAGTTATTCTTAAATAATGTAATATCTTTAGCACCATGATCAACTAAGAAAGCGATAATATTTGTTGCTTCAATTTTGATGGCAATACAAAGAGGGCATTCATTAATATCGAGAGAATTTCACAAAACATTGATAAATATGGAAAGAAAGGGAATTTTATAAAACATTGATAAATATGAAAAAAGAGAGAATTTCATAAAACAATAATGAATATGATAAGAAAGAGAATAAGTTTCATGTTAACATCAGCAGAGTAGGGGTAATTTTAGCTAAAAGTGACACACCCGTGAAGGGTGTGATTACCGATCGGTAATTTCGACAGTTTAGAATTTAAAATTTTTTATGGAACTGTTGCGAGTTTCATAAAGAATTTAAGGAATATAAGCAAAGATTTGAATCAAAATCTTCGAACTAAGCCGATCGCTTCGCTCGCGGCTTTCTTTATTATTTTAAATTTGCATATTTCCATCAAAAGTTCATAAGGTAAAAAATTTCGTTTATTTTTACTAAGAAAAAAAAGGTTTTTGATAATAAATTTATTTTATTTCGAAAAAGTAGCAATAATCGTAAAAGGGTATTGATAGGCTTGCTAAAGTAACTAATTTTAGCTGTCAAATACTTTTGTATTTTGAAGTAAATTAGTATAAATTTGTTTTTACTTTTATTTCGAAAAAGTAACAATAATCGTAAAAGGGTATTGATAGGCTTGCTAAAGTAACTAATTTTAGCTGTCAAATACTTTTGTATTTTGAAGTAAATTAGTATAAATTTGATATTATTTTAACTCCCTTTGAAAACCTCAATTTTCCATACAGAGGGAACGGGAATAGCATCCAATATTCCCTGAGAATGGTTGCGCATTCTCAGTTCCCTCTATATTTCGAACGAAGCTCTCATCGGTCTTTTTTTTTAATACTAAACGTTTTTTTCCCTGTCACTTTTAGCTAAAATTTGGGTTTGCCACATCAGCACCATGATCAACTAAGAATTGAACAATTTCTATTGAATTAGCTTTGATAGCAATACTAAGAGGACATTGATTAATATCGAGAGAATTTCATAAAACATTGATAAATATTAAGAGAAAGAGAATTTCATAAAACAATGATAAACATTGAAAGAAAGAGAATTTCATAAAACAATAATAAATATGAAAAGAAAAAGAATTAGATAAAACAATGATAAATAGGAAAAGAAAAAGAATTATATCAAATATTGACAAATATGAAGAGAAAGGGAATGATATAAAACAATGATAAATATGTAAAGAAAGGGAATGTTATAAAACAATGATAAATATGTAAAGAAAGGGAATGTTATAAAACAATGATAAATATAATAAAAAAGAGAATGCAATAAAACAATGATAAATATGAAAAGAAAGGGAATTTCATAAAATATTGATAAATATGGAAAGAAAGGGAATTCTATAAAACAATGAAAAATATGAAAAGAAAGAGAATTTTATAAAACATTGATAAATATGAAAAAGAAAGAGAATTTCATAAAACAATAATGAATATGATAAGAAAGAGGATAAGTTTCATGTTAACATCAGCACCATGATCAACTAAGAATTGAACAATTTCTATTGAATTAGCTTTGATAGCAATACTAAGAGGACATTGATTAATATCGAGAGAATTTCATAAAACATTGATAAATATTAAGAGAAAGAGAATCCAATAAAACATTGATAAATATTGAAAGAAATTGATTATAAATACTGTTGATATTTCCTCCATTAGTAAGTAAATAAGATGCAATATCATAATTTCCGAAATACATACTTTCAGCTATTGAATTAGGAGTTTGTTCAAAATTTGTTTTAAGGTATTCAGCAATTTCATAGTGTCGATAATCCAATGCTGTATTAATCATGTTATCAAATGATTTACCTTCTTCTATCATTTCCATAAAAATGTTTTTATTTCCGCCTTGAACAGCATATTTTTCGGATTTATTAGTGTATTGAGCTCCTAAATTTTTCAAGTAATTGAAACACAACTCTGAACCATATTTAATTGAACAATCAAGTGGTGTGATTTTATTACTCTCCTGATTAATATCAAGGTTTGGGAATTTACTCTTAAGATCATCAATTTTATCCCATGCAATATAGTATAATGGAGATTCTGTTGAATACAAATTCAGAATTTCTTCTTCTTTCATTTCAGGTTCAAAGTTTTCAAATTTGAAACCTCTATAATATAATAACGTCACTAATTTCTCATTTTCCGGTTTGATGATGCATGAAAATTCGTTTAATATCTTTTGGTAAAGTTCTGTGAATAATTTAATATCTTTAACACGAACTTGTGAAATAATATCAATCAAATAAAGTGCCATTTGGATAGTTATTTTGTAAGCTGTTATTAATTCTATAATTTGTGAAGATGTTTGTAAAATATTATTGGGATTGACCGCCCAAATGATTTTTGATGCTTGATCTGAGTACTCGAATACTTTAATTGGCTTAAGATCACTGTAAATGCACCAATTTTCATTTTTTGGCTGCGCTGAACTTGACATTCTTTGTAAAATTTTTGGATGTGGCACCTTTTGCCTTAAAAAATGTGATCTAAGCTTTCTCTTTATGGTTTTAGGATATATATATCTGATGTAGATAATAATGCATATAGTATTATATTTAAACTTTTTATTCGTTCTCTGGCCGACAAAAAGCCAGAGAATCACATCTGCATTAACTTATGTTGCAGTTTTCTGGATTTCCTCTCTCATTTGAGTGACATCCAGATAACTTTAGCATCAACGAATTACAGACATGTTCTCTCGCTCTTTGTTGGCCAAGTACGTCAACTACATTACACTATTGCAGAGTTCTTCCGAGGCCTCTTATCAAATGAGAGACTTCGGAAAAACTCTGCCTTATTAGATCAGCTACAGAATCCCTGGTTCTTGAGCGTGCTATGCATATGTTGGAGAAATAACCTACCGTGTTTTTTCGAAAATATTACTGAATTAATATAATTTTTCATATAATCTATAGGAAAAGCGCTTTATTTTATTGAGACTATTATGTTAGAGTAGCTAAAACGCTTAATGATTGTGTTGAGATTGTTAAGAGAAGACAATACTATGATTTACTTACGAGAATATTCTCAAATTCTTTGAAGTGAATCTTAAATTGCTATTTCATACAATTATTCTTGCTTTGATTCATGTTACCTAACTTATCCTAAATTTTTAGATCAGTTATTTTTACCCCAAAATTTTCGGTGATAAAAATTTATCACCATTTTTTTTTAATTTTTTTTAAGATAAGAGTTTTTATGATAGATGTCAAGAGGCAGCCTTGGAAACCAGAAGAAGATTCATTCCTTAGAAATTTAGTTACAGAGACGGCAAATCCAAACTGGAAAGACATCTCTCGAAGAGTTTCTGAAAAATTTACACAGCGATCGTCCAAACAATGTAGAGATAGATACAACAACTACTTAGATCCTAAAATAGATACATCATCTAATGTTTGGAGTCCAGAAGACGACTATGTTCTTGCGAAAATGGTTTTAACTTATGGAAATAAGTGGACAGCAATTGCGAAGCTGATGCCAGGCAAGTCTGAAAACATGGTCAAAAACAGATGGAATAGCTCACTTAGCAAGCGCGCGCATTATGTCGGAAACATGATAATAATTGACGAACATAAAGGGCCTGGTAGGACTCCTAAGTACCCACAACATGAAGAGCCCCGCCAATGCTACTCTGTTCCATTGTTTCCACAAAGTATTTCTCAATTTTCATCAGGAAATAATACAATTATTACACATCAACCGATTGATACTTCTTGGCGTAATGTCAAAGGTGTACAAAGCTTTATGCCACCAAACTTTCCACGTTTTCATCAACCAGATCAAGCGACATCTCAATCTCCTGAAATTCCGAATCCTACTCAACCAAATCCAGAACAGTCTGCGAAACCTGAACAAAGTGATCCGAATGCTCCTAAATACTCAGTGCAGAGTTTTCTCAATTCTGCAAAAGAAACAAATTAACACTGTTACGACTTTTCTTTCAAATTTTGTAATAATGTTTTAGTTTTTTACCATGTAAATGCGTTTATTGACTATTTGTATATTATTTGTTTGCGATTTAAATAAAAAATAAACATTTTATTTTTACAAAACAAGAAAATTTTAGAAAAAGTTCTATATTACGCAAAGAAGAATGTAAAGATAGGATCAAGTGATGCAATAGATAATATATACAGAAAAACAGCACTTGTTGCTTTATAGACATTAGATCACACTGATTCTATTATATTGAGTTCCTAGAATCAGTGTGATCCATACGATCAAGCTCTAATAAGGTTATTTTTTGTTTTGTTTACATTATCGTTTTAAGGCACCATTTAGAAAAATCAATGAAAATAGGCAAAAGATTTATTTTCCAATTTCGTTTCATTTGTTTTGATATTTTGAATTTTATTAAAAAGATGTAATGAAGGCGAAAAAGAATATATTTAATATCATATTTCAGAAACTCATATAGATTGGCAATAATTATTACAATAATTTGACAATGTTCTTAAAAATTTGAGGTGATTCTATCAATTGTTCTCAAAATAAATTTATTTACATCATTTGATCAGATCAATGTTTGCATACATTTACTTAGTTTGATCTTTAAAGGATTCTGATCCTCTCATCACACAGGAAATGGTTGATGCAATTAATAACAATCCAAACTCATCTTTCAAGGCGGCACTTTATCCAAAGTTTGCAAGAATGACAATTGGTGATGCAAAGCGTTTCTTATCACCAGTACGTCCACCAAGACATAATCAGGGTTCAGCTGTTCCAGTTGGAGCCAACGAATACTTCTTCAACTATGTTGATAATAATTATATAACAGGTCTCTCAAACGTTGCAGCTTTTCCAAATTTGACTAATGCTTCAAATCAAATAGCGCATGATCAAAAAGAGAATCATTCAATTTATCCTACAACTAATATAATTAAATTCCCTGTTTTTGATGTCACACAGTTATGCAGCTCATGGGCGCCAGCTGTAACATCTGCAATGTCAATATCTGTTTCTCGCTGGGCTGGACAATTCGTCAATTTCTCACTTCAATTTGTTCTTGACTGTGATATTCTTGGTGATTCATGTGTTGAACGTACACCTCTAAGCGCGTACCAACTTTTTTGGACGTACCATCCTCCAGACTTCAAGAGTTGGGATAGACCAGGTGATGAAAACTCAGAAAGAGCAAATTTTATGCAAGCGCCACGTGCAGATTTCAAAAGAGAAAATTGTGAAAACAATAGATGTTATACAGGTTTAACAAATTGCGGGCGTCATTGGGCTTTAACAGGAAATTGTAATCCAGGAGATTTAGAAGTAGTATGTCCAATCTATTTTCTATACAACTGGAGATGGATTAAATCACATCTTTGGGAAGTTGGAGCTGTCACTTCTTCAATCACGGTATACAGTTCTTTATTTAGCTATAATGGTGGCGTTTACTCAGGATACTGGATGGATAAATCTACTATTACTACTCCTAGTACAAATAATGCTGTTGATAATACTAATAATGGTGCTACTAAATCTGATTTACAAGAAAGTTGGGGCACTATTCTGGGAATGCTTGATGTTACAATCATTGGCTGGGGGCAGAAACAGTTGAACATATCCAATGACAGTAGCATGTATAAGGAAAAACTCAATCGATGGTGGTGGGTTATTCCACAATTTGGAATTAATTGGGGTATCAAATACGATAATTGCAATGCAGATGGTAAAAATTGTGTCGATGATTTTAAGGAAGTTAATGACAAAAACAATGAAATAAAGTTGAATTCTTTAATAGTTACTGGAGCTGGAATTAATAAAACGGACTCCAAGAATATATTAATGACTGAAGTACAACAAACCGAGATTGGTAATGGAGGTTTCATGAAGTTTAACAGGAGATTTGATGACTGCAATATCGAATCAAATGCTGTTGGTGCGGTTCCATATAACTTTGTGCCCCTTCCACACAGAACCCCTGAACCAACAGCAGTTCAAGAAAATCAATGACTAGCGTTTTAATTAATAATAGCTAAAAAATGAATCCTATAAAATATTTTTTTTCAATGAGTATAAAATCAAATACAAGGATAATTATACAAATTCATCTAGTGTTTATTGAGTATTTATATTAAACAAATTAGATAAGAGGTGTTATCACAGGATTTATAGTCTATTAGAATTTTTTTGGAAACAAACGGCAGATTGTGATATACAAACTAGTGAATGAAAGTTATGATTGATCTCACAGTCCTAATCATAAGATTTTCTAATATTTATTGGCAAAATTAATTGGTTTGTGATGAATAATTTTTTTTCTGGCAATGTAAAATATTTAAAATTCAAAGACCGCCAATTTTGAGACATCTCAAAATCAAAAAGTGAAAATGTTTAGAAACAATAAGAAGCAAATCTATAAAGCATACAAAATAAGGTGAAAAAAGTACAAACAACTCCACAATCTTCACCAGATGAATTGCGTTTATTTCGTGATGGATCAATAACAGCTGCCGTTTCTTTACATTGAAATCTATCGGCAAGTTGAAGAGGTGTAAGTCCATAGTAATCTCTTACATTGATATAAGAACAATTCGAAATAAGAAGTCTTACAACATCGCTACAATTGTTTTTCGCTGCAAAATGGAGACAAGTGTATCCATTTTTATCTTTAGCATTGATGTGTGCACCATGAGAGATCAAAAACCGGGCAATTTCTACTCTATTGAATTCAGATGCATAATGAAGAGGCGTCTTTCCATCATCAGTTTTTGAATTGATATCTATTCCTTGTGAAATGAGAATCTTAACAATTTCTTCATCATTATTTTGCACAGCAATATGAAGTGCAGTACATCCATCTTTATCTTTAGCATTAATATTAACACCACGAGAAATAAGATTCCTTACCATTTCTAAATTATTATTTCGGACAGCATTAAGGAGTGTTGAGTATCCACTTTTGTCTCTTGCATAATTACTCGGACTGTATGAAACAAAGTTTTGTGAAAAACCTTTATTATATTGTGGAGTATGGTAATGTGTCGAAAATTCAATTTTAACATTTGTATAGTTATTAGGTGTATATGAAGCAGGTTTTTGTTCCGATACTTTGCTATTAAATTGAGGAGAATAATTATTTGTCGGATATTCATTTTTGGTTCTGGTGTAGTTATTATTTTGTGGAGTATTTTGGCTATATGAAGTACGATTTTGTGTTAATATCTTGTTGTTGTTTTGTGGCGTATTTTGACTATATGAAGTACGATTTTGTGTTAATATATTGTTGTTGTTTTGTGGAGTGTTTTGACTACTTGAATATACATTATTATTTCTAGTATATTTCTTATTTTCAATAACTTTAGGAACAGTTTTCGCACCCGTTACATATGAAATAAGAACATTTTGAACTTCAATTTTATTATTATTGGCTGCTAACTCAAGTGGGGTTTCGTTATTATAATCTTTTGCATTAAAATCTGCACCATTCAAAATAAGAAGCTCTGCTGTTTCTTTACTATTTTTCCATGCTGCACAATGAAGAATGGTAAATCCATCATCATTCCGAACATTCACATCAGCACCATGCAAAATAAGAAACTTTGCTATATCCTTTTTATCATATTCCGCAGCAGTATAAAGTGGGGTTATACCAACATTATTTTTTGCATTAACATCAGCATTATGAAAAGCAAGAACCTCAATTGTACTTTCATTATTCTTCATTACCGCGTAATGAAGTGCTGTATTACCTACATTATCTTTTGAATTAATATAAGCGCCATGTGAAATAAGAATTTTTGCTATATATTTATTATCATTTAATGCAGCATGATGAAGAGCTGTTAAACCCATATTATCCTTTAAATTAACATCTGCTCCTTGCAAAATGAGAATTTCAGTTGCTTCTTTACAACTTTTTATCGAAGCATAATGAAGCGCTGTTTTCCCATCATTAACCTTTGCATTCACTATCATTCTACTGTATTGAATGTAGTTTGGCCATGATTCTAAGATATTTATAGTATTATGAGCACCTGCAAAATGAAGAATATTTTGTGATTTCGACGATTTCTTGGAAAAATCCAAATTTTCATTGCGAAAGATATCAATAGTTTGTGAAAATGCTGCACACCATGGAATTATTGAAAATTTATCTCTTTCAAACATAAGAAATACTGCTTTTAAGTTTTTCGAATTGATAATTGTTTCATAATCAATTTCGCGAGGTGAAAATAGACTTTTATCTAAAACATATTCGAGAAATTTATGATTATGGGATGCAACAATATACTCCAAGCATTTATTATATATATTATAACATTTTAAACATTCATTGATAATAAATGTATTTCCACCAATAAAAGAGTATTTCAGACACGATTGTGTTATATCTTTTCGTAAATTTGAAATAATGTAATGGAAAATATTAACGGATCCAAAATAACAGCATGCATCAAGAACAGAAAGATCAGAAAAACCAGGAATATCTATACAAATATTTTCGATAGAATTTCTAACTACATATTGTGTGAATTTTTCAATTTGATCATTCATAATAATGAATTGTATTTCGTTTGATCTTGGAAAGTTATTTTGACTATATTCTACTTGGCATACCTTTAAATCATTAATATAAAAATGTAAATGCAGCAGTTCAGCAGTATTTAATATGATTTCAGATTTTAATACAGGTATTGAATATTTATTAAAGATTAAATTGAGTAAATTGATATAATGTTGGACAAATCGATAATTGAATTTAATTGCCATAAGAATACTTAATACAAGATCATTTATATTCACTTTGTACTTGAAAAATAAAATTGATAACACTAAATCGTAAATTTCTGCAATAGAATCGTTTGATTTTATGTGGAATAGCTTTTCATATGCACTAATGAAGTCATTGTATTGCATAATGTAATTGGTAACCATTAAAATTCAATCAATTTCAACAATAAATTCGACATAAAAAAGTCGATATAAATTGAATACTTTTTTTGACTTTCAATAAAAAGATGTTGACATAACATAACACATCTTAATAATACATTTTTTCATTTTAAATTTGATTCATTAAAGATTTTGAAATGTCAGTCGATTACATTTTTGTTAAGAATTCGTCGTGATATTCTGATTTTGCTCAATAATTGTTTTTAATGTATGTTTACATGTATGTCAATGAGAGATATTATAAAAGATTCACTAATATGAAATTGATCTCATTCCATGTGCATCTATTAACAAAATCACAACACGAATTTCATAGAACCATTATTGTTTTTAATATAATTAATTATATCTTAATAGTTAGCAATAAAAGCATATTTTAGATTAGAGCAATAGAAATGTACAAAGAATAAGGTACTATTGTACTAGATAAAAGACAAAAATTTGAGGGATTGCTTTAAGAAATGAAATCATTATTGCTTATTTTCAAGAAGCGATATGATAAATTTGAATAAAAGTCCACAAAATATTTCACAACCATCACTAGATTTAACACGGGATGGATCAATTACTTCTGCTGTTTTAGTAGATTTATATTGATCGGCAAGTTGAAGGGGAGTTAATCCGTTGCAATCTCGAACGTTAATATATGATCGATTCGAAATAAGAAGTCTAGCAACATCACTACTATTACTTTTCGCTGCAAGATGGAGACAAGTGTATCCATACTTATCTTTTGCGTTGATATGAGCACCACAAGATATTAAATATCTAGCTATTTCTACTCGATTGAACTCTGATGCATAATGAAGAGGAGTTTTCCCGTCTTCACTTTTTGAATTGACGTTCATTCCTTTTGAAATGAGGAATTCTACAGTTTCTTTAGCATTATTTATCACAGCAATATGAAGCGCTGAACATCCATATTTATCTTTTGCATAAATATTTGCACCAGAAGCGATAAGATTCTCAACAATCTCTAAATTATTATTTTCAGCGGCAAAATGAAGTGGGGTTTTGGAGTTATTATCGCGTTCGTTGATTGGCATTCGGCATGTAATAAGAAGTTCCGTTATTTCTTTGCTATTTACTTCGACTGCAATATGCAGTAGAGATTTATAATCATATTTCAAATTAAGTTGAGCACCATGAGAAACAAGATATACAAATATTTCCTTAAATTTATTTTATACCGAAAAATAAATAGCTGTTTGGCCAATATTATTTTTTGCATTAATATCAGCACCATGTGATAAAAGGATTTTGATTGCTTCAATATTATTACTCTTAACTGCATAGTGAAGAGCAGTTTCTCCTCCACTGTCTTTAGCATTGACTTCAGAACCATAATGAATAAGAAGCTCTAGAATATCAATATTATCTTTTGTGGCGGCATTTTGAAGTGGAATTCTAAGAAAATTATTTCTTGCATGGACATTTGCACCATGCAAAATCAGAATCTTTGCTATATTTGCATGATTCATAATTACAGAACAATGAAGAGGAGTATCGCCATCTTTATATTTTACATTAACATCAGCACCATGCAAAATAAGGAACTCTACTACATCAAAACTATTTTTAATAACGGCGTAAAAAAGAGGTGTTAAATTATCAATTGATTTCGCTTCTATATTTGCACCATGAGAAATTAGACATTCAGCAACTTCTTTGCCATTTACAGATGATGCAATGAAAAGTGGTGTCTGAAAATCTTTGTTTTTAACTTCAATATCTGCGCCATTTAAAATCAGGGTTTCTACAAACTCTATACTATTATTCAATGATGCCCAATGAAGTGCACTGTACATATAATTATCTTTTGCATTTATATCTATTCCATGGGCAATAAGACATTCGGCTGCCTCTTTGCTGTTGTACACTGCCGCAGAATGGAGTGCAGTAAATCCTTCATTATTTTTTGCATTGATATCAATGCATCCCACAATAAGGATTTCCACAACATCTTTATTGTTATATTCAGATGCAATATGAAGCGATGTTTTATCATTTTTATCTTTTGCATTCAACAATATAGGAGTGATCCGTTCAGAACTTACTAAAAATTTGCAAATGTCAACATTATTATGTGCAGATGCATAATGAAGAAGAGTTTGTTGATCTGGTGATTTTTTCGAAAAATCAATTTTTTCGTTTTGAAGGATATTGATAGTTTGTGAAAATGATGAACACCATGGAATTATTGAATTTTTATCTTTAGAGAACATAAGGAAAACAGCTTTTAAGTTTTGTGATCTGATAATTGTTTCATAATCAAAATCTTTTGGCGCAAATAACTTTTTTTCGAAAACATATTCCAAGTATTTGTGATTATGTGATGCAACAATATACTCAAGACACATTTTATCAATCTTATGCTTATTTAAACACAAATTGATGATATCATTGTTATTGCCAATAAATGAGTATTGAAGACATTCTTGCGATATACTTTTCTTTAAATTTGAAGTAATGTAATTGAAAATATTTACTGATCCGAAATAACAGCATGATTCAAGGACTGTGAGTTTCTGAAAACCAGGAACTTCAATACAAATATCTTCGATTGAATTACTGTTAGTAAATTCAATAATTTTGTCAATTTGATCGTTCATGATCACGCTTTGAATTTCATTCTCTTTCGGAAATGTATCTTGAATAAATCTGACTTGATAGATACCTGTATCGTTAATAAAAAATTGCAAATTTAATGATTTTGCAGTGTCCAATAAGGTATCTAATCTTAATCTGGTTATTGAATTTTGATTAAAGTAAAGATTGAGTATTTTAATATAATGATTAAAATAAAGATAATTATATTTAATTGCCATAAATATGCTCATAATAAAATCATTTGAATTCGTTTTATTCTTGGAAATCAGGATTATTGATATCAAATTGTAAATTTCTGAGATTGGTTCGCAAGGTTTTATGTGAAAAAGCTTTTCATAAGTCTCAATGAAGTCGGTATAGTGCATTACATATTTACTAGACATGAGAAAAATAGTAATCCAATCAAATAAAAATTTGAAAGCTGTTTTTGACTTTCAACAAATAATAACTCAGACTCAAAGAAATCCATTAACCAATCTATCACTCGAGACATTTTTAACAATGTTCTATGAATATGCACAACAATTACAAAATTATTCGGTTTTTTTTATTTACATTTCGCTAGATATTAATCACTGAATAAAATGCATCAAAAATTCTAGCTCATCATGGAGGTGCATCTCATGCGCTTGTGCAGGATATGGATTCTGATTGAAGATATAATTTTGGAGAATCCGTCAAATTTATGTGATTTGTACATAGGATAATTGAAAATATCATGGTGATATCTGTTGCAAAGAGTATGGCTGGTCATTGATATTTCTCAAGATTCACATAAGATTCACAAAGTCCAAACTATAGTTTAAACATGTATAAATAACATTATTATATTATAAACATGACATATAATAAGATTATGCTGTGATTTGTCTATGTTATCTATATGAATCATGAAATATGAAAAATGTCACAAGAATTTATGTTTGTAACATTAAATACATATTTTATTACGCGAACTTTTATTTAAATGTTATAATTACCTAAATAGTTTAAATAACAACAAATTTGTTGATGGTCTTTGACAATCTAAAAGAAAAATGAAATTGATTTATATATTCCATAAGACCATAAGGATAACATACCTAAACCCATACAACCATAAAGCAAGTCATTTTCTGGTTCTTCTTTTGTTTTTGTAACTTCACTATTGGAGGATGTATTCTGTATGGATCCGATAGCTCTATTCTGTACGGATTCGATAGCTCCATGCGATTTAAGGAGCTCAGCTGTTTCCATTTTCCCATTTTTTAAAGCATAATAAAGGGCTGTATACCCTTCATTATCGGCAGTATTAATTTTAATACCATGTAATATAAGGCATTCTGCTAGTTCTTTACTACTATTTATTGCTGCTTCATGAAGTGCAGTTTTCCCATAATTATCTTTAGAATTAATATCTGAACCATGCATAATAAGATCATCTATTACATCCACACTGTTATTACTTGCTGCAAAATGAAGAGCAATCTTTCCTGAATTAGATTTTGAGGATAGATCTGCACCATGAGAAATGAGCAATTTTATAATCTCTTTACAGTTATGTATGGCTGCCAAATGAATGGCATTCTGACCATAGATATCTTTTGCATTAATATCGACATTTGACATTATTAATAACTTTCCTACTTGGACACTATTCCTTATCGAGGAAATGTGTAACGCTGTTACTCCATTTTTATCACTTGCATTTATTTCTGCACCATTCGAAATTAATAGATCTGCAAAATCTCTATAATTGCAATCAGCAGCAATGTGCAATGCAGAATAACCATTCTTATCTTTTGCATTTATATCCACTTTATTTGAAATAAGGACCTTTAAGACATCTATACTATTATGTTCTGTAGCATAGTGCAATGGAGTTCTCCCATCTGAATCATTATCTTGAATATTAACATCAGAACCATGGGCAATAAGAATTTCAGCAATTTCTTTTCTATTCATCCGTGCTGCTATATGAAGTGCCGTTGCCCCTTCATTATCCTTAGCATTGATGTCAGCACCATTGGAAATTAGAATTTCTACAATTTCTTTATTATTATTGATAACTCCAAAATGAAGAGCTGACCTACCTTTGTCATCTCGTTCATTTATCAAATCTTGAGAGCCTGAAAAACGTTTGCATAATTCTACATTATTATATGCAGTTGCATAATGAAGTAGTGTCCATTGGTCTGAAGTTCTCGCTAAAATATTTATATTTTCTTCTTGAAGAAAAGCATAACACGGTTTCAAAGCAGCACACCATGGAATTATGCAATTTTTATTTTTTTCATATACTAGGAGGAAAGCATTCATGTTTTGAGATCTGATAATTGATTCGATATAAATATAAGAAAGATTAACCAAGTCCATTTCAAAGATATATTCAAGATATGTGTTGTTATGCGATTCAATAATGTATTCCATGCATATTTCATCGATTGAATGATTCTTAAAACATTCATTGATGATATCAGCATTACCACCAATCAGGGAATATTGAAAATCTTTCTGTGTAATTTTGGTATTTAAATTTGAAATCATGAAATTGAAAATATTAACTGAGCCAAAATAACAGCATGCTTGAAGAGGTGAAAGACCCGCAAAACCAGGAATAAGAATATAAACATCATCAATCGGATTGTTAATTATGTATTCAATGAATTTATCGACTTGATCATTCATGATTATACGGAGAATTTCATCCTCTTGTGGGAATTTTTGATTATATTTGATCATACAATTATTGGATGCATCTTTGAATAAATCCAAATGTAACTGTTTAGACATTTTTAATAAGAATTCATTGCCCATTTCAGATATTGAATTGGTGATTAATAAATTGTTAATAATATTAACATAACGTAGAGTGGATCGATAATTGAATTTGATTGCCATCAAAATGCTAAGAAATATATCTGGAAAATCAACTTTGTATTTGGAAATTATAATATTTGTAATCATATTTATTACATCTTCATCGTTTTGGTCAGATCCCAAGTGGAAGAGTGCTTCATAGGCTTTAATGAAGTCATCATAGGGTTTAACATGCTCGGAAGTCATGAACTTCTTTATTAAAAATGATATTCCGACATGGTTTTTTAAAGAGAATTAGAAATTAAAAATCCATTTTATCAAAAAAAAAGTTGTTGTTTAAAAGAAGAGAAGACAAAAACATTTGGTGGTGTGGTTAGTGCTAAATTACACCTTTTTTTCAAAATTTTTGTTAATGGTATCGTTCGGACCAAATTACACAAATTTTAACAATTAAGAGAAAGTTTTCTAATATACCAAATAGTTTGTGAACATTAATGATTTGATAGTTCACTTGGAACTCTATCAAATTGTTGTTTCAAACACAAATATTCATGTAAATTGTGTTATTACATTGAGTATTTCATTAAATATTAGGCATTAATAATTAGTATAGGTTCATTCACATATTGTAGCCCAATGCACATAAATTGTTGCAGTCAATTATTGAAAATAAAGAAAAAAGGATCTCTTTATAAAAAATTAACAACATTGCTCATATAGTATATATATTCTGTGAAACTATACTAATATTATTTTTGATAAGTAGTCGTGATAAAGTTTTTGGATCTTATATGCACAAAGAAAAATTATTTCGACAAGATTGAAACTTATTCCTATTATGAGAATGAATTATGCAATTATTCTAATAATAAGACTATTTCACTGCACTATTTTAATATTTACTATACATGTCAGATTCACATGAAAATTTCATATTGAATTGGTGCACAAACATTATTACCTTTGATCATACACATGTACTATAATTATTAATCTACTTAAAAATTTATAAGACATGAATTTTAGTGATTGAATGACTTGTCTAATTTTTTGACACAAATTAATAGTGCTTTCTAATCAACTTGAAGAAATGGCATTTCAAACAATATCTGAGTGTGAAATACCGGAGAGCATGCATAAACTTAGCACAATCAGTGAGCAGTTATGGAATTCATTCTATAATGTAAAATTCAATCAGGTGAAAATCGAACTTCTCGAAAAATATCAATCTGACTATCTTATCGCAGAGAACATAAGAAATTGTTGCAATTTAATAAAAAGTTTGATTTCTATTGAAGGAACATTCAAAGAAAAAATCGATTATTATTTATGGCAATATAGATATGATAGTAGATATCATGAATTGAAGAGCTTATATTCGGAACTACTTCCATTGATTGATAATAATTGTCTCGAAGAGTTCATCTCCAAAGTTGACGAGAAGTTCAATTTTGATGATCATATACTCATAAATTACGCAGTTATTAAAGGAAACGAGAATATTTTAAGGTATCTAATGATGAATGGAGCAAAGGCAAATGATGAAACATACAAATATGCAATAATGTTAGGAAATATTGAAACAATTAACCTTTTGGCAGAGAGTGGCCATGATTTTGGTTTAAACATAAATACAGCAATTCAATACAATAAAAATGAAATTGCAGATTGGATTTTATTAAACTATGATTGCCATAATCAGCATCCAGAATTATGTTTAGATTCATTAAATATCAAGGCATTTTGCTATTGTATTTACAATAATATTGAATATCCATTAAAGAAACTTCTTGATATGAAATTCTTTGATTTAGCAACAATTTCAATAAATCATGGAAACAAATTAACACCTAGCGAGTTATTATATTTCATTCAATCCAAAGAGAATCATGAAATAAATAAGTATTTGTTTGAAAAAGGAATCATCACAAAACAATCATTTCCATCATGCGATATCTATCAATATATAATTGAAAAGTCTTATTCCAAAATGGCTCTTTTATGTTTTAAGTATTTTCCTGATTTGGAGTTTACAAATGATCATTTCAAAGCATGTATCAGATATAATAAGAATTACTTATTTTGGAAGATGTTGGATAACATTCCAAAAGAAAAAATAAACTTACAATCACTTCTTGATTCAGCCGTCAACAATAATAAGAGTCAGTTTCTTTTATCACTAATTAGCAAAGGATGCCCAGTTAATTCCTTTATTACAATATTTAAAGAAAACACAACATATAATTTGCTCGAATATTCAATTGCTTATTATAATCCAGATTTAATAGGCTTCTTAGTCAGAAATGGTGCTAAATTAGACGTTTTCGATTTGCCAAAATCAATTAGAAAATCTTATTACTCAGCAATATTAAATTTATTGAATTTGAAAGAGCAAACGGATTCGGCATTTATAATTGATTATGAATTATTTTTTATTGCTCTTTTGCAAAAGCCAAATAAATTCATATTCTCAATAATAGGACTTATGGTTAAAAATGGAATTAATTTAAATTTCAAAAATGAGACAGCATTATCTCTTGCTATAGAATATCAAAACTACTCAATTATAGAAGCACTCATGAATAATTTTAGTTTTGACGAACAAGATAAGAAGCTTGCATTTATAAAATTTACAAATCAAGTAAACTTTGGAAATGTTACGTCCATAGATCACATCAATTTTCAGGATTATTTAGGAAGGAACATCCTTCACTATGTGATTGAATCTGACTCCTATACTGGTATTGCTAAATTATTAATCGATTTAGGAGTAGATGTAAATGCAAAAACAAATAAAAATGAAACACCACTTATCCTTGCAGCTCGCTATAGTAGAGATTCCAATCTAATTAACTTACTAATTGAAAAAACAACAGATATTAATGCAAGTGATATCAACAACACGAGCTTCATCGACTATTTCATTGAAAACAATTTGGATGAGAAAATTATATTAAACATGATCAAAAAAGAGATCAAGTTCGATTATACACATGTTATGAATTGGGCAATTTACAGGAAAAATAAAAATGTAATTTCTGCATTTCGAAATAAGAAAATGGTTTATCCAACTGAATTAATGATGCATAATTCTCATCAAATGTATTATGCTATGCATGATGTTTATGATATTTATGATTTTCTAGAATTTGATGATTATGATGATTCTGACGATTCTGACGATTTTTATTAAAATTAAAAAAGCTAAAATATCGTTTTTTCCCCTCATTTTAATCTTAAAACATATATACTTATTCTTACATTCATATATCCTGTTTTATGAAAATATCTGGATGAAAATTGACAATTTTATGAAAGTTTCTAAAAATATACAAAAATAATCATAATCAAGATAATTCCAATTTTATATACTTTTTGAGTGTTAAAGCGTCCTTTAAAAAGAATATAGCATTGTTAATTTTAGAACCTACATTTTTACATGCTACGCGCCTTTAAAATATCTCAAAATTTGCGATTTTATTGAGCATGATTTCGAATTATTCAGTTTTACTAAGGATGTCAATTCGGAAAATTATTTTCATTTTAGGAGAATATAATTTTCCTTTTGGAAAATTTAAAAAGTGAGACGCGCAGGATTCGAACTTTTTTAAAAGTTGATTTAAATATATTCTAGTGTGATTTCTAAGGATATAAGGATGTCAATTCGGAAAATTGTTTTCATTTTAGGAGAATATAATTTTCCTTTTGGAAAATTTAAAAAGTGAGACGCGCAGGATTCGAACTTTTTTAAAAGTTGATTTAAATATATTCTAGTGTGGATTCTAAGGATAATATCATATTTAAAATAAGAATATACTAGTTTAGGTGGTATAATTTTTTTCGATAAATTTGAGAGCATGTACGTTTAGGACATCAAAAGTGTCAATTCGCTCAGCGAAAGCTGAGCTAGCTTCGTTCTCGAAAGAATAGGGAAGGAGTGAAAGAGAGTGATACAGATGTTGACACATTCATATCATTTCAACAAATTTTGATCAAATTGAAATTCAATGAAATTCAATTCACTTCATATCCTTCAGTCAGTACATTGACATCCTTCTACATCACAATGATAACTCGTACATCAATAGTTCTACAACTAACTCAGAAAAAACAAGATTTTTCCTTCCAGCTTACAGCTTTTAAAAAGTTTCGATGATAAAAATCACTCTACTCTTGTTTATCGATATGTTGTGATAGTAGGTAAACGTATTCTTATCGATATTAATAAAAATATTTTTACGAAAATCTGAACCAAATACAGAGTTATTCATAAAGTTTATGATAACTGTAATTACTTCATCTTTGTTTTATATTTGAATAAACAATTTAATTTAATTTAATTTGCATAATTTTTTTAGTTGAAAAACAGGAAACTTAGTTAAGTTTGTATTATTTTTATCGTTCAATTCATTGTATATGTGAGTGATCCAGATATTTAAGATATTTAGAAAAAATTTATTAATTTGATTAACAAATTTTAATCAAAATAGCAAAAATCTATTTGATAGCTGTAAGCAAACAATAACTTTTATTTCAAGCAAAATCACTTATTTTCATCTAAACGTATAAAACTGTCAATTTTATAAAAATAAATTGAAAATCTCAAGAAATGTAAAGGAGAGTAATATTTTTCAATTTTCTTTTTTTCTTTGTCTCAAATATTTTCTGTTGGGAATCTTCTTGTTATCAAAAAATAATTTTAATATTTGTTTATTTCATTACATACAATAAAATTTTAAAAACTCTATTTCTTCTCAAGAAAATTTTTTTCCTTCATATGAAGAAACAATGTTGTAAACAGAAATTCATCAAAAGTGACACCTCAGAAAAGCTAAAATATTGAATTTTTGGAACTTTTGATAGAGCACGTTTTTAAATATTAATTAAAGTAAATGTATATTTTGTTAAGATTCTTTTTAATAAAAAATAAAATTTTGAAGAAGAACACAAAATCTTCTGAAAAATAATATCACATAAACTCATATTATTTTCTAATATATAACTATTTTAGATAAAAATCAAATTCAATGATCTTAAAAGCGAAGGATAAACCTCAAAATTTACGAATATAATGAGTGGGAATATAATGCTTATCTATCATAAAACCATATGAAATATCAATTTTTGCTTTACGCCTAATTTTTGACGACAATTAGCAAAAAATGTTAAATGTTAACACTCAGTCCATTTGAATATGAAAAATAAAATTGACTTTGATTAAATGTTTTTATTTATCATGCAATTCTTCTTGCGACCAAAGATTTGAATAAAAGTTCAAAAAATAAGATAGCTTAAAAAATAATATACGGTAGTGTTTACTAATAGATGAATAGTATATAAATTCTATTAAAATGGATTTGATCCAAAAAAATATATAAAATTTGATCATAAATAAAATCGTTTGAAATTACTTCTTCATTTAAATTATAACAATTATTTTTGGTTTTATATTTTTTTGGATCAAATCCATTTTAATAGAATTTATATACTATTCATCTATTAGTAAACACTACCGTATATTATTTTTTAAGCTATCTTATTTTTTGAACTTTTATTCAAATCTTTGGTCGCAAGAAGAATTGCATGATAAATAAAAACATTTAATCAAAGTCAATTTTATTTTTCATATTCAAATGGACTGAGTGTTAACATTTAACATTTTTTGCTAATTGTCGTCAAAAATTAGGCGTAAAGCAAAAATTGATATTTCATATGGTTTTATGATAGATAAGCATTATATTCCCACTCATTATATTCGTAAATTTTGAGGTTTATCCTTCGCTTTTAAGATCATTGAATTTGATTTTTATATAAAATAGTTATATATTAGAAAATAATATGAGTTTATGTGATATTATTTTTCAGAAGATTTCATTCTATATGCCTATGAAAAGTACTCTCAAAACTAACTTTTTCCTAATTATAATTAAATCTAGAATATTGTATTATGCTTAGTATTATTTCATTTTTCTTATTCAATTTAGAATTTACAAATGTCAAAAAATTGAGAGCTGTTACTTTTGATGAATTTCTGTTTATTACAACATTTTGTTCTCCATTTGATGCTGAGTCTAAATCTCGATTTTTGAATTTTCTTCTTTCCAAATTTCTTTTTTCCAAATTAGAAGTTTAATTCAAATTTTCAATAGTTTATATATTTTCTCAAACCGTCTTAGATTTTCTTACTTTTTGGGGATTTTCTCTCAAAATATACAAAAATAGTAATATCAATACATGTGTCTAATATACTTTAAAACCATCGTGATAAAATTCAAAAACGAAGAGATCTTCTCTCCAAATTTTTTTTCAAAATCAAAAAAATGAGATAAAAAATATGTTTGGAAATTCATTTTTGTTATAGACCGAAAATAGATTTTTTCGGTTTTCTCTTCAAATAATTGAAAGAATGATACTATTATAGGTTTATTATATTATATAGCATATAATCATGCTATAGCCGAAAATTATAAGTTTTGAGAAGATTGAATATAACACAAATAAATTTGAATGTAAGTTAAATTGCTTGTTGTTTTTAATAGCAATTTAATGAGAAATCCAATATTGCAAAATTCAAATTGAATGATTGAAAGAACAGAAAAAGTCATTCTTTTCAATTTCGAATATGTTTCATTGTATTTATAATTATATGGCAAATAAGATATTTAAACTTGATTTTTGAAGGAAAATTCACAAAATTGAATGAATTCAAATAATTTTATTCAAAATAAACTAGTTATTTGAGTTAATACTAATTATCTATTCAAACTACAAAGTTTGTAATTTAAAATATTTTGTGAGATCAGATTGAATTAATTCAAGGTTCTTTTCAATTAATATTAATGACCATATTACGCATTTTCGAACATTCTAAACCAAATATATAAAAATGGGAGACGAATGTTAAATTTGCTAGACATGGGGGAGTTGTCTGCAAAGTTTTAGCTCTTATCTCTAACAAAAAATTAATTTTTAAAAAAATGACCGAATACGTTTCACAGCGAGAAAAAAAATAAAAGGCAAGATAGAATTTTCTAGACATAAAGAAGTTGTTTACCGAGTTTTAGCTCTTATCTCTAACAAAAATTAATTTTTAAAAAAATGACCGAATACGTTTCACAGCGAGAAAAAAATAAAAGGCAAGATAGAATTTTCTAGACATAAAGAAGTTGTTTACCGAGTTTTAGCTCTTATCTCTAACAAAAAATTAATTTTTAAAAAAATGACCGAATACGTTTCACAGCGAGAAAAAAATAAAAGGCAAGATAGAATTTTCTAGACATAAAGAAGTTGTCTACCAAGTGTCAGCTGTTACTTCTTCTCAATACTGATATAAAATAAAAATCTTTATTATTTATTTAACCTTTATTGTTTCATTAAACTTCATTTATTTTATATTATAGTTTTATTCTTTTAGCTACTTGTAAAATAATCTAATTTTATATCATCATTTTACCGGATTATTCTTCAGTACATCGATTGTGTATCTAAAATAATATCATTATCCTTATTCTGTTTTTTCCAAAATTCTTTTAAATATCTTTTTTGGTTAGATTACTTTATACTTTTTACTTTTATTTTTTAATTTCAAAAAAAAATTTGGTGATTGTTCTATTCTGTTACAATGTGCATTATCATATTCTAATGAATTATTCATTACATACATTTAAAAAACTTGTTAAAAATGAAATTAAAAAATTATGTTTATTATTACGCTGTGAATGTGTCAACAGCGGTCATGCCTGTATCTGTATCCCATATTTGCCACAACATTTCTGTATCTGCATTTGTGTATTTCGGTTTCAGCTGATACATTTGATTTGGCGTGTAATTTGTTCCAGTTAATGGATTAATTGGGAGATCTTCATGCGGTGTGTTATTATTGTACTCCCAAATAAAGGCAGGAATAGCCTGAATGCTTTGGCAGCGCTCCAATGTCGGCCAGAATCTCTCAATCTTCCCATTTTGGTAGGGAGAATGAGAGTCTGTATGCCGCCATTGGACGCCCCAAAGATCAAGTAGATCTTGAAAGGCGCCCCTATTTTCTGAACCGTTGTCGGTCCAGAAACAATAAGGGGCGCCAAATTCAATGAAGGCGGAAGCCGCAACGTTCGCTGTCGTCGCTGCCAGCATATCTGGTATTTGTATACACGCTAGGACTTTGCGGCTAAAATTGTCGATTATGCCATAAATATACTGGCCACGAACACCCCTAAAATAATGAACATCTGCGTGCCAGATAAGATTGGGTGAAAGCGCCCAATATCTTACTGCTGTTTCTGGCCCGGCATGCTCTAATCGCGTCTTGGTGAAATGATTTTCTTTGAAGTATCTGCGTACTTCTCTATAAGATACATCAATTTGTTGTAATTTCAAACGTTTCCATTGTTTTGTTTGACCACATGGAAAGGCCCAGTGGTCATGTATCACAGCAAGAGCTTTGATTTGGTCGTAGGGATTGACCCTACGACCTTTCTTGCCTTTAGGCAATGGGATATTCTGTAAGCTAAATTGATTTTGTAAAAAAGATTTTGAAACATCTAAATATTTGAAATCATTTGATTGAAGGGTTGGGGCGATGGGAACATGGGTGCAAGCTTCTTCCCATGTCATTTTACCTTCTTCAATCTGATTGGAAATACCAATTAGGTAAATTCGATCGACATACCCTTTGTAAGGATTCATTCTAATGAAGTACGTTAACAATCAAAATATTCTATAAGTGTCTAGTATGGAATTCAAAAGAATAAAGAAAATGGTAACGTAAATAAACGTATTATGAAATAATTTATAATTAAAATGAAAAAAAGAAAAAATAATAAGTAAAGTGACTGGAAATGAAAATGAAAATCAGCGTACAGTTTTATGTTTTTCTCGCTGTGAAACGTATTCGGTCATTTTTTTAAAAATTAATTTTTTGTTAGAGATAAGAGCTAAAACTCGGTAAACAACTTCTTTATGTCTAGAAAATTCTATCTTGCCTTTTATTTTTTTCTCGCTGTGAAACGTATTCGGTCATTTTTTTAAAAATTAATTTTTTGTTAGAGATAAGAGCTAAAACTCGGTAAACAACTTCTTTATGTCTAGAAAATTCTATCTTGCCTTTTATTTTTTTCTCGCTGTGAAACGTATTCGGTCATTTTTTTAAAAATTAATTTTTTGTTAGAGATAAGAGCTAAAACTTTGCAGACAACTCCCCCATGTCTAGCAAATTTAACATTCGTCTCCCATTTTTATATATTTGGTTTAGAATGTTCGAAAATGCGTAATATGGTCATTAATATTAATTGAAAAGAACCTTGAATTAATTCAATCTGATCTCACAAAATATTTTAAATTACAAACTTTGTAGTTTGAATAGATAATTAGTATTAACTCAAATAACTAGTTTATTTTTGAATAAAAATTATTTGAATTCATTCAATTTTGTGAATTTTCCTTCAAAAATCAAGTTTAAATATCTTATTTGCCATATAATTATAAATACAATGAAACATATTCGAAATTGAAAAGAATGACTTTTTCTGTTCTTTCAATCATTCAATTTGAATTTTGCAATATTGGATTTCTCATTAAATTGCTATTAAAAACAACAAGCAATTTAACTTACATTCAAATTTATTTGTGTTATATTCAATCTTCTCAAAACTTATAATTTTCGGCTATAGCATGATTATATGCTATATAATATAATAAACCTATAATAGTATCATTCTTTCAATTATTTGAAGAGAAAACCGAAAAAATCTATTTTCGGTCTATAACATTGGAAATTCATTTTTAGCATTTTAGGAATTTTCTCACTTTTCTTCCAAATTGACATCCTTAGTTTTAATAAACCGTGGTTCAAAGGCATTCTTATCCTCAACTTTTTTTGGAAAATTGATACATTGAATTAGATGAGTTCCTTTCAAAAATTTTTTGCCATTTTGGAATACACAAAATACTATCAAATTCAGCATCATAATATAGAATTAAATAATATAGATAGATAAAGAATTCATATGATTTTTTTGGAGTTTACTATAAGACATGATTTTGATAAGACATGAAAATAAAATTTTATTATTAATGGTCAATTCAGAATCTGAAATTCCACATGATGATTTAAAAGTAAAATCAATATCTGGATGCCCAATTCCAGACTATTTGATAAAATTATACAATATAAGTGAAAAAAGTGGAATTTATATTGGAAACGATCTCGTTTTAATAATATAGGCTCAATATTTAGTGCATCCGATAATGAACCAAACATTAGAGATGTTTATCCTGAGCAAAATGAGAAAACACCATCTTTTCATGAAAATGAAATGAATCAAGAGGAAGGAGATTTTGATATTGAATATTTATCTTTTGATCTTGGAATTGATAAAAAGATACTCAAATCTATGCAGATGATCATCAAAAACCAATTTGAAGAATTCAAATCAATAATTAACGAAGATTTTCAATTTAATCAATACTATAGAAGCGATTTACTTATTGGGTGCGCAATACTAAAAGGAAATGAAGAAATTTTTAGATATCTTCGACTGCTTGGTGCACAAATCAATCAACAAGATTATGAATACGCTATTATTTCAGGAAATATTGAAATAATCAATCTTTTAGCAGATGATGGACATGATTTTGGAGAGAATTTATCAGAGGCAATTATATACCACAGAAATGATATAGCAGACTGGATACTTACAAATTATGAATGTCACTCACTTGATCCTCAAACTTGTTTACATTCATTGAATATTGAAGCATTAAGTTTTTGTATTCATAACAAAATAGGAAATATTCTCGAAGCATTTCTTTCAGCAAAAATGTTCGATCTTGCATCCATTGCAATAAATCTTGGCTTTAAATTAGACGAATATTATATTTGTCATATTTTGGTATATTATGATTTTGATTGCAAGCTGAAATTAATTGAATTTATTTTACAAAACCATGAAAAAGTTTATAATGATGCTACTCATTTTGTAATTTTATGCGATCTGGTATATCATTAATTGGAAGAAGCCAATTTGAAACTGCAAAGCTTATCATTAAATATATTAAAGATCTGAAATTTTCATTCAATGATTTAGAAATATGTATTCAAAAGAAGCAAATTACACTTTTCAATATGCTAATCGAAAAAAATCCGAATCAGCCGATCAATTTTAAGAAACTTATTGAGCTTGCAATCAATACAGATCAGTATGAATTCATTAAAAGCATGATACAACATGGAATTACAGAGAAGGATTTTGATATATTTACATATTCTATTCAGAATTACAATAATAAATTAATAAATTTTTTGTTCAGCATTGGCCAACAACCGAATTTAAATAACACTTCTACTTTACAAGCTCTGAACAAACTATCAATTATAGATTTTTCTTTCTTTATTTCAAAAGTAGATACGATTAATAATTTCAGTGTAATCAATGCTATTGATTATTTAGATGATGAAAAGTTAGTCACAATGATTAATTATGGCGCTGATTACAAGCATATTTCTGTATATAAAAAACAGGAAAAAGAATATCACCGTTCTGCTTTGACATATGCAATCGAAATGAAAAAAGAATAACTTGTTAGAACTTTGATAAAATTAGGGGCTTCAATATATACCAAAACTGAAGAACCTGCATTTATTCTAGCCTTGAAATCACATAATTTTAATATAGTTAAAATGATTGGACAAATGTATACACCATTGTGCATATTAAACACAGAATATCCTCTTATTCTTTATGCAATCGAATCAAAATCACTTGATATTGTCGAGTACATTGTAGCCCAAGGCTTGTCAATCAATGTTAATCTTGGTAAAAGTATGAAAGATTCAATGGATTATGCAATCGAAATTAATTCAAATGAAATAATGAAATTCCTTGTCCAACATGATCTGAATATACGGAGAACAAAATTTCATCCTGATCCATTCTATGATATATTTAAAAACTTCAAAAGATTATAGAAAATTTAGATCATGCCTTTCTATATGCTTGTACCGTTTATCAATAAATACAATCAAAAGATATCAAAATTATTTGAATTCAATACATAATTATGGAAGATCAGTTCTCTACTATGCAATTATGGATCAAAATGCAGATATCAGCAAGATCGAACTATTACTCAAATTTGGAGCTGATCCAAATAAAATTAAAGCGATATTTTTGCCAGCAATTTCCCATAACTCTCCAGAGTTAATTCAAATATTGCTAGACTATCATGCAGATCCATATAATGGTAATAAATACCAAGAGATTATTGAACAATGTATCAAATCAGAGTCGTTGGAAATATTGAAGATTTTCTTTGAACAAGTAGGCTTTAAAGAACTCAAAATTGAGTCTATTTTCAAAACACTGGTCCAAACACCAAATCATTTTATTAAGGATGTTATAAAAATCCTTTTTGATCAAAAAGTCGATCTTAATTTCACCGCACATTCTGCATTATATTATTTCATAAATAATTTTGATATTTTATCAATTTTATTAGATTCATTTACATTTAATGTAAATTCATACAAAGAAGCAATCATCAGTTTTGTCAGCTCCAAAGGAACTAATCTTGATATATTATCCAAATTGATAAACTATGTTGATAGTTTAGAACTAATACGTAAAAAAGGAAAACCTTTGCTGATAATCGCAATCATTAACGAGAAGATTTCATATGCAGAATTTCTTATCACAAAAGGCGCAATCATCACAAAAAATCATACAAAGTTACCATCATTTCTTCAATCTTTTCACAAAGTAATTAAATGGCAATCAATTCCATTAATTAAAACATTTTTAGATGTTATTGATATCATTGACTATGATGCATTAATTTATGCAATTCAAACTAATTCAATAGAGATAATCAAGCTATTCAAAGATAAACAGATAATTATTTCACCCAAAAAATCCCAAAGAACATTGTTTTCTTATCTATCTAAATATTATAATGAAAAGATCCTAGATGAACTGAAGGATAAAATCCAGGATGCCATAAATTCTGACGACAATACTCTATCAGATTCATTAGGTAATAAAAAATTACTTGAATATCTCATTGATCACTTCAACTTCAAACAAAATCAAATCCAATATTCAATTGAAGCTTTAGTTCAAACTAAATATGATTATTTTATACTGAAGAAATTATTGAATTTATTGGAAGATTTCAATTTTATTACGAAAAATAACTATCCAATTATTTTCTTAGTTGTTCATACTGAAAACTATGATGCACTTGATCTATTTTTAAGATGGGATGATAAAATTAAATTTATTTTCAATGATATTCCATTGGTTATAAAAGAATCTGAGCATTTGCCAAAAGCCTATTATGATTTATTTATAAATGAAAACGAATTACCATTAAATAAAACAGATCAAAGGTTTTTGATTAGTGATGATCTATTTAAATATGCCATTAGAAAGAAATCAATTAAACTATGGGATATTTTATCTTCATATTCAAATAAAAAGTTCACTGATGCAGAAGTAATCATTATATCAGAAGGTTTTTTCAGAAACAAATGTTGATATCGAAAATCACCTCAAGCTTGCATTGATGTCAAGATCTTTTCAAATTGCTGATTATTTGCTAGGAAAGATTGATCTTATTCCAAATTATTTGTTTGGGATTGCAATTGAAGCAAGATCATTAGAATTTGTACAAAATTTACTCAAGAAACAAAATTTACCAGAAAATATTAGCAATGGAAGATCACTTTTATTCTGGATCATTATTCATTATGATAAGGATATATTTTCCTTATTAGTCAAACATGTCACAGATTTTCAGGAACAATTCACCTATAATGAAACTTTAATGAATCCTCTCATTTTTGCCATATCTCTCATGCGCGGAAAGGAATGCATTCAAATTTTAATTGATAAATGTTTAATACATGATTATTCTGATGTATTGATCAAAACTGCAGAAATGGCAATAAGAAGTGATGAATGGTATTATAATGAAATCCTTGAGTTACTCCTTAAATTCAAACCCATCGATCATGAAATTGAAATGAAAATATTTCAATTTGCCAAGGCAAATAATAATCAAGATCTGATCAGAATAATGCTAAACTCTGATCGTAATAATATAGTTAAAAGTATTCTTGAAGAAAAGAATTACAAACTTGAAGATGAATATGGTTATAGATACATCAGTTCAAATGAAAAGATCCATTCTGAAGTTTTTCTTAAGCTAAAAAGAAATAGATTTGATATTGATGGATTTGACGAAAATGGATTTGATACTATTGGATTTGACAGAGCTGGTTTTGATAATGAAGGTTTTAATAGAAATGGATTTGATAAAGATGGATTTGGTAGAGATGGATTTAATAAAAAAGGATTCAATAGAGATGGATATGACAAATTTGGTTACGATAAATATGGATATGATACTCTGGGATACGATAGAAATGGATATAATATAGATGGATACGATAGGGATGGATTTGGTAGAGATGGATATGATATGTATGGCTATGATAGTGAAGGATTCGGTAGAGATGGATACAATAGAGGTGATATTTATAAATATGACTCAGATTACTATCATAGTCGTAATTCGAGACGTCGTCATTATTATGGAATGTATGATTACGATAATGATAGATTTTACGATTTTTATTAAAGATATATTCTTATTTTGAATCTGTATTTAAAAATATCAAAAATATTATAGTTACTCCTTAAATTACATCAAGAAGTTTTGATATTTTTCAAAATATTCTATTAATTACATTCTTTTCATAGGCAGATCTTCAAATTCGCTTAATTTTCATATATAAATTGCTTTCGATTTGATTTATCGTGGCATACTCCTATTATATTTTCATCATTATTTATATCAAGCTATTATTTGAACATATAAAAAATTTGATTTTTAGAATAACGCACATTTATATTCCATATCAAAACAAAATTTCCTGATTAAAATATATTATTAACATAAAGAGTTACTATAAGATTATTACCATGTATCAATCTTTGCACCTTTTGATTTAAGGAGCTTACTGGATCCTTTGCTATTGAATTCCAATGCTGAAGCCATTGGAGTGTTCCCATCTTTGTCATGAGAATTGAGATAAGATCCGTTCTCAATAAGAAGTTCAGCTGTTAATTTTCTATTGTTCATAACTGCATGATGAAGTGGTGTATATCCATCTTTATCTTTAGAATTGATACGTGCTCCATTTGAGATTAAAAATTCTACCATTTCTTTTCCTTGCCTATTAATAGCAGCATAATGCAAAGGCGAATATCCATTCTTATCTTTTGCATTGATGTTTGCACCATGAGATATAAGAATTTCAACTGCTGCTTTTTTGTTATTTTGTGCAGCATAATGTAATGGGGTTCTTTCTGAGTTATCTTTAGCATTAATATTTGCCCCAATATCAAGAAGAATTTCTATAACCTCTGAACTATTGTTTTCAGCAGCAATATGAAGAGGTGTTTTCCCAGATTCATGATCCTTTTCATTAACATTGAATCCTTTTGAAAGAAGATCCTCTGCTGATGCAACATTATTATTTTTAGCAGCGATATGAAGAGCATTGGTTTGTGGAGTTTGGAAAAAGGGAGTTGTATTTGCAGTCTTCTTACTGTTCCAAGCATTTTTATGAAGTGAAGTTCCACCTTGATTCGAATTTGCCCAAAACGAGGATGATTGTTTTTCTTTAACATTTTTCCAGGATGGTTTTTGAAAACTTTTCTGCTTATTATCAGCATTTTCCCAAAGAGAAGTGAGCTCCGAATCTTCTCTATTATTCCACTTTGTTCGATTAGTAGATTTAGCGGGAGGATCAATTTCAAATGTCGCGTTGGATGATGGATTGTAAGTTTGTGATGTATCTGGCCAAGTGGTAAAAACATCTGTTTCATTAGTAGTATTCTCGTGTAATTGTCTGGTTTTTTCTTGAATTGGGTTGATTTTCGAAGTAACTGGCCAAATCCGTGAACGTGCAATAGATGATTTTGATTTGAAATCCTTTGACGCATTTCGCCATTTTGGAGCAGCTGGAGCTGCGCCTTTAACATTATTCCATGAAATTTGATGTGATGATGTATCTCTTTGAAAACTCGGTGATACTGATGGCCATATTTCACCAGATGAATTTTCTTCTTTGTTGCTCCAAACTGGTTTTGGATCAGAAATTATCATTTCATTACTTGATTCCATATTTGGCCATATTGATGATTCCGAATGTTGTTTAATACTATTCCATATTGTTTGCTGTTGAGACTTTCCTTCTTGATTGTCTTTTAATATGTTTTGACCAGTTAATGGTATCTCTGCAACTTTCATATTATATAGGTATTGCCGTTGACGAGATTCCTCTAATTCACGAACCTTTTCAAGTAGATACTCATATTGTCTAATAAGAGGCTCGGCAACACCATCATTATTATCTGTTGCATTAGGCAGATCTTCTTTTTGAATGATATTTGCGCAATGACCAATAAGAACTTTTAGTACATCCGAATTATTTCTGAGTGTTGCATATTGGAGAGGAGTTTTCCCGCTATTACTTTTAGCCAGGATCTCAGCACCACTTGAAATAAGTAATTCTGCTATTTCTTTTCTATTATAATATGCTGCATAATGAAGAGGGGTCCATTTATTTTCATACTGTGAGTTAACTACAGCACCATTTTCAACAAGTATTTGTGCTACTTCTAAATTATTATAATAGACAGCTTGATGTAGGGCAGTTTGGCCATTCTGATCTTTCAAATTGACATTTACCCCTTTCAAGATAAGAGTTTCTAAGAAATCTATACTATTTTTCCAAGCAGCGTGATGAAGAATGGTTTCACCACTATTGTCTTTTGCATTAATAAAGGCACCATGCGAAAGCATTACTTCCAAAAATTCAATATCATTATTCCAAGCTGCAATGTGAAGAGGTGATTGCTCATTGTTATCTATGGCATTTACAGATGCTCCATGGGAAATAAGAAGTTCTAAAGTTTCTTTGCTATAACGATTCAATGCTGCGTGATGAAGCGCTGTGAATCCGTTATTATCTTTGACATTAAGATCTGCACCATTTATAATTAAATCTTCTAAAATTACTAGGTTTTTATCTAATATTGCATGATGAAGAATAGTTAATCCGTCATCATCTTTTGAATTAATATCTGCTCCATTCATAATTAGAAAATCTGTGATAGTTTTCAGATTATTTTTTTCTGAGTAATGAAGAGGTGTTTTCCCTTCCTTATCTTGTGCATTAATATCTGCCCAATAGTTAATAAGGGTTTCTATAAGTTCTAAATTGTTATTCTCAACTGCATAATGAAATGCAGTTTTCCCTTCAAAATCTTTTGAATTGATATCAGCACCATATCCAGCTAAAATATCTAAAGCATCATTACTATTATTTTCAACAGCATAATGCAGAGGTGTTCTTCCATATTCATTATCTCTGATATTTAAATCTGCACCATGAGTAATGAGAATTTTACATGTAGATTTACTGTTATTCCATGCAGCAATATGCAGGGCCGTTATCCCTTCATTATCTTTTAAATTAATCTCAATATCATTTATAACAAGTGTTTGAACTGCATCCTCACAGTGATTTTCTTCTGCAGAATGAAGAGGAGTCATCCCTCTATTATCTCTTGCATTGATATCTGCTCCTTTTGAAATCAGAAATTCAATGATATCTTTACTATTTAATTCAGAAGCATAGTGGAGAACTGTACTCCCATCATTATCTCTTGCATTTATATCTGCTCCATTAGAAATAAGAAAATCAATAATATCTTTGCTTTTGACTTGGATTGCGTAGTGAAGAGCTGTTTTGCCATCAATGTCTTTGGCATTGATGTCAATTTGTGATGAATAATATGATATTATGCAGATGTCGAGATTGTCATATGCTGATGAAAAATGGAGAAGAGTTTGTTGATTTGATGATTTTTTAGAAAAGTCAAATTCTTCATTTTTAAGAATTTCGGAAGTCTGTTTGAATGCTCCACACCATGGAATGATAGAGTTCTTATCTTTGCCAAAAAGAAGAATCACTGCTTTCAAGTTTTGTGAGTTGATGATAGAAAAAATATCAAAATCTGTTGTTTCGAAAAGATCGTTCTCGAAAACATAATTAAGAAGTTTGATGTTGTGAGATGAAACAATATAATCTAAACACACTTTGTCAAGTTGATGATATTTTGAACATTCGTTGATGATATCTGTGTTACCACCAATAAATGAGTATTGGAAACATTCTTTTGTGATTTCGACTTTCAAACTTGAAATAAGAAAATTAAAAATGTTGACAGATCAAAAATATGCACATGCTTCTATTGGTGACATTTTTGAGAAACTTGGAATTTCCAACCACGTATCTTTTAATGGTTTATTAATTATATATCCTATGAATTTATCAACTTGGTCATTCATTATAAGGTATGAAATTTCATTATCTTTTGGAAATGAATTTTGGTCATAAGAAATTTGATAAATGTCATCCTTTTTACCTAAAGTCATTTTTAATGATTCTGCAGTGCTGAAGATATATTCGGAGTTGAGTTCTTTGATTGAAAAGTTAGAAAAGATTTGGTTAAGCATACTTGTATAAATTTCAATAGATCGATAATTAAACTTGATCGATACAATTATGCTCAAGATTAGATCTGATATATGTGTTTTATATTCTGAAATGAGGAATGAAGTTATCATATTAAACGCTTCTTCTGTTATCTCATTTGATTTTAAGTGGAATAACTTTTCATATGCCCATATAAACTCTTCAAACTGTTTTAAATACTTATCGCTCATTAAGAATGTTTATTTATTGGTAAAAAAATATTTTGCACTTTTTGAATTGGTCGAAATATTTGAATGGTTTTTCTGACTTTTGATCGTTTTTTAGATTCTACCAGAAGCTGGCTCTTCATTTTAGTATAGTTCCAAATCACATATATGCATTTAGATCATACAAAATAAATGAGCCCATAGCTGCTTCTTTAGATAAAATAAGTTGATAATTCCTTTTTTATCTCAATCTCTAATTATTTCATGATGCCCTAGATTAATTTATCGTCGAGTAGTAGGTTGAAATGATTTTTGCTTGATAAATTAAAAGTCTTTCGAAAAACAATTATTTTATCAAATTATCAAGAATAGCATCAAAAAATATTCTGTACATTTGTCAAATACCAAGAATAAACAATTAATACATTATGTTGCTGAAGTCAAACTTTTTTTCCCGATATCGATCATTTTTATTGAGCATACATAATATTCATTTAATTATGTAGTTATTTAAAACAGAAAAAGTCAAATATTTTAAATAAATCATTTGAATTATTACGCATTTTTATAAAATTTAATGAATCCATTATGATTATATATAATTCAATGAGTTATGAGAATAATAGATTAGGTTTTATGTTAAAAAACAAATAGAAAAAAAATAGCTATATTTATGAGAAAAAATTAATTAGGAGATTCGACATGGATCATTGTTGCTACTAGTTCTCTGATTATATTGAGAATAGTATCTGGGAGGTGGTGGTGTAGAGTAATCTTGAGCAGTATAACCATTGTTATCCTGAATATTAAAATTGCCACCATATGATTTGAGGAGTTTTTCGGTTCCTTTTCGATTGTTTTCAGCTGCAAAGTGAACTGGAGTCTTTCCATCTTTGTCCTTCATATTAATTTTGGAACCATTCTCTATTAACAACTCTGATGTGGCTTTTCTATTATTGAGAACAGCGTAATGGAGTAGTATATGGCCTTCTTTATCCTTGGCATTGAGGTGAGCTCCATTAGCAATTAGAGCTTCAGCAATGGCCTTTCTTGGGTTTTGTGCCGCAAAATGAAGAGGAGTGAATCCGTTGTTGTCTTTAGCATTGACATTTGCTCCGCGGAAAATGAGGAGTTCTGCTGCTTCTTTCTTATTATTCATGGCAGCTAAATGAAGTGCGTTTCTCCCATCTTTATCTTTTCCATTGATATTAGCGCTATGAGAAAGAAGAACATCAATAACATCCACACTATTGTTCTCGGCGGCATAATGAAGAGGTGTTTTTCCGGATTCGAAATCTTTTGCACTGATTTCGGCACCCTGAGAAATAAGAAACTCCGCTTTATCTTTATTATTATTCTTAGCAGCAATATGCAGAGGTGTTTTGCCATCTTTATATTTAGAAGGACTTGGAATTGGCTGTAAAGTTGCAGGCTTAGGAGGCAATGGTAAATTAATTCTTGCGGTTTGTTGACCAGGTGTTGGTTGATTGGTTCTGAGGGTTTGTTGAACATGTGTGGGTTGATTAGCTATAGGAGTTTGTTGAACTTGTGCTGGTTGATTAGTTCTTGGAGTTTGTTGAACTTGTGCTGGTTGATTAGTTCTTGCAACTTGTTGAACTTGTGTTGGTTGATTAGTTCTTGGAGTTTGTTGAACTTGTGCTGGTTGATTGGTTCTTGGAGTTTGTTGAACTTGTGCTGGTTGATTAGTTCTTGGAGTTTGTTGAACTTGTGTTGGTTGATTAGTTCTTGGAGTTTGTTGAACTTGTGCTGGTTGATTGGTTCTTGGAGTTTGTTGAACTTGTGTTGGTTGATTGGTTCTTGGAGTTTGTTGAACTTGTGTTGGTTGATTAGTTCTTGGAGTTTGTTGAACTTGTGTTGGTTGATTAGTTCTTGGAGTTTGTTGAACTTGTGTTGGTTGATTAGTTCTTGGAGTTTGTTGAACTTGTGTTGGTTGATTGGTTCTTGGAGTTTGTTGAACTTGTGTTGGTTGATTGGTTCTGAGGGTTTGTTGAACATGTGTGGGTTGATTAGCTATAGGAGTTTGTTGAAGAGGCGTTGGTTGATGATTCCTTGGAATTTGCTGAACAGGTGCTGGTTTATTAGCTATTGGTGGTGGTGGTGGTAAAACTTGTGCTGATTTATTAGCTATTAGTTTTGGTTGAACTTGTGCTGGTTGATTGGTTCTTGGAGTTTGTTGAACTTGTGTTGGTTGATTGGTTCTTGGAGTTTGTTGAACTTGTGTTGGTTGATTAGTTCTTGGAGTTTGTTGAACTTGTGCTGGTTGATTGGTTCTTGGAGTTTGTTGAACTTGTGCTGGTTGATTAGTTCTTAGAGTTTGTTGAACTTGTGCTGGTTGATTAGTTCTTGGAGTTTGTTGAACTTGTGTTGGTTGATTAGTTCTTGGAGTTTGTTGAACTTGTGTTGGTTGATTAGTTCTTGTGGTTTGTTGTAAAGAAGTTTCTGGTTGACTGATCCTTGGAGATTGTTGAATGTGAGTTTCTGATTGATTTATTTTCCAAGGATGTTGAAATGGTGATGTAGATTGATTAATTTTTGTAGTTTGTTGATTGAGCTTTACAACACCTTGAATTGATGTTGCTTGCTGACTGATCATAGGACCGTCTAATGCAGTTTGCTGAGGAGGTTGTGTTGATTGAATGTTCTTTATACCACTAAATGGAGAAATTTGGGCGGGCGTCGCTGGATGCTTGTTCATTATATTCTTGAATGGAGAATTTTGAGAAGGTGTTGCTGATTCATTGCTAAGTGAGTTGAAAAAGGTAGATTTCTGAGGTGTTGACTTATCTAGAGTATAAGAAATCTCAGCAGATCCATTAGAACTTGATTCAATATTCCCAATAACATTGTTATGAGTAGTTTCTTTCGCTTCATTTTCTTCTGTAGTTAGAGGGGCAAGAAGTTCAATTATTCCCTTGCTTTTATTGTCTCTTGCAATCTGCAGTGCAGTCTTGTCGTTTTTATCCTTTATATTTGGATCTACTTTGTTTGATAGTAATATCGATACAAGTTCTTTGTTTTTGTTTGAAACTGCATGATGAAGAGCTGTCTTTCCATAATTATCTATTGAATTTATTTCTGCACCATGCAATAAAAGAATAGATAATACATCTTTACTACTATTCCTAACAGCTTGATGTACAGCTGTAAATCCATTTGAGTCTTTTTCATCTAATGGAGCTCCATTGGAAATAAGACATTCTGCTGTTTCTTTACTATTGTTAGCTGCTGCAAAATGAAGAACTGTCTGGTTTTTATTATCTCTTGCAAAAATATCAGCCTTATGTGTAATAAGAAAAGTGGCAATTTTCTTGCAGTTATTCTTCGCGGCATAATGAAGAGGAGTTTTCTTTTTACTATCTTTTGCATCTATATCGGCACCAAGAGAAATAAGTAACCATGAGATTGCTTCACTGTTATTTTCTGCAGCATAATGCAGAGCTGTTTTTCCATTTTTATCTCTCAAATTAGGATCAATTTTAACAACTCCTGGAGAATTCAATATAAATCTACAAATTTCCATATTGTTGTATGCAGCTGCAAAATGAAGAAGTGATTGTTTGTCAGCGGTTTGTTTCGAAAAATCAAGGAGTTCTTTTTTAATTAAATCTGTTGTTTGAGGAAAAGCACCACACCATGGAATTATCGAGTTTTGATCTTTCTCAAACAATAAAATCACAACTTTCATGTTTTGTGATTTGATGATTGCTCCATAAACATAATCATTTGGTTCGAAAAGATTCTTCTCGAAGACATAATCAAGAAACTCGTTGTTATGTGCCGAAATTATGTATTCCAAGCAAACCTTATCAATTTGATGTGATTTTAGAATTTCCTTGATAATATCAGAATTTCCACCAATAAATGAATATTGTAAACACTTTTCTGTTGTTTCTTGTTTTCAGTTTGAAGTAATGAAATTAAAAATATTAACAGAACCAAAATAACAACATGCTTCAAGAGGTGAAAGTTTTTCAAAGCCCGAGATTTCAACAGTGATATCTTCTAATTGTTTTGCGATTGCAAATTCAATGAATTTATCAATTTGATCATTCATAATCATGAATTGAACATCATTTTCTTTTGGAAATGAATTTTGCTTAAATTCTGCTTTGTATGTATTCGTATCAGCAATTAAAAGTCGTATATGTAATGATTTTGCAGTGTTGAATATGTTTTCTGATCGTATTACAGAAACCGAATATTTTGAAAAGATTTGATTCAATATTTGGACATAAAGACGGATGGATCGGTAATTAAATTTGATTGCTGTGAGAATGCTCAAAACAAGATCTGGAATTTGAACTTTATATTTCAAAATTAAAATTGAATTTATCGAATTTAAAATGTTTTCATCACTTTCTGTTGAGTTTAAGTGAAATAATGTATCATATGTCTTTATGAAATCACTAAATTGAGTTAAATTATAGAGCAAGGGCATCTACGAGAGAGTCAAATTTAGTATTGAATTTTTTTTGACATAGATGAAATTCTGAGGTTTACGAATTTCCCAAAGCCTAAAATCATTTATTTGTTCATCATTTGGTTATATATCATAAAAAGATATAAAATATAGTAATTGTTTTAATATTTTTTTGCAATATTTCTCAATAAAATTTGGAATAATCTTTTAAATTCATCTGGCCTATTAATTTTTCAAAATTCATCCTTATAGTGAGTATGATATTACACATTATCATAGAATATAGGAAGATAATAAAAAATCAAAAATATATTAGTCCCTTATTCAATTTTTAAATGATGCTTTCTCAGTTTTGTTGAGATGGTATGTCGTAGAGACTTAAAACATGAAAATTGGCTTAATGCTCATTTAATTTTTGGTTAATAGTCGAAATTTAAATTTGGAATATGTACTACTAAACGAATATTGGCAGAATTAAAAGAAGTTTATTACTTTCTTTAATATGTCTGTACATTTGGAAATTTAAATATGCAATTTCGAGTTGACATATAAAAACAAAGTGATAATTTGGGACACAAAGATGTGGCATAGCTGAGGATTGAATTGGTCCAAACAACAAACAACTCGTGACGTAATTGTAATCAAAATATTGAAAAGTATTAAAGAAGCAACTGTTTCAATACTCTTAGAGCAATTCTGATGTCTATGGTATGTGTCTCGATGAATTAAACTAATCAGCCACGTTGGATAATCTGGTAAAGAATTTTTGAATGTCTCAAAAATAAAAAAATTAAAAAACGGCGAAATGGAATCATCAACTCTTGGAAAAGAGATGGATGATCTTGACCGTCTCCTCGCCGAAGATACTCAAATAAAAGAAGCCAAAGAAGAGGCAAGAAAGGAAAAAATTGAAACAATACAAGAAGAACCAAAACATATAACTCCTCAAGAAGTGAAGAAAGAAGAAGAACCTAAACCACAAACAAAACCAGTAAATAAACCTAAGAAACAACGAAAACCTCAAATGAAAATTTCATTACAAGACCTTCCTCTTGATAATTTACCAAATCTTGTAATTCCAACTCCAAATATATCTCCAATTCCTACAGCAACACAACCACCGCCTCAATCAGCTTTTCAACAATCTATAATAACTAATTTCGAAGAAAGAATCCTAAAATATTTAGATAATTCTTTGAAATCATTATCTCTCGATTTGACAACGCAACTGAACAATTTTTTTCAGAAATCAGACGATATCGAACCTATAATATCAACATTTCGAAAAGGACTAATGTCAGACATACAAAGAGAACTTCAAATTAAAGTAAATTCTATTTCACCGCCAATGATACCATTTAACGTTGGTATTGAGTTACCACATCAACAGACAACATATTCTTCAATGCAAGATACGATTATGCTTTTTAAAGCTCAAAATTCTTCGATGCAAATGATGATGAATTCTACAATCAACGATTACAAGAAAGCTGTTCATGATAGGAACAAAGTCCTTAAGAAAACAATGGTCATGCGACAAGAAATGAAGAAATTAAAGAGTGAAACTTGGAAAAAATCTGCAAAAGCGGAATTTCAATTACTTATTATAAAAAATAAATTAGAATCGATTAAAAATAGATCAGAAAGCCTTCGCCACAAAAATATGGAATCTGAATCTCTCGATATTTCAATTCAACCTGAGATTTCAACTGATGATTTTATTTACGAACTCAATTCCTTCTTACCAGAGCTGAACAGAATCACCACCGAGCCATCAGACACTTTTGATAAGGTTGGCCAACTTGTTGATGATGAAATTCAAGATATTCATAAAAGAAGATTCACAATTGAGAGCACAACACAAGATTTATGTACTGCATTCAATGATTATATATCTAGATTGACTCCTGATTATCAGCCAACGCTAACTGAATTTACAGTTGAAGATTTATCTCGACAAATTCGAAGTCGACTAAATAATATTGACCCAAATTCATCGACAATGCAATCTCCAAAGAAGAAAAGCTACAGATCTGCATATCAAACCGGAATACCACAAGATAAGTTTACTTTACCTTTAGCTTCTTATTTATATAAATAATGTTTGTATTTTATTGTATTTAACCAAAATTATATTTAACATACATTTATTTTACTCATTTAATAATGAAATATCTGATATATTCACTCAAAAACAATTATCGATTTGAATAACTTTTCGAAGACAAAAAAAAATTAACTTTTCAAAGAATATTGTCTTTTTAACTATGAGTGAATAGCTTTTAACAAGTCAGATATCTGTAATTATTCAGCAATCTTTGGAGAGAGAGATAAATCTAAAATATTCGACAAATATGCAAGAGATTTTATTCATAAATTAAATTAGGAGTCGTTTTTATGAATTATTTGAACTATGTTTTGAGATATAAGTCAAGAAAAAAAAATCAAATTATAATTGTTGGTTTTAATAACAAAAATGAAATAAAATAATCTCTATTTCCTTCCTCTTGCGTTTGATTTTGCAGGAACTGATTTCTTGGCTGGAGCCTTTCCTTTAGCTGATGTTTTCTCAGAAACAGCAGCAGCTGGAGGTACAAAGTTGAAGTCTGCAATGGCTTGTGGAAGAGGATCCTTTTCGCTCATATCGTTAACGATCAAAGTGTAAGTTGATTGTTCTGCATCTTGAGGGATTGTAAGTGGCGGAATTGTAGCAATTCCTTTTTCAGTAGTAATATTCATTGTTGTTTCTCCTGTATTTGGATCAATAACGAAGTATTTTGGCTCTGTAGAAATTGTTTCATTCTTTTTAGGTTTTGGTTGCTTTTTCTGTGGTGCGTTTGGATCTATTCTGCCTATTTCGATCATGAAGCTCAATACTCTTCCACTTTCTCCATCACCGCCTGTAATATTGATTGTAATATTTTGAAGGATAGTTCCTGGAGTAAATGGTGGTAATTCTGATATTGTAAGTCCTGTTGGATTATACAAGCATTTATCATCTTTCCATTCGCCAATAACTGATAAACCACTTGAAGCCCAAATCATAGTGCCTTGACCTTGTTTTAAGCCATTAACAAAGTCACCTTCGTAAACATCGCCGTTTGCATACACCATTTTGCCCTTTCCTTCAATTCTATTATCAACCCATTCGCCTTCGTACTTTTCTCCGTTAGAATTTGTATATTTTCCGAATCCATTACGCTTATGGCGCTCGAAATGTCCGCTATATTCTGTTCCATTTGGTAATGTTAATACGCCTTCTCCTGTTCTTTTATTATCCTTCCAATCTCCAACATAAACTTCGCCAGAAGCTGCATCTGTATATTTTCCTTTGCCGCAAAACTCGCCTCTAATGAATTCTCCCTCGTAAACTGATCCATTTGGAAAAACTCTTTTTCCATTTCCTGTCATTTCACCATCACGGAAGTCGCCTTCATAGTAGCTATTCTTCCCGATGAAAAACTTTCCGTGGCCGTCTTTCTTTCCATTTTTCCAATCTCCAATGTAAGAAAATAATGGATTAGCGTAATTATACTGTGCAATACCATCTTTGTTTGGTGGATGAACAAACTTTTCGCGTGGTCCATATTTTGGATATTCTATCTGTTTTTCTTCAGTCATTTCCCAAAAAAAAAATTGATAACGTGCAAAAAAAATAAATCATGAAAATATTAAGCTAAATCAACTGATATGAGTGTGTTATGCTTTCATGCTGGTCTGCATGTCTCGTCATATGCTCTAGCCAAGTTCTTAAAACTATAAAATCAATCTTTTCAGTTTTTGGTCAATTTTCTCCTTTTTAAATTCTGGAACGGCAAAAAGATAGAGAATGATATGCGTATACTACGGGTATGTTTATTCTGAAAGGTATTAACTCTATCATGGAGAAAAAGTATCTTTAACTGTCGAAAATTGAATAGTTGTAAACTAAAGGATTGCTACTTAATGTCTGACCAAAATGTTCATCCAAATAAATACAGCGAATTTCGAAGTATATATAAATACTTTATTGATCCATATAATGCATTATATCAGTTAAAAGTTGAAAAAGAAGAAGAATTGAACTCAATTTACAAAATGATCAAAACTGAATTGATTGATTCAAAGAAAATTCCTCCCCAAATGATTATCAGAAACATTTTAAGTATTATCCCGTATAAAAATCGCTATACAAGGTCATATTTATCTCTTGCCAAACATATATCTGATGATTATCAAGTGAGAGAGGTCATTAATGTTGAACTCATTTCAAATTACTTATTTTATGAAGAATATGGCATTAAATTAAAAAAATATGATTACTTCGACGAAATTAAATTAGAAAATCTCAATATTCATTCAGAAAATACAATTTACAGAGCAATTATGTATAATGACTTAGAAAAATTCATCTCATTCACGGAAACAGATGGATTTGATAAAGATCAAAAACTTGAAAGCAGATTATATCCAAATCCTCAAGAAGAATTTTCATTACTTGAATTATGTTGTTACCATGGAGCAGTTGATTGTTTCAAGTTATTAAGAACTAAATTTAACTCAGAAATAACTCAACAATGTCTAGAACTTTCATTTTTAGGAGGAAATCCAGAGATCATGAGTGAATGTTTGAAACATCAACACCCAAATGAAGAATGCATGATATATGCAATTATTTCACACAACATTGATTTTGTTACATTTTTGATGAATGAGTACAATATAGGGATCGATTTAAAATATTGCGGAATGTTTAATAATCTTGAAGCATTTTTTGTTTATTACGATCAAACTAATGATATTAGCAATTGCTTTATTAATTCTGCATGGTTCGATATTCCATCCATCTGCGAATATTTCCTTTCACATGATTCAAATATAAATGCAAAAGATGAAGATTTGGAAACTGCTCTTCATAAAGCAGCATATAAAAATTGTAAATCAACAGCCGAACTTCTTCTTTCTCATGGTGCAAATATCGATGAAAAAAATAAATATGGAAAATCTAATCTGCATATAACAGTACGATATAATAATATTGAAACTGCCGAACTTCTTCTTTCACATGGTGCAAATATCAATGAATTCAGTTCAAATGGAATAAACTCACTTCATTATGCAGTAATTAACAATAGCAAAGAAACAGCTGAACTTCTTATATCATATGGTATAAATATCAAAGAAACAGCTGAACTTCTTATATCATATGGTATAAATATCAATGAAAAAGATGAAATCGGAAAAACCGCTCTTCATAAAGCAGCATTTAATAATCGTAAAGAAATCACCGAACTTTTCCTTTTGCATGGTGCAAATGTCAATGAAAAAGATCAACATGGATTTACTGCTCTTCAAGGAGCAGCAATGAACAATTGTAAAGAAATAGTCGAACTTCTTATTTCGCATGGTGCAAATATAAATAAAATAATAATAATGGAGTAACCGCTCTTCATTATGCAGCAGAATTTAAAGAAATAGTCGAAATTCTTATTTCAAATGGAGCAAATATAAATGAAAAAGATAAATATGGGATAACCGCTCTTCATACAGCAGCATATTATAATAGTAAAGAAACAGCCGAACTTCTTATTTCATATGGTTCGAATATCAATGAAAAAGATAATGATGGGAAAACTGCTCTTCATAAAGCAGCATATAATAATAGTAAAGAAACAGTGGAACTTCTTATTTCGCATGGCATAAATATCAATGAAAAAGATAAATCTGGGAAACCCCTCTTCATTATGCAGCAGAAAATAATAGTAAAGAAACAGCCGAACTTCTTATTTCGCATGGTATAAATATCAATGAAAAAGATGAATATGGAGAAACCGCTCTTCATTATGCAGCACATAAAAATAGTAAAGAAGCAGCCGAACTTCTTATTTTGCATGATATAGACCCTCTTCATTATGCAGCAGAATTTAAAGAAATGGCCGAACTTCTTATTTCATATGGTTCAAATATCAATGAAAAAGATAATGATGGGAAAACTACTCTTCATACTGTAGCATATAATAATAGTAAAGAAATAGCGGAACTTCTTATTTCATATGGCATAAATATCAATGAAAAAGATAAATCTGGGAAAACCCCTCTTCATTATGCAGCAGAAAATAATAGTAAAGAAGCAGCCGAACTTCTTATTTCGCATGGTATAAATATCAATGAAAAAGATAAATATGGGAAAACCGCTCTTCATTATGCAGCAGAATTTAAAGAAATGGTCGAAATTCTTATTTCAAATGGTGCAAATTAGGGACCATTAAAAATACGATTAAAATTCGCTCAATTTTCCACTTTTTTGCATTGATTATGCATGCTTTTTTCTATTTCAGGGTTTTCATCCTTGGACTTCAAGCATTAGAGTCTCAGAATGAAAACTTTGCCTTTTTAAAGCCAATAAACTAACTTTTATAAGGAATCACAAGCAAATATCCTTAGAGCAGAGTTTTCACGAAATCTCTCATTCGATTAACCGGGATTTTGTTCTTATTATAAACAAAAAATATTTAAATCAAACTAATTTGATATTTGTTGACAATATATTTATCAAAAAAAAATCATGAAATTTTGTTCCAATTATAAACAAAATTATTTTTATCAAACTAATTTGATATTTGTTGACAATGTAGCTATCAAAAAATCATGAAATTTTATTCCAATTATAAACAAAATTATTATTTTTATTAAAAACATAAATATAGATAACATGATATATGTACATAGGATCTATATACAATAAATAGCATTTTCCACTACTTTAGTACGCTGCCCATGGTCTGTAAATGAAAAATGTAAATAAATTCGAGGAAATATATCCAGCAGATCCATTAAACAGAGAGAATGATAAGCACATTAAAAATGAATATATGTAGTATTGTATTTTTGAAGAAAATTCAGGAGTATGATCAAATTTGTTGTAACAAACTCTGGAGAAGTTAAACAGTAAGATTCCGGACAGCGCTGGACCTATAAATGATAACCATTGCCATTTATAGTTCTGAAAAACTAAAGAAAAGAAAACAACCAAAATTGTTGAAATTCCAATCAAAAAGAAAACAATAACAGCTTTGATGAACAAATATGACCAATCCCAAACTAATGTCATGTTCCAGAACGTTAATAAAAACAATCTTAATTCAGATTTCGTAATAAGATAGGATAAATAGGCCAAAGGAAAGAGAGCAAGCTTGTAATACGTATGTCCGGTCTTTGGTATATCTAATGGCACTGGAGGAGCTTGAGCAATCAAATTTTTGTCCGAAATTCCAAATTTTTTGCATAAAAATGTTCCGAAAGCAGATGAAGTGAAACAGATAATTGTCCCGACGATTATTATCGAAAGTAAAGAAATAATTGGGAAATAACTAAATGAATAGGAAATTTTTGAAATTAAGCTTGTTACAAGTGCATAAACAACTAATGACAATGTAATAGTGCAAGAACTGATCAACGAACCAAAATTATTATCTGTAAAATAAAATTTGAGGAGAAGAGTGGTAATAAACGATGCAATTGGTGCTGTCATGAATGACAAGAATAAAATAATGTAAAATCCGTTGATTTTCAAGAATAATTTCATAAAAATTAAATAAATTATTCCATTCATGAAAAATATTGAAATTAATTGGACACCAACACCAATAAAGATTGATAGTATCCATGTATGCTTAGGAGGCCTGAAAATATCGGACATAAGCTCAGTCCATTTTTCAAAATCAAATGAATTAAATTCTGTCATCATTATATCGATCAGTGTTTGATTCATTTTGTTTCTGATGTAGAATCTGTAAATTTTGAAGGCTAAAATGGCCGTAGAACAGAAAATTAACGTCAAAAAGGTCAAATGCCAAAAATGAGACTTCTCTAATCTATTTCTATTGAAGAAGAACGTACTGTTTGATATGTTACTAAGTTCTATCCATTCAGAAGAATAAGAATATGAAATTTCAGTTAAATCAGCAATATTTTGTGGTTTTGACGTATGAATTATGAAGTCGTAGATATAGTTTTGGTGTGTCTTAAATATAAACTTGTATTCCGTAAAGATTTTGACGCCATTTTTTGATTCTGCTCCAAATTTTGTGAAATAATTTAAGTCTTTGATGGAGAATTTGACCCAGTAGTGATTATTAATGGCATTCATAATTGATTTTCGATCTTCTGAGTATAATTTATCGGTACATAAATTTGTGTTTGAAATATTATTAAAATTTGGGAACAATAACTTGGAATTTTGATTTAATGTGATATTATTTGTATTTTTCTTGCTGATTTTTGAAGAATCAAAGAACTTAAGAAAGCAAAATGGTAAATCATTTGGTTTTTTAATTCCAAATGGAGAATTTCTTTTTCCAAATTGTTCTATTCGAACATCAGCATTCGAATCTTTCTGTATTTTTGCCAAAGAACTTCCAAAGGCTAAGGAAAAAAGAAAAAGCATCAAATTTATTTAGGAAATCTCAAATCTGACATTTGTAAACTATAAAATCTGACATTTGTAAATTTAAAATTTTGACATTTTGTGAAAATTATTCTAAAATTTTGAGATAAGAGACTGATTAAAAGCTCAAAAGAATATTGGGAAGATTCATTAGTTCTATAGTGCTCTCCAATGGATATATTATTATAAATCTCTAAATTTATGCTTCACGCCGATATGTTCTCAAAAAAATTCTGAATGAGCGTGGAAGCAGTAAAACTTTCTCCAACCTCAGTTTCTATCGGTTGTCACAGACGCCGTATTGCTTTTGAAGGTGATACTGCATATTATACAGATGGAAATAACCTCATTAAAAACGGAAGTGAAATAATTTACACATCAAAATCTCCAATTTATGATATTTTGCGTCATGATGATAAATTTTTAACAATTGACTCTAAGGGACTTGTTACACTTCATTCAGGAGAAAATTCATTGACAAATTCAATCAATGGATATTCTGGTATCTTCTCTGCAATTGAAAAAACCGCAAATAACATTATAGCAGCTCATGATTTGTCTCATACTGTAAGAATTATTGATCCATCTAATCTTCAAACAATAAATACAATTAATGCACCAGGTATTCCTAATGGCTTGAGTGCATTTGATAATAATACATTCGTTTTTACAGATGATCGCACAATTAATGTTGTTGATTCGCGTTTAGATCAGATTGAAAGATCTGCGGTTTTATCTTCTCAGCCTGTTGCCATTTACTGCCATGATTCAATGATCATTGTCGCATGTGATGATAGAAGAATTAGAATCTTTGACTCAAGACGTCTTAGAACAGCCACAACTACAACAAAACCTGCATCAAAGAACGGAACCGCTGCTTTATGGACTCTTGACAATGAATGCATTGCAGCAATTGGTTTTGATGAAGGAATGACCCTTGTAGAACCTTCAAAAGACGTTGGACAGTTCAAGAGATGCAAATTCTTGGCTGAGACTCCATTTGTTTCAGCTCCAACTGTTACAGAAAAAGGTTTTGCTGTCCTAACAAGAGGAGGAATGATGTATAACATTACAGATCCTGTTGCATTTTTGAGATCTCAGAAAGAAGGTGCAGAAGATGATGCTGATGGCGAATAAAGAATAAATAGACTATTGCTATGATATTTAATTAGATTTTGTTTGGATTTGACGATCCAAATTTTATTTATTTTAAAAGATTCATTTAATGAGCTATCAATGAGATTTTAGTGAGTTAATGGCTTGGTTAATATAGATTTTATTAGTTAAATTTTAGAAAAAAATTTCATTTTCAATTTATTCTCATTATTTTAGAAAAATAAAAAGTAAACTATACAAGTCATTGTATTGATTAGCATAGTTTGATATGTTAATTTAATAAAACAAATAATAGGTTTTAGAATATAAAAAAATAACAAATAACGAAGATATATCTCTAAAAACAAGTTCTTAATGCAGTAATATGCATTTCCTAAAAGCTTTCATTCTTTGAATTCGGTCCATAATTTCCTTTAAAGAAATTAATTGCGCATTCAAAAGTATCTAATAGATCTTTTTCATCCTGTCTGAGGCGCTTCATTTCATTTGAAAATTTAGTGACATCATCTTCATCTGTAAAATTGCAAAGATTTTTTGGTATCTGAGACTTTGGATTTTGATTTGAAGATGTTTTACCAGTTGTTGACTTCTTATTCCTTTTTGGAACTTGTTTTGATTTAGTTTTTGCTTTTACTGATGAATTATTACTGTTGGCTGATTTATTTGTTGCATTTTCATTATATTCTTGATCTTTTTTCAATGATTCTACAAATTCGTGAATATAATCTTGAGGAATGTCATTGTATCCCTTTTGCTTTAAGACTTCTGCAACAGTATCTTCATCCATACGTTTATTGTGACATGTGATATGAAAATTTTCTTGCATTCAAGGTACTTGAAAGAACATCGGTGAAGCATATGTAGCATCCAAAGAATATAATTCCAAAATGATTTGGCAATTATTATCATAATTAGAAATATATTTTTCTTCGAATCCTCGGCGTAATCTCTTAGGAAGGATGACAGTTATATTGTATTCAAGGATATTGATCATGGCTGATTTGTTTTCCTTTGATTACGTCTGTTTACCTGGCATCGATATTTAGAACATGTTATCCGTAACTTAAGCTCCCTATAAGAATCTAAGAATATCTTTACATACGGTTTTTTGCCAGATTCATGCCCCTACAGTGTCGCGATATTTCCAATAAAAATTTTTTGGGAAAAATTTATATATTACAGACTTATCAGAGGATGGCGCGTTTTAATGAGGTAAATGGTGGAAAATTAGTCTAACTCTAATCTGGGAAAAAAAATATTTTTTTGAGGGAACAAATAGTTCAAGAATGAGTAGTGATTCACTGATTACAGCTGCTATAAATAATGATATTGAGCCCCTTATGAAATTGGTTCATCCTGACCGCACTAAAAACGATTCAGATACCAAATATGACCTTAAAATCGAAGATTCAAATTCAATTCCATTAAAAACAAATGGCTTATCATTACTTCATATTGCAGCTTTTGCTAATTCACTCGAGTGCTTCCTATATCTACAATCTAAATGCAATTTCCCGATTGATATCCAATCAAATGATGCTAAAACTCCTTTTCACTATGCCGTTTATGCCGGTTCTTGTGATGTTGCTGAATACATCCTTCAATATTATGAAACTAATTATGGGCTCAAAGAGCTCGAAAGAAAATTATTTATGGATGATTACATAAATCCCGAAAATAAGAAAACATCTATCCTCTTTTTAGCAGCTCTTTCAAAGACACCGCAGATATTCAGCCTTATTTTCAAATATGGCTACAGTTGCGATAAATTTTCAGTCAAATGCAAGGAAACAATTCAAGATTCATTCAAATTCATACTTTCTTCAAAGAACATTGGCTGTCTTACAGCGCTTCTCGCTAATATGGCCAAAACAAAACTCAGTGCCGATTCTACGCCAATTATGCATACCATTATGGTCCAACAATCAGAAGCTGTTCCTTTACTTCTTGGTGCTAATTTTGACCCATCATTCGTTTCAGCAGAGAACAGAACTGCAATGAGCCTTGCATGTTTCTATTCTCTTGAAGATACAGTCAAGCAGCTTGCTGACGTGATGGACAATGTCGATCTCCCACCGAATATCAAAGCACAGGCCGCTGTCCATTGGATTTGCCAGTCAAAGAAACCTTCAATCGCAAAAATTTTGTGTGCAAAGGGAATCGATGTAAACAGACTCGACAGAGATGGAAGAATGGGCCCATACTACAGCCTGGATATAGGAGAAGAGAAGGATACAATTGAGATCCTCAAAGAATTTCTAAATTCAGGATTGAATATTAATTACCATTCCAAAGACAAAAATACAATTTTGGGAGATTTCCTTACGGCTATTACAACTCCAACACAGATTATTGATTTCTTGCTTGATAACGGAGCTGATCCAAATGCAATTATTTATTCTCAGTCCCTGACCAAACAGACATGCTTAGATCAAATGAAGAAGAAGGCAAGATCGAATCCAAAGTTGAGAGCAGTCTACGAAAAGCATTTTGGTCCTTATAAACCAAATTAAAATATTGATTTATTTAAAATTAAAGTTTTTTTATTAAATATTCTCAGTTGAAAAAGAGCGTAATGTTAAATTCGAGTTTAAGAGCAGTCTGCCAAAAAGCATTTTGGTCCTTATAAGCCAAATTAAAATATTGATTTATTTAAGGGTGCTCTTACCCCCTTATGACATAGCCTTCAATTCATATGTTTAAGGTTAATTTTCAATGGCGCTTCACGCCGGTTGTCAAAAATTTGAATCAAAGTCAGATGGGCGTAAGTGCAGCCTTAAAATTAAAGTTTTTTTATTATTATTAAGGGTCATAATATCAGCATATCTTCATTTTAATAACAAAAAAAGTGTAAAAGGTATATGAAGCACTATGTAGTGATTTATAATTACTTTTTCTAGAATGATCAGGGAAAATTCTCTTCATCATGCAGCACAAAATAATAGTAAAGAAACAGCCGAACTTCTTATTTCACATGGTGCAAATATCAATGAAAAAGATAATGATGGAGAAATCTCACTTCATATTGCAATAGATAAAGATAGTAAAGAAAAATCAGAGCTTCTTCAACTTACAACATATAATGGTAGTAAAGAAATCGCTACACCTCTTATTTCACAAACAAATTAATATACCATACCTTCACTTTTATATATTAACTCATTTTGAATCTGGCATCTAAATAAAAAAAAATAATTGAAATTAAAATTAATTGATAAAAGAATATTTTGAATTATGAATGATCAAGAATCCATGAAATTAATATTGTTGTTTGGATCTATCAATATATCATTTAAATGAAACATTATTTTAGGCGAAAAAAATTAATTTCATTTTCAATTGTACAAATTAACAATATTTGATATGGCTTGTTAATTTGTACAATTTGTCTGAATAATAATATTTTGAATTATATTTTCATGAGAATTCATAGATTTCATCTATGAAAGGTAGGATGTGGTTGATCCCAAATTACAGAGACATAAAATCGTTAGATTTCGTTTATATTCTGAACAATTATCTATTCAATTTTAGATCATTTGAATTTCAAAAATTTGCCATTTTATGGGCTATAAAATTTCATCAATCGAGATAATAATTCCTCGAATTATACTCATTGCAGCTGAGTTTGAGCAATAACTATCGCTTTTCTTTGATTGGCAAAAAGATAAGATTTGGTAAAAGTGCTACAAATATGATAATTTCATGTGAATTCATTCCTTCTTCTAGATATTGACACATGTTTAACTAGCGATATTTGATTTTGTTGATTGTTGAAAAGGATTATTTTTCTAAAATCTACATAACATCAATTTGTTTACGAAAATATTCTATAAAATCTATTAGACATCGTCTTATATTGGTATGTCTAGAATAGATTCGTGAAATGTGAAATTTATTTGAAAAATTTTGTGGTCAATTGATAGTTTATTTGAACATCGCTAATGAGTTGTTCTAAAGGATTATGTGTGACAACAAATTCATTACAAAAATTTTGACACCATTGCATTTTATCTCAATTTTTGAATTGGATCGAACTGTTAACTGGCCAATCCTCAAATTTTTTGTTAAATATTGTGTATTTATTGAAATTATATAAACATCTCCTCGCGATCTTTGCTTGAAAATTTAAAATGATCCCCTTCACAAAAAATTGTGAGTGTGTATAACCATAGAAAAAATCAATTTTATTTAAGTAATATTGACCAAACGATGTCCCAGACATTATCTGCTGAACAGAAGAGATATGAACAACATGGTCCATTGCGCACATTGATGCAATTATCAGTCGGTCCTGTAATTTACATGGTTGGCATTGGAATTCACGATGCCATTGATCTTTTACTTATATCAAAAGCTTATACAGAAACTGAAGTTACTATTGTCGGATTTGCTTCTACAGTTAGATATTTATGTATGGCAGCAAACATTTATTTCACAATATCATGCGTTGCTAGAACAAGTGGTTTGATTGGTGCAAATGAATATGACAAGGCAGCTCAAGTTATTGCAGATCTTTATAGATTAGTGTTTCTTTCAATGATTATTATTCCAATTATCTGCTATTTCATTGCAAGTCCATTACTTAAATATATGGGTTGCTCGGCAGATATGGCTGTGGATGTCAATCTGAAGGCCGCTCAATTCTTGCCGGTTTAATGCAATTTACTGCTTTTGTCCTCAATTGCGGTTGTTTCGGTCCATTATTACTCTTTGGCGTTAAGGTTCCATTCAAATATGCTGGTATTGCATTTGCTCTTTCCCAATCCATCCCAGGAATTGTTCTTACAAGCCTTATTTTCAGCAAAAAGTTCAAAACAATTACATCATGGTCCAATCTCATCAAGAAGCCAATTTACGATACATACATTGGTTTAAAGATTGGTACTCCATATATTTTGAACGTTATCATGGGTCTTTTCCCTCTATTAGTTGCCATTAATTTAATGTCAACAGCTGCAGTTTCACAAGGCGTTATTGCCCAATGTGGTCCATGTCTTTCTGTTTTCTTCAAGATCCAGCCACTCGCTAACTGCTTTTCTATTGCATTTGGTCAGGGTCTCCTTGGTCCAGGTTCTTATGCATTCAGTAGAAAGAATTATGACAGAGTTAAGAAGTTGTTTTTCATTGCTCTCACTGCAAGTTTGATTCCACAATTTATTTGGTTAGGAGTTTTAGTGGGTGCTCCAGTCTCTGTTGCAAAGATTTGGCTGAGTGATAAAGCTACATTAGAATATGCTAAGACAATGATTCCTAAGCCATTCATTACAAATTGGACAACAGGAGTCAATGAAATTGTCACATCTTTACTTCAATGTTTAGGTTTTGCATGGACAGCAATGACACCAAGTATTGTTAGAGGTATATTCTATATTGTTTATGGCTTGATTCTTTATTATACTAACAAGCATGATTCTGTAAGAATGATTTACACATATTGCTTAAATGATACAACAATTCTCATTCTTGATTTCATCATTGTTATCAAACCACTCATTGAATTGTACAGAAACCATGATTTCATTGATAACAAGGATGATTCTCAGGAAGAAAGTGCAAACAAATCTGAGACAAAGGAAGACACAACAACGACTACTACACCTACAGCTGCTACAACACCATCTAATGACTCTGATAAGCCACTCGAGGAGTTGTAAATTATGTTATTTTGTTCTTTGTTATTTATAAACTATATATATGATATTTTAAATAACAAAATTATATTTTTTGCACATTAAACAATCATCATGGTGAATTATTGAATAAACTCTTACTTGATATTTTTGAAAAAATTAAACCTTTTTAATAAAACTAAAGAATAATATATGAAACAGCTTAGATAAGTGAAGAGAAATCATTTTTCACTATCAAGAAATGTTTAAAAAAAGATTATTTTAATTTGATTTATGAAATCAAAATTTTAGGTTTATTTTATAACAAAAAACGATAAGTAGTTAGGTATATTTTAATAAATAACTGAGATGTTTACTTATCCTGTCGATCCCAATATCTAAATGAACTTTAGTTTGGAACGATCTTTGTGCCACGCTCGCCCTTGAGCGCCTGAAGGGCGCAGTCGAGAGCTGTGATGAGGGCTGGCTTGCCTGTAGACTTGACGAAGCGAAGGCATGCCTGAACCTTTGGAAGCATTGAGCCCTTGATGAAGTGGCCTTCCTCGATGTACTTCTCCATCTCGGCAACTGTAGCCTGGCGGATAGCTGTCTCATTCTCCTTGCGGTAGTTGAGGAGAGCCTCTGGAACGTCTGTAAGGATCATGAAGGCATCAGCGTTTGTAGCAGCAGCGAGGACAGAAGCGCCAAGGTCCTTGTCGATAACGGCATCAACGCCCTTGATTCTGTTCTCTTGTTCGTCGAGGATGACTGGGATGCCACCACCGCCAGAGCAAACGACGATGAAGCCGGAGTTGACGAGTGTCTTGATAGCCTCCTCTTCGACGAACTTCTGTGGGACTGGAGATGGGACAATCATTCTGTAGCCACGGCCAGCATCTTCGACCATGTTGTAGCCACGTTCGTTACGAAGGAACTCGGCCTCTTCCTTGGAGTAGAATGGGCCGATTGGCTTTGTTGGGTTCTGGAAAGCTGGATCCTTTGGATCGACAAAGGACTGTGTAACGATGGAAACAACGTTCTTCTTGATGCCTTCAGCACGAAGAGCACCATCGAGTTCCTGCTGGAGGAGCTCACCAAGGAAGCCCTGTGTCTCAGCGCCGCAAACGTGGAGTGGCATAGCTGGAACCTTCTCCTGCTCGCCAGCGACGTTCTGGAGGAAGATAGCACCACACTGTGGGCCATTGCCGTGTGTCATAACGAGCTCATTGCCATCCTTGACAATCTTGACGATTTGGGACATGGCAAGACGGCAGGCAGCCTGCTGGTCCTGGAATGTGCCCTTCATGCCACGCTGGAGAAGAGCATTACCACCGAGAGCGACAACAATCCTCATCGAAAAGTAAAAGTGACGTGACTTGGAAAAACCGTCATTCTCGTCGTTTTCATGGTCCTTCAAAATTCTTTGAGCTCCTTCAAAAATTTTTATACTCTCGAAAATTGAAAGGATAATAATCGATCTTTCTCCATCGTCAATTAGAATTCGAGACATCATCTTTTTTCAATAATTTTAAAGATATCAACGCACAGTTCTATCATCCAACTATTCCACAGTCAATTTAATGATGACAAGCTTTCCTACAAGCCTGAATCCGATAAGTTTTGGCTTCATTTAGATTTCATTTTTAAAAAATATTGTTATCATCCAATTTTAATTACTTAATATGATATGCATATAAGTATTGTATTGTTCTTTTACTAAAGATATTCAAATATTACGTCTTTTTGTTTGGTCGAATGGATTTCACTTTAATTCATTCATTAATGAATGGATCTAACGTATACGCCATCATGGTTGTATTATGTATCACTATTCAACGTTCTCGATTTCTTCATTTGTAATCCCATGAAAACAACCCGATTCAATCCCCATGCTCTTTGTCTCATTTTTCTACTATGATTTTGTTAAGAGATTATACCAAAGGTTTGCCGATTACGATCAACCATACAAAATGAGAAATGTTGAATCTGTTATCAGAAGCATAAATTATTGAAGATATATTGCAAAGTAAGAGAGATAATATGTTATGAAGCATAAGGAACGCGAATTAATTATGAAAAAATTTTGGAAATTTGTTAAATCTCTTCTTTGTGAGCATTGAGTCTTGTCATTCTGCTTTAACTATCTTCGAGCTGATTTTAACTTATTTAGCATATATAAAATCAGGAAATGTGATTTATAGGAATATCTCCTTTTCAATGTAATTGAAATAACTATGGAAGGTTGTACACACACATGTTTAGCATACAACTTTGCAAAAAGTCCATTATTAAAACATTCATATATTTAATAAAATGAATATATCTATACTTTCTGACAAACACAGTCTAAGAAAGTACACAAACGTTGGTTATTAATTGCCTCACTTTTTTTAGTCTCATTTTCAAATTGAACCCAACGTTGAGGGATGGAGTACGATAAGGAGACTTTACGTAGGAAAATGAGTTTAATAGTAAGATATAATTAAAAGGATACAAATTATATTTTTATTAAAAATAATAATAAACAAAATATAAATAAAACACATTCTCATGGAGATCTCTTGATTCCAGTAATTGTTTTGAACAAATGTGCGTTTGCTTTTATGACATCTGCAGTGTTCATCACTCCAAGATAACAAGCAAGCATTTCATAGCACATTACGTTGTCTTCCTGCACTGCATCGGCTGCTAGTTGTTTCCAGGACAAACCACTTCTGTCTCCGAACACTGTTGGAGGGATTGATTTCGGAATTACTTCTTTCTGCTTCTTATTAATAAAAATGAGGTCGTAAGTATACTGGAACACCATTTCGTTCCTAATTACTGTTGGAGAACCTGTTACAGCTGCTTGAATTGCGACACTTGACATTTTTTGTTTTAATTTCTCTTTCAAAGTCACCCATTTTGGATCCTGTTGACTCTTTAGCTGCTGTTGTGTCTCGTAAACCTCTCCTGTTGTACGGTTGATGAGAATATAATGGAGAAGCCCAGTAATTTGGAAAGATTCTGGAATTGTTGATTGTTCTGAGTTAGAAGAGACAACAATAAGATTTATTTGTTGTCCGATCTTTTGTATTCTATCTTTATCCTCTTGTTTGATCTGATTGATATTACTAATGATAATAATGACGCAAGAACCGCATTTACCGGAAGAAACGATAAATGGCTGTATTTGTCCTTCGCTTTTGAGGTGGATCTTAAGATGAGACATGTTTAATTGTGATGCTTCGACTTCATCTGGATAAACGACTTGTTCGAGTAAGCAGAGCTGGAAAATATCTGATAGTTCCAAGACTGGATTTTCTCCACGTGAAAATCTTGAAATAATTTTATGGCTTTTGAAAATAATGCATTCAACGAAAGTTTCATTGATTCCAACAACGTCATTACGAGCTAATTCTTTTAATTGGCTGTTCAGTTTTGAGTATGTGAAGTCCATTGGAGGTATCATTAAAAGGAATTTATAATCTTTGTTTGCTAAAGTGAAAAACTTTTCAATATACTTTGCATACAGCTCTCTAAGAGCTTGTGAAATGTTAATTGACATTGTTGTTTCGAAATGAGGTCCGAAAAGGAAAGCAGCCGTATCTTTGATGATTTGTAAGGCAAATCTTAGGATTTCTTCGGAGTATATTTTAGGAGATGTGATTGTGAACAACAAGCCATTCCATGTTTGTAAAACAACTATCTGGTCTTCAGCAGTAAAAGATTCAATATTTTCCTTAAAGTTTTCTTGCAAGAAAGCAATTGAATTGATAAGTGTAAGACCAATATCACCTCTTGAATCAATAGGATAAAATGTTGTGGAACTGGAAATAATCCTAACTTGATCTTGAGGGGAAAACATTTTTTTTTAATTTGAATCCAGAATTATCGTTGCATTTCCCAGAATTACTTGTAATATTGAAATTTCTCTATAAAATAAGGCTCATTATGATCTTAGAGAGGAAAATTGTAGACTCCTAGATCAAATGTTTATGCTTTCAAGATTTATCCACTTACATTTTTCATTTGTTACTTCATTAGATTCGTAAACTGAAATTATCGATAATTTGCATACTCTATTCAAATTACACCCTCTTATGTATCAATGTACTCTATACTAAATAGTACAACTTCAGTAAATCAAATCGAAATATGATATTTTATACTGAAACTGAATTGAGCATTATGTATCATTGAATACAAAAAGTAGTGTGTTATTATTATACTATTAATCTAAGAAAAAAAAGGTGAAAAAATATTTTTATCTGATAAGCTTAATGATTAACAGTTCTTATTAGTTAACCTGAATGTAGATAAGGGTGTAAAATAATAAGGTTCATTGAGTCGAAATCTTATTGCCATCGATATGACAAAACGATATCTGTAACTCCGAACACTAAAACTTTGGTAGGTTCTTCATGAAATAGCAGGCTAAATTGTATTTCAGGAAATGTAGCTTTGGATCTAATGTAACGAACTTCCCATAGAATTTGGATTGAAATCAGTTTTTCGATTATAAGTTTAAGCGCGTATTTTTCTGAGTGGATACAAGCCTGTGTATTCTTATTGATCAATTGCATGAATAATTGCAAAAAGTTCAATATGGAAGCCTTATGATGCTTCAAGTAAGATCTAATTCTACACATTGCTTCAGCATCCAGAGCCCAATTGATTTATCAAATGTTCGATCGCTGAACTCTTCATTAAATTATATCTGTAAATATTTCTAGATAAAGTTATGACAATCAAATTAATTACTTATAAGAGAATCATATTCTTAATTAAAATAACTGAAAAAAATAAACGACAATAAGAAGCGATATAAAAAGAGGTTTTATTTTTTATTTTTCAGTGTATGAAAAATGAGTTCACCCCTTTTTATATCAAATTTGTCAGTTTTTGCCTTTAATAAAATGGGCAAAATTAACAAAAAGTGAGGGTAAAATAAACTGCCTTTGATAATTTCATGAGAAAAAATGATTGAACGTTTAAAATGATTGCATTTAATCACGGTTCAGCTAAATACTGATTTGAATTTATAGTAAACTTACTGGAGACGTGTGACAAGAAGCCATTGCTGTGATTCCTTACCAGCTTCGTATGGCTTAAGGACAATGTCAGCGCCTGGTTCGAACTTGGAATCCTCAATATCAATAGCCTGACCAGCTTTGTTACGGATTGATCCATCTGGATAAACGTAGAACTTGTTTTCGATCTTATCAGAATCTTGGAGAACAAGCTTTACCTTGCCATCATCTTCCTTTGGCTCGAGAGCTAATGTTCTCTTTGGGAATGTGTGAATTTTACGATCGTACATGAGCCACTTAAGTGTTGGCTTATCGGCAACTTCCTTAAGCTCGGCCTTCTTGCCATGCTCGGCCTCACCATCATCTAAACCAATAGCGAACTCTTTGTGCTTTGCGCTCAAGATGAAAACCTGCATCGAAAAAGTGAAGTGGTCAACTCTAATTTTATGTTAAAACGATTATTTATGCTTGAAATATACAATAATTTTTTTCTGCTGTTTTATTTTATTTTAGATCTTCTTATGCCAAATATTGTAGTTATCGTATTTTACTCCCGAATAAAATATTTTATCAAAAGTGAATCAAAAAATGAACTATCAAACGACATGTAGAATACAGTGTTTTATTAATTATAGATTAGCTTAAATGAATTATTTTTGTCATATCGCAAAATATCGATGCTTCTAAACGCCTTCAATAATTGAGACCCGCAGAAACTAGGAGATTCACAGGTCAGTTGATGTATTATGAATCTCCTAATGAAAATATTATTATTATATCCGAGAAGTGTCTTAACTGACTCATAATGAGCAAAATATTTCCAAAAAAAGAAATGGATTCGAAAATCATAATAACTATTATCTATAAGTTATGCATTTTGTGGAGATGAAAGAAATTTAATTAAATATCCTGAAAATCAATGATTTCAATTATTGATATTTGATATCATGTTCAAAATAGGTTTAAAGTAGCTCACAATTATCTCCTTCTTAGAAGTGTCTGGATTCTCATAATATTTCAGACATTGAAGTTTGAATAAAAATTCAAGATGTCATCCGTAATTTTTATAGACCATTGAAGAGTTCAATGGCACTAATTCTATAAGTATTTGTAAACTAGATTGATGTTATCTAGTACGACAAAGAACTAAAATTATATATCCAGAAATTATTTAGTAATAAAGATAATTCTTGCATAACGTCAAGAAGAAATGTCTTCTAAAGTAATTCTTCTGATTGGAATTTTATAACTAATACGAGTTCATTCAATATAATCAAAATTAAACATGTAAAGCTTTTAAGTAGAATTATGATAATCGATGAAAATTTTATAACGAATCTTTATGTTTCACCCACGGTAATCTTGAAAACGGCTTTCATTTGTTACCATTGGATATCAAAATGTGAAAGTTATTATCAAAAAATATGATTAATAACACATTTATGCCTATGTTCCTCCAATGATTATCATTTCGAAATCCAGAAAGCGAAATCTAGAAAACTTTGTAGAGGTGAAGAGAAGAAATAAAATGGCATATTTATTTAAGTTTCATAGTTTTGGCATTCTCTGTTTCCAGTCTAAGAGATTTTGATTGAATATAGCGTTAGTGAGACTATTTACACCTATTGCTGTGTATTTTTATTGGAGGAATCTTCATGTATTGGAGAATATCAAATATTTTAAAAATACTTCATTAAATCCATCACCAGGCGCATTCAATCAAAACTATTTCTCATGTTCTTTACGAAATTTGTCTTGTCCTACCATTCGTAGATTAATTCAATGACATATTGAAGAATTTGACGTCAAATTGGATCATTTATGAAATATTCAATATGCTCATGAATAACATCTAATTGAAGCTATTTTTCTATTAGAGTTCATATTCCTACAAAACCAAGAAAGGAAAGTTTTTAAAATTTCATTTTACAGTATAAATTAAGATGTCAACATCATAGTCTATTGTTCTATATTGAAAGTATACAGATATTGCATGATATTAAAAGTACATAACCGATTTTTTTCATTGAGATATCACTTATCTCAATTTTTACTTTCATTTGAGACTATTTATGTTTCTTTCACGAATAGTACAACCCCCAAACTGTGAGTTGTTTAGATTTGAGCGAATTGAAAAGATTATGATAAAATAACAAATATTTTGATCTTAAAATGAAAAACTGATCCATTTTTGAATTTGTGGACTTTCAATTCCTGAAAATTTTTAATGCAGCAAATGAGTTCCATTAATTTTTTTTAGGAAATTGAGATTGATTTGATGTAAACAATCAGAAGAAATGACTTATTGAGTGTATGAACTGGAAATCTTTTGTGTATTATAAAATGTAAGGAATAACTATCAATTCAAGATAAAATTACATATGATTTTATACAAAAAAAAATTAATTTTTTACAAGAAAAAAAATGAAGAACAATAATATGGATTTCGATGTTCCATATCCTAAAAAAGGAGAGGTATGGGCTCCTGCGCGTGCAGACATCATATCTCAGATACTTCTCTCGGAAAAACAGTATGTTCAGCACTTATATCATTTCATTTTCGAAATCAGAGTTTCTTTAGCTGAAGCAAGTGATTCTCAAGTAATAATGATTCTTCCCGATGCTGTGGAGAATCTTTTTAGACGAATAGCTCCGATTTATAAACTAAATCTAAATTTCTTAACTTTGCTTGAGTCTTCGATCGCTTCTGATAGCTCACAAAGCAGGATTGGTGATTGCTTTAACAGTACAGTGACTTTACTCAAAACTTATGTTGATTATGCCAGTGATTATGCAACAGGAATTTCTGCTTTAACTGCTCAGTTCCAAATTGACAGAAACCTTGCACCAACATTAAAAGAAATCGAGTCAAATATCGGTCTAACGGTTTTGGAGTTGCTAAGACTACCAATTGAAAGAATTCCAAGATATCGTAGGCAATTGTTAAAACTTTTGAACGTAACACCCCGAGAACATCTTGATAGGTCCGCAACTGTAGCTGCTTATATTCAAATAACTCCGATGTGCGAGCCATTCGAAAATTTACTGATTGAGATCGGTAAAGAGGAACTACAGCCAATCGATGCTAAATACAAGCAAGTAAAGATATTAAGCGAGGAAAGATTTTTGATGTTTCATGACGTCGTAAAATGTTTTACGGATAAAGAAGTTGTAGACATGCATTTATGGTTATTCTCTAACTCGGTACTTGTAGGTTTCGAAAATCAGCAGAAGATCACTCCAGTCCTCTTCCAGATTAAAAATATTAACGCAATATCAGTTGATTTGCCTTCTCCATACGAAGATGGTGTTGATTTCATGACATCAGTAGATTCGTATCGAATTGCATTCAAAAATCGAAAGAGGAAAGAGTATTTTTGCGAAGTTTGCGAAAACTTGAAAATAGATCTACAAATTGGCAAAGACGGCCCGTCTCTAGCACCTGTAAGGACTCCTTACAAAGAAGTCAAGGATTGCGTTCTCTGTGGAAAGGCCTTCAACTTGGCAATTAAACCTTGCGAATGCGGATTTTGCAGGAAATGGTATTGCAAGAAATGCATATCAATGCATGAAATAGGATACCATATCGTTAATGTTTGCAACGTTTGTCAAAAAGTTGAATCATTTACTCCTCGTCCGCATATGCTTATTGATTACAGTTTCAGCCAGGTATTCAAGAATAGCCCTTGAGAATTATTTGTTTTATTGATTAAAATATTCCCTTTTAAGATCGTTTTGGCTGTGTTTTTCTACCGTAAAAAAAATCTAAAAACTGTTTTGTTGAGAAAAAAATCATAAAAACATCATATAAAGTTGTTTAAACACGATATTCCACTACCTCAGATACTGATTTACCATAATATAGTGTAGAAAGGTTGAAATTTGCAGTTTATAGAATATTGTACATTTTACTTCTCAAAACCCCATTTCATGAGATGTATAAGCATTCTGTACATTCTTCTGAATGTTAAAAAATTCCAAAAAAAATCGAAAAAAAGAAAAATGATAAAAAGAAATTTGAATTTTAACATGAAAATAACAATTTTGAAAAAAATTTGGAAAATAAAAATGTACTAAAATTAATTAAAATGCATATTTTCAACATTTTGAATGAAAATTGGTCATTATTCGGAGTTTTGCATTTTAAATTATATAGTTTTTAATAATCAAGACACACCATATGCAATAAGTAGAAGAAAAAGGTATGGCATTCCAAACGGGAACTGCGGTTGGTTACCATGGATTTCCGTCACCGGTCACATTTTAAAGATTTTTAAAGCCTTATAAAAATATGCTTTGTAAATCATTTTTTGTAAATCGGCAAAAATTTGGTAATTTTCTTCAACTAATAAATCGCGAATAGCATTTATAATACAAGAACAATCTTTTAAAATGCGTTTGATTCATTTTGTATAATTTCATATAGGCACATATATTCTTCCGGGACTTTCCGTGATTTTACCGTAAAATCATTAGTTTACACCAATTTTCCCGTATTTTGATAGTTTACTGCACTTTCCCGTAAAATTGAGTTACGGGAATCCGCAAAATTTCCGGACCTCATTTTTCATAGAATATAATAATAATATTTGATAAAAGGATATATTATTTATATTTTTGATTTTTGAATTACGGAAAAAGTGAATTGATAACTTGATTTTTTTATATGGTTAATTTTTCAAATGATATTATGAAGATCTAAAATATTAAAAGTAAAAAATCGAATTACGGAAAAAGTGAGGTCAAAAGTGAAATAAATTTGCAGAACAATTTTCATTGAAATAAGCTTTATTTTTCATTATTAATAACAATGCAAAAAAATATTTATCACAGGTTCAAAATTTAAAATTAAATATTTTAATAATTTACATCTTATTCTTTATTTTATATTTAACCCGTGAAAATATCATTTAAAAATTGAATATATTCAAAAAGCTTTATTTTTATTATGACTGCATGGGATCCTCATGTATATGATGAGTGGATTCCATTTAAGAAGACGAAATATCCACCAACTCCTGAAACATTGGAAACAAAGTGTGGAAAAAAATGTTTCACTACGATCGGCTATTATGAGAATGAGCCTAATTAATCAGACAAAGGAAGGCTCTTTAAGTTAGTATACAAGTCTCGTGTACGGAGGCACTGCGTTCCTCCGTACGCAATACTTGTGAATTTGACACTTTACAAAACCGTTAACGTATATTTTACAACACAAACACAAACACCAACTTAACCTTAAATATTTACAAAGCCACCAACCACTTCACCTCACTACTGTAAAAAATAAACGTTCTCACTTACAAAAGTATTGCAACTCTTCCCATTGCTGGGCTTCACACAATAGTTCATATTCTTCAGTATCGCTGCTGTCGCTCCAATCGTCAGAGTCAAAGTCACTGTCAAAATAAATGTTAGTAAGTTTTGACAAAGCTAATGAAACACGCTTACCGTTTGTATCTATTGCTTGTATAAACTTTCCATTCTTCATTCCTTCATAAACGCTCAAACTAACTTTACCCTTTCTCCCTCGTATCTGATAGAATGTATTTTCACGAGGAACGAAGAACAAATTCTTGAACTCATGACCGTTGTAGTTTGTTATCTCAAATAGTTTTCGTCATTTATATAAAAATAAACTTAAAATTAATGATATCACCACCCTCACACGTATGAAAACATAGCACAAAAATAAATTTAGTGAAGTGGTGAGACTCACCTCTTTTTTCACCCTGTTGAATTCATTGCTTTATAACTCTTCCTTTCTCCAACTCTTCTAACTTCTTCTTAAGTTCAGCAATGTTGTCCTCATGAAGTTTAATCTTTCTCAAAATTCCTTCTTTATCTAATGGTTGCTTTATCTTTCTAAACTGAACTCTACCATCCTTATAGTATGAATGTAAAAACCTTCTGGAATAGTTCCTGATTTAATGATTCTACCAAAAACTTTTGTTTCATTGCTTCAGTGACTTTAGTCGTCATTTCAATCAAAGGTGAAGCTAGCACAGCGATAATGGATTTCATGACTTTTTAGTATTTCATGCAATCTTAACAGATAGCCTTACAAGTACTTCCAGTGTCCCTAGCTGTCCCTCCTTTTTATATAACTCCATGACATTTATAATCTCGCGAAACTTAACAGGTAGCATAACAGATTAAAATCAGATGAGGTTTTGAACCAAAATTTCAAGCAACGTTGTCAAGGATTTTGAGGAACTAGGGACAGAGTGTGGCAAAGTCCAAGATTTAATTTATCTTCACTGTTTCATCAGCTATCTCATCTAATATGCCAATATTTTATTCATAACTCGTGGCAAACTCACTAACTTTCGTTATGTTCATCTGCATGCTTCATCTGATAGAAAGTATGACTTTCATAACTCTGTGAGATAATGAAAACTACTAGGGACAGAGACCATGGCAAAGTTTATGACTTTCATTAACTCTGTGAGATAATGAAAACTACTAGGACAGAGACCATGGCAAAGTTTATGACCTCCTCACTGTTCTCATGAACTATTTCATTATTGTTCTCATGAACGACCTCCTCACTGTCTCCATGAACTATTTCATTATTGCATGAACGACCTCCTCACTGTCTTTCATAAGCGTTTCAAAGTCTCCTTTACTCATTACTTCAATCTCAGCTGTTCACAGTAGTACTTAAACTCACTGTATATGTCTTTTTGTATGTTATATTGCTCCATGTACTCCATGAATTTTTCAAGCACCTCCTCATAATTCACTGTTCTTTCTTTCCACGACCTTCTAATATCATACTTGCTTCGTAAATATAACTTCTGCAGAACCGTCTCGCTTTCTACTTCTCTTCACAAATTCTCTCATCTTACCGCCAAATACATTTGAACTACATGCAAAGAATTCATTCTCCTTCGCAAATTCTTTATATCTTCTGTAGCACTCTGTACAATTCCATCCGGATACAAACTTTTCATAGAACTCCTCGTAAAACATTTGGTAAGGTGTTTTGTTCATTTCGATGATTCTTGTTTACCCTGGTGAATGGTATCTTCCTTACATCAAATTCACTTAAATCTTTCCTCATGAAGTACGTCAGTAAGTTTGAATAAAACTCTTCATTAAAGCTTTCAATGAGATTTGAGAAATATTCGTAATTTCCTTTGTATCTGCTGCTTACGTCAATGACAACAAATCTTCTGTCGTCTTTATCAATCTTACTGAGTTGAAGTTGTTAGATATCATGATGATATTACAAACATTCTCTATCTTTCTTACTGGCTGACACTTCTGATTTAAGTCCAACTGAGTCTCTGTACTATTGACTTTAGTGCGTCGTGGTTCATGACCTTAGACGTATCGCATGAGCTTAGTTCATTGCATACGATGAGCTTCATGTTCTCAATAGCAGCATTGAATCTACCAACCACATTCTCTATTGCCGTTATATTATTGTTGGCGTACTTGCTAATGAGCTCGCATAGAACATTACTAAGTACATTCTTACCAGTTTCTTGCTTTCCTATTAACAAAAGTACTGTTCCAGTCTTTCCACAAGGATTTTGAACGATGTAGGCGAACCAGTTCAAAACATACTCATAAAAGCTCTTCATCCTCATTCATATGACATCGTGAACATGTTTCAAATATCCTTCAATAACGTTCTCATCTACTTCATTCAGTACCTCATACTCATATCCTCTGAAATAGCTGTAAATGTCATCTCTTTCGTCAAAGGAATCTCATGCCTGACTTCATAAGATAGTTCTTGTTCTGACCCGCTTCATAAATCATCAGTGCGTTCACATCCTTCTCCTCAATACGTCCTACATAAATACTCTTCATGAGCTTATTGAATTCCTTGCTATACTGACACAAGTGTTGTTGTGTCTCGTATTCCATCATAATCTTTCACTAGATATGTCATACGTGCTCCGTCAATAACACAAACACATCTTCTTAAGTCATTTATAACACTAGCTATGTCAATACCGTCCTCACTCATGTACTTATTTTTCCTCAAGTCCTTAGTGGGAAAGTGTCTCTAAGTTCTATTTCAAGCAATTCATTTACACATCCTTTGCAATACTTCTCTATAAAATATTTCTGTCGTTCTTTACTAAGTTTCTTAACAGCTCTGAAGAACCATGTGTTTTGACTCAAACATCCTTCACAACTTCTCTCATTCATTCCTAGTTCTTTCATGTCATTATCTTCAACCTCTATGGCTCATTGACTAAGGTCAAAGGGTTCTTAGTCATTGCTGGTCTTATCTGAAACAATGTTTGTGCAACAGGTTTAACAGTTCAGCAACGTCCTTCCTTAATATGAATAGCTGTTTCCACTCATCTTTGCTAACAGTTCTTTCATAACCACTGACAGTAATGATTTCATTTGCTGACCTTAGACACTTATGTTCTATCATTTGTATTGCTTTTGTGTAAGGCTTTCGTGAGCATAGGTTGTATATGTCATTCCTGCAATGTTCATTCATGCCAATAGTACTAAATCCTTTCTTTGCTGTTGAATGCATAATATCCATTAGTCCTGTGTTCGATTGCTGTCTCATAAAATACAACAAGACCTTTGTCATCTATGACGTACTTACCGAAAACATTGCTTATATTCTTTAACCATGAAATAACATCCTCATTCATGCTGTCAAACATGAAGTAAGGTCTTACATACTCTTCACTTATAAGATACTCCAC